TAACCCTTTAAAGGATTTTAGGGTATTTAATTTTAACGATATAGAGTCGGATTCTTAAAGTTCTCTAGCGTGTAGCGTAAGGAGCGTATCGTTAAGCGGGGTGCCTCTAAAACACTCACGAAGTTAATATAATCTTTATTAGTAAGCTACCCTAGGTTAAATCCAGGCTTTATAGGCTTCTTTATCTTTTAAGGAGAGATCTTTTAGTATAGAGAAGCGTAGATAGGAGATAGCTTAAAAAGATCGTGAATTAAAGGCCGAAATTAAGAGGCGAAGGCTTAAAGATAAACGGCGTTATACGCTTAAGCTAAGACGGCTTAAGCTAGAAAGAGAGCTATTATTTCGGTTAGGGTAATATGGTTAGATAAAGAGGAAGACTTTAGTTATCGGAATCGTGATTCGTATTATCGTGGAGAATTTATAAAAAAAGAAGCTAAATCTTATAAAAAAATAAGTCTACTTATACCTAATTATTATTAGTTATACCGGTATAATAGTAGCCCGGTATAATAGAAATATTTCCTAAACGTTTCTAAAATAAAAACTCACTCCTCGTTATTAGGAGTAGTATTATAAGCCCGCGAAACGCGATAGTTACGGGGAGGGGGGCGGATAGCGGCGGGAAAATCTAGGAAAATAATTATTAGTTAAGCAGTTCTTATTCTATAGGTGGTTCTTAACTTACCCGAGACTAATTCTCTATCTACTATTTTATTATAGCGATACTCGGCCTAGACTATATAAAGATAGTCGTAATAAGGCGGGGGGTAGCCTAGGAAATATATCCTATTAGTAAAAGATACTAGTAAAAAAATAAAATAGAATATACTATAACTAATAGAGTTCTACTCTATATAAGCCTAGTAATATTCCTCGGGGCGCTAGCTAAAAAGATCTATCTTTGTACGAAGGATATTAGGCTAAGAAACCAGATAGATTAGTAATAATTCCTAAATCGTTTCTTAATCGTTTCTAAATTATCTCTGAATTATTTCTTATATTTCTATTATTATTCCGGGGAATATTACGGAGATATAAATCCTTCGTAACCGCTTTAGCCTTATAAGGGGTATTAAGCTAAGCGTTAATACTAAGCGCGAGTCTTTATATCGATCGATAATACTAAGCAGTACGGGCATTATCGCGAGTATTAAGTAAACCCGATATACTCGGAGTAGCCTGCGTATAATACGTCGAGTAGATATACTTCTTTAGGGCGCCGATCGCGGAAAACTTAGAGCGCTAAATAGAAAATATTAGTTAAAGTCTTCTAGCTATTTTATAAATTAGAAGATACTTATATTAAAGTAAAGCTCGCCGCCCTTTTCTATATATTGGTAGAAAACTTCTCCTGCTACTAAAACGACTTTATTAGTCTTATAGAAGTATTAGTAAGCTATAGAGTACTAGAATAAATAGTATACTCACGCTATCTATCTTAAACTCTAGTAAGTTTCTATGCCGCTTACTCTCCTCCTCTTTATTTATATACTATTAGTATACTTCCGTCTAGCGATAATTCGAAGGTATTTCGTTAAAAAATAGAAGGGTAGTCTTAGAGGAGTAGTAGAAAAGTTAGCCTCTGGATCCGAAACGTTTCTAAATTATTTCCTAATCGTTTCCTAATCGTTTCCGATAGGGTTTCGATTATAGTAGAAAAATATACCTAATAATAATCAAGAGGATAATAGAATTAATAGAGTTAGTAAAAAAATAATAGTAGGAGGTAGATAGTGATAAAAATAAACACTTAATATAAAGATATAGAGTAGTAGTAAAAAGAAAAAGTCACGATAGAGGTATAGTAGGAAAAAGAGGGGAAGAATATATTAACGTGTTATAACGCGACTCGTGAAGTCTAGAGAAACGTTTCCCCTATACAGGTATTTCGGTATTCCGGTATTCGACTAATTAGAACCGAGACCCACACCTACCCTTAGCTTAACTTTTTCCTAGCCACCCCCTATAGTAACCCTTAGCTTAGCCTCACTCTTGGATATCAGTTTATATGTAGTCTCTTCATAGACGGATTATGTTGTCAGTTCTGGCAACCCTGTCTCTGCCACGTGGTTACCTTAATAATGCATATCTCCTTAGTTTTTTTTTAATCGACTGACAGAGCACCGCAGATTTACGAAGCAAGTCGAGGTTTAACTCGGGCCACGTGCTTTCGGGAGACTATATGTACAGCAACAACGGTCTCGAAGCTGAACCGGACAGAAACAGGGACATTGCGTGCGACCGTCTTGGGGGGGGGGGTTACGAAGGAGACAGGTGAATTCGGAAATGTGCCAGTTCTAGAAACCACTATATCTGAGTAGCTGGCACCGGAACCCGAGCGCGACTTCGTCTCCATTCCCGTCCCGAAGACTGTACACTTCAGGGACTCACCAAACGGGGCAGCGGCTCTCCTAGTTCTCCGTTGATGCTCTTGGGGATTGGCCGAGAGAACCGAGACTGGTCACTTCTCTGCCGGCTTGGAAACCCATTGGCCTGGTGTTTATTCTCAGAGTTGAGATGTCCTTATCCTGGTTATGCCGGTCGTGTTTTCGGGCCATAGCTGGGGACGCTGGATGTTGGAAGGCGTTCACTCGCCTTCGGTATTCTTTGTTTGAACCAGCAGTGGACCTTGGTTATAACGGAGGAATGTCACCGTAGTATCAAACGACTGTGATTATCCAGGTAAGGGGTTAAGTCAGTGGCTCCTCTGATCTGGTATTATGACCCCGTTTATGTCGGGATATTTTAAGAGTCAAGCCATCCCACGGCACCTAGGTAGCAGCTACCATGGCTCACATCTATCTCTCTTTTCCTTTTTTTCCTTTTGTCCAGGACAGCTTCCTTACCCGCACACATCACCTCGGCAAAGCTTATAAGACTCGAGGGTCTTGTCCAACCTTCATCTGTCTCCCATGAAGCAGGTGGTGACTGAGAAGAAGGGACATAGAATTTCAGTAACTGTTCCCGATGCCTCTTATTCCCCTCTTTATGAGTTTATCGCATGGACAGCATGGATTACTTGCCAGGTACTTGCAGTTTGTGAACGTAGCCATCAGTCCTTTGACTAGCCACAACTCCCTTCACACTGGACTCATTAAACATCACATTGATATCCATGACTGTCCACGCCATGATATCACCTCTTCCGGGTCCGCGGGAGACTTCCAGCGTTTTATATCCTTGACTTGTTTGCTCTACGTACTCCAACCCGTTTCATTTGCCATCTGCTACTCGGACGATTATACTCTAGGATCTGCAGAGGAGGCATGGGGGATAACAGGAGAGAGAAACGGTGCAATAGCTTAAGCAAAAAAATGAGATGATTCCGATTTGAGAATGAAAGTTCCCGAGATAGAAAATATTGTCAGTGAACTGAGGAAGGGTGATAGAGACGTGTTGTTGTCCTCTCCAGCCAGGCCTGTTCCCCTCTGATTATTGTCACTTTGTAATCAGTTGTGTCTTTACATGCTGGATTCTAAACATGAGGTCCGACTCGTCTCTAGCCCCTTCCACCTTAAACCTGGAGTCTCTTCGACTGGTCTCCTGTCGCCTCGTAATATTCGACGCGCACGAGACTTGGCGACCAAGAGAGATCAGCGTACATCGAGGGACGAGGGAGAGGGCCGACCTGGCCAGAGGGAGCGAATGTCGAGCTGTATTTCAGCCTTGCAAAGTGAGGGCCTCATAAACATGAAGAAGGCCTAAATCCAAGACCAATGGGCACGAGAGCCACGAGCATATAGCAGCCACCGGTCATCAGTAATAGAGCAGAAACAGAGACTGTAGGCGCCAACAGCCATGGGTCAGGTAGTTGGGGATTCTACATTAGTTCTTATGTAGTTTATCCCGGGGGTTTTTACTTGGGCAGTCGTAGCAAGGTAGACCATTGCTTAGCAAGGGTGAATCGAGGGAGGCAGCGCAGTACGACGGCATCGGGGCCAGTCAAACCTCATAGTCATCTCGATATTCCATTTTGCGTGATGAATGAACGCCCAAGAGAATCCACACGGAGTAGGTGCTCGAGTCAGAAGGCCTTGTTGGCCCGTTTCACCAGTGGTGTCGAAGTTGGAAGGCCGGAGCACTCGGTCGAACATGGCGAGCCAAACTGATAAATCCACCGGCCAGGTGCAAGGCGTAGCTCTGTGGAGAGTTAAGAATGAAACTATCTCTCCGCGTACTGCCAACGACCGACAAGGGGAAAGTGAGTAGCGCAGTTCGCACCCAAGAGGTTTCCTCCCAGCCGAGTCAAGAGTGGTACCTTAGACAGCCGTCGCGGGGGGGAGGGGGGGAGAATCCCCGATTCAAGCTCGGTTGACCGAGTGTTATGAGATCAGCGATCTTAACCAAGACACAGGCCACGAAGGTGACCTTGGGTGACCGAAGATTGAGGTTATAATCGAAGATGAGAGATGACATCCATAGAGACTCTGAAGCAGAATTGCTTCTGGTGTCTAAGATACCAAATGTCAGGTTGTATCTTACTGCCCATAACAACATAAGGTCCCCTCGCAAGTAACCAAGGGATTCAAAGGTACCGATATAAAAGTCTGCTTCTCTACCATGTTGCGTCTTAATGGACTATTCTCGCTTTCGCGTCCCGTCCTAGATGACATTACTTTGTCAGAGTGAGGAGCGAGTTGTTGCTCCAAGAAAGTCAGCCTTTCAAGGGTCATGCCGTGTCTATCTCGAGCCAACGGTCCACGTCAGTCGTCAATGTCCACGAACTCCATTTCTTGTTTTCGTCACCATCCACCACCTTGTGTCGCGAGACTGGTTCCAATCCTCTAACTTGGTCGTTTCTCATCCCCCGACGCCATGAAGCTGGGGTGAAGCACCAATCGCGTAAGAGGAACGATCTTATGGCGATGTCTTAATAGACGAGAGGGAGCCATAATAAAAGCGGAAGCTGAACATGGAAAGAAAACAAACTTCATTTCGGTTACGTACCAACAAAACTCGATATTCGCCTCAAACAACGTCAAAGCGTAAAAGGAGCTGGTCGATAACGGCCTAGCGTATTCAAAAGACAATCGAGACGCGCAACGAGGGGCCTACGGAAGGCTGATTTTTTCGCGCCGTGCCGCCGATATAACGCCAGTCACATGAGACTAGTGTGACCCGCCCATTCTTGGGGGAAGACATCACGAAAACTCTCGCAACACTATACCAGATCAGGAGAGGAAGACAGTTGGATCCCTGTATCCTATGGGAAGGTGATTGGGTCCAAGAAGCGGAAGATTGAAGGTACAGCAGGCAGGGAGTTCTACCAAAGGAGGATATCAACTGTCGGTGAGGGCTTCATATCTTTTCTTGCTCGCACTTCGCGCGCCCAAGATAACCTTGATGCCAAGGCATAGCGTTGGGAAGCTAGCTGGTGCGTGAAAGGACCCCGCGGTGACGATCTGCGCAGATGCAGCTACCTGCAGAGGTGATCCGACGGGGCGAGGCGGAACTTCGGAAGGCGATGGGGCCTTCCGGTCGGAGAGAACAGGCCAACTCGCGAACCGATCGCTCCCAGCCATCTCGCAACCTTTGCTCTACGTCGTAATCCTTCGAGAAGGGTTTCGTCTGGTTTCGTTTTTGAGTTGGCAAAGGCGGCGGCGACAGTACCAAGAATGAGGAGAAATATGATAACAACTATGGAATATTCATGGGTATGACAGGGAGGAGGACTGGCGTATGAGACCCACGGCCACCTCAATCTTTCGTAAAAAAAAAAAAAGCAGGTCACTCTTCTCGACCAGGCGGCCTCTAAAGTCGGTCCAAAAAGCTTCCTTTATCAAGCGCGTAAGCAAATAAGCTTCCACACGCCTCCCTCATGCTGCTGGAGACATACCTACTGGTATGTACGAGGGGGTCGTCTGTCGTCTCCTGTTCCGTGCCAAGGTGAATGGCTCTGCCCCGTTCCAGCTCTCGGAGGGCACTTCTGTATTTGTGCGTAGCGCAGACGCAAACTTTATATGCTGGATGGATTTGTGAAATGCGGATGTTGATAACCAGAGCTACATAAATAAGCACGAATACACACGCACCAGCTAGACCCCGGAAGGCCGACCAAGCCAGCTGCGAACTGGCAGGGATTGGACGTGAAAATGAGATGTGACGGACGCGTGGGTGGTGATGCACATCGCATTACTCCGCAATACAACACCCGTATCCGTGTGTGATAAGCATCATGCCTACCTCCGATAGAAGGCTGAGAGCTCTCTGACACTTTGCTCGATCAAGAGCCTGATTTCTTCTCAAGACTATGCCATATTTCATGTGCTTTGGTTACGATAGCACCCCCCCTCGACTCGCACCGAATCGTCATGACTACGGAGGTTTAAATGTCATTGGACTGACGGTCACAACGCCCACAACTTGAACGTCAGTGGCCCGGTCGGTTCTTGATTGTTGGCCGGTTGTCAATAAGGAGAATGTGGTACTCGTGCGAGGCAGAGAAGTGTTACTGTGACCATTATTAAGTATAAGGGCTTGAGCTTTCGCATATCGGCTCCCCGTTCTCACGAATGCCAGCAAAAGCAAGAGTTCCCCATGGTCACGTCCGAGTTTATGAACTTGTATCCATAATTGTGTTGGGTGCTAGTAGGATGATGTTAACGCAGAGCGGCAGGTCGGGCTGTTGTAGACCCCTGCCACAACCATGTCCCGCGGACGTACGAAGTGCGTTCATTGTACGACATTGGAAGCAAGGGAATTTTTATCCATCCAGACCCAGCGGCACCATTCGTTGGCTCAGTTGAGGAGAAGTGAAGGAAGAGAAGCCGCTGAGGCTACTCGATTTTGAGTTCTCTGTCGAGTAGGATCCGAGGCAACAAGACCTGGAAAAGGACAAAAAAATATCTCCACGGTCGGTTATTGCTTTCCATAGCAACCTCTTTTTTTTTTTTTTTTTTTTTCGAGCAGGGGCATCAAGGCTGTATCCCGGATCGGGTTCTCGTACGAGAAAATATGCAGGCACGATTCCCTCTTAACGGCATATGGGCTGTCGTGTATGAGGCGACCAGGACTACATACAACGAGAGGGGGGGTGAGGATTCGAGCGACGGCCCAAAATGTGGCCAGACAAGGAAGCCACATAGAGCAAGGCGCAAGCTTCCGGTGCCTGGTGTCGTTCGGCACCCGTTTGCCAAACCCGAAGATATAGCAGTGTTGTACATGGTGCAAGGTACGGAGTTTGATGCTGTTGTTGCTCGAGTCTTCGCGTCAGATATTAAGTGCTTGCAGATTGAGACCTCTCCCGAAAAGGCATGGCTATCACGTGTATCTTGTGTGAGAAATGTGATATCGATGCCGCCCCTAGTATTGCCTCCTGTAGAATCGACGCGCGGAACCTTTTCTTTCCTTTCTCGGGGGATCCCCCCCCCTGTCAATATGGGCTTGAGCTCATACGAAACTGGTCTGGGGGAGGTCCATAGAGTCAAAGGTGTGGCTCCCAGTCAGCCGCAGCGCAAGGTGTTGGAGAAGTTCATCAGCCCCCGAACGTACGGTATCCCTTTACGCAACAACGATATCTGGACACAAACCGTATCGCGGCATGAAACATATCATGGGCGGCATACTAACTCTCCCAGGCAGAATGCTGCTTGCTACACGAACCAGCGTAAAAATCTGCAGCATATCATATAGCAGATCCGTATTCGAAATTTTATCTGCGATACCGGTGGGTGTTAACATCGCTGTGCATATCAAGTCGAGTGTCACCGGGGTTGATTTTGTGGCCCTGGTGCTGGCAGGAGGGGGGCTGGACATCCGTATATATATATCAAAGGCATCGGATGACTTTGTGGCCGGATCTCCAATTATGTATCGCTGCTGGGTTTCCCCATGGGCCATTTTCTCTGCAACTGATGGAGCCACGCCGAAATGCCGTCTGCATGCATCTGAGCGAGTTCGGAGGGCCATGAGCAACACAACTGCCGCTGGTAGACAACCCGCGGATGCGCCAGTCTGGAAGTGTGCATATAATCGCCACGATGTAGTAGAGAAACCGCTCCAAGAGTGGGCAAAAGACTTATCGCAACGTCTCGACTGGAACGGCGGGGGAGAGAAAATGTGAAGGGACAAAAGGGGGGAAGGACGGGGGTTAGTAGATAATGAATTTCAGCTTGATAATAGTGGTGTGGAGGCTAAATCACGAAGTTTTAAACCTCACATGAGGTGATACGGTGATGGCGGTGATGCTGACAGTGGGTGTGAGGGTCTGAGGCTGAAAGATCGGAATGTAATTAATTATTACCTATGCGCCACGAAGCGTACCTGGCATAAGGTAGAAAGCCTTGCTTGTCGGCTATGGGGTGGGCGGACAAGAAAGTGGACGAGGCGGGGGGATCGCGCAAGGAAAACTATACATTGAGAACAAAGACGAATCTCCAAGGTATGGAGAAAAGAAGGAAACATAGCTCGAGTCAGTTAAATGATCACCAACTTCAATCAATCGCTTCGCCCCAGATCTCGTGCGAGCAGGTAGGTATTCAGGTTAATGCGAAGGAGATAGTCGAGAATAACCACATGGGAAGAAGCTTGCGGAGGACAAGAGAACTACCGAAGGTATCTAAGATAGATGACCGAAGATGAGCGTATAAGGTAATTAGGTAAGCGACTGGTAGGCGATAACTTAGCTTGGTTCCATATCAATACAGTGGAAATATATGGTGGTCGTCCACAACGAAGCATTCACTACTTCGTGTCCATACTTCCCTTGTTTACAAGAAGATGGAAGTCGTGTGTGGTGGTGTACGTTGTAGGAAGCAGGTAATAATTAGGTATGACTGGGTCTTCACCGTTGTTCAAAGGGCCCACTAAATTGGGGAAAGGATGAATCGTTATCCAATTAGAATATGCCCCCAAGGATCCACACCTGCAAGTCCTCTGCCCACATTCCTCAAAAAGGGACTTGCGGCTTATCATTGGTCCTATGCAAGTGCTCTAGGCGCCATCACTCCTTCCTCGGCGCGTAGAGATCCAACCCCGTGTGCCGCGAACTGCCCCGCTCCTGGCCCCCTGCACCTTCTTCACTAAAGGTACCTAACCCTACGGATAGAAGAGCTTCCCGGTCCCTGTTGGCCCCGCCCTTGCCGAATGGAAAGAAAGGCACCGCGAGCTCCTCACTTCAGTTTTTACTCAACGCAACGTCGCCCTACTCAGCAATTATTCGTACGGATATTTTGTGTTTTCGATGCATTCGTACCTTATGTACTTCGTACGAAATATTCTTCCCACCTCACATTCAACCCTACTACCCACTACCCACCATCAATGCTCCCCAACCACGTCCTTTTCTGTTTCCGGGTCTCCCGCATACCCACCCGCCTTTTCGTCGCCGATTCGCTCTCTGCTTGTTCTTCATGATTCCGAGTCCGATTCTATTTTAGTCCGACTCTATTTGCGAAGTATACAACGTACCTCCTGCATCTGTCGTCATGCCTCCCCATCCATATGCTCGCCGACTTATTAGCATGCACTTCTCGTAGGGGATCCCTGTTCCCCCCCCCCTTTGGGTTCCTTCATTGATGCCACCGCATCATGTACAACGTACCTGTAAGGTACCGTCTTGCTTCTTCTGCCTTCGTGTAATGATTTTTGCCTCGCCCATCCAGGTGACTGAGCATCATGAGCTTCTCTCGACCAGAGGCGCGCTTCAAGCCATGCTGGGGCAGGGTCTATTTGCCCCACGGGCTCAAATGCCCGACCAGTATCGGCATGTCCGCCACATTCGCTTGATCCACTGTTTGATAAACAGATATCACGACCGCCTCGTCGACCTGACTTGAACCACCCAAGAGAAAACATGTGCCAACCGAACAACAGAAGACGAGGAAGCGAGAAGTAACAAGGGCCAGGGCAGTACTAAATCCCACTCATTTTCAGCCTGACCAATGGGTGCTAGCTTTGGCCACCTATCGCATCGAACTTTCGTCGTCCCTCCAGAATGGCGAAGCTCAGACAACATCCATTATTTTGGTATATTCAAAACCTCAAATTCTTCCAATGCTTTTACCTGGAAGGCAAGGCCATGCAAGCCCATGCAAGGCCATGCCTTCTCATAAACCCAAGTACGGGGTAGATCAAGCCAGCCTGCCGGCTAACCAACCAGCCACCTGCTCCGGAACCAAGCAACTGGTACGGATATTCTATTTTCTTCCCTTACTTTAGGACAAGTGAGGGCGAAGTCAAGAACATCGGCAGCAGCCCAGCCAGCAAGACGCTGAATATAGTAAAATATTGATGTCGGTTGATGCGCTCGCCGACAACTACATACACATCCTCGACACTGTTTGCTTGCGCCTGCCAACCAGCGGCCTTCTTCGCAGTCCCTCAACTCCACCAACCATTATTGTCTCTGCATAAGCGTGTCTATCTTCCCCATTCTCCCAAGCCCTGTCTCCACAACACGCAGCACCCGTGGCTTGTCGTCCTGCCAGCCCCTGGACGTCTAACCCCGGTCGTGGTGCCCTCGTAATGCATCGCCTTGGCTTGACCAAGTGAGCCGGTCCGCATCCGCTCTCCTCCTCCAGATCCCGGCGCCCAGCGCAGGGCCCTAATTTATGGTCCTCGACCGATCGTCCACTGACAGGCCAGACTCGACTATCTTAGCCGCCAGACTCCGACCCAGGCCTATTTGGCTCCATCACACCCAAGCATCCCGTCCCCCTCTTGTAGCGTAGCTCTTGGGGGGTTACCTCAGTAAATCACCTTTCTTTTCTCCTTTGCCTTTTTTTTTTTGTCCTGTCTACTCCTCTTCGCCTTACCTCACTTGCTTCATCCAACAACTTGCCTCTTGTGCTCGTGTTGCAACATCCTGCATCGCTGTGCTTAAACATACGACAAGCGTTTGCTGGTCTTCCGATACTCGAGCACTCAGGGCGAAGACGAGCGCTAAGCCGTCACTGTTCCCTGTACTATCTCGCCAGACCCCGACAGTGTGCCCGCTCGCTTCGGTAGGGTAGCCCGCTCGGAGCCATTCTGTGCCACTTGACTTCCACGCCGCCCCCCTCAGAACAGGAACCGGCCCTCCGTCACCGTCTTTTAACGCCTCCTTGCCCGACCGCTCTCTTCGTCTCGTTGTTTTCTACTCAACCACGAACTACACTCGCCGCGAGAGGGAACATTCGGGCAGCTAACAGATCACACTACAGCCACGACGGCTCACAACAGCGTCACAGCCTGGAACAAATCGATTGAGCCTCTACGAATCGACTCCACGCTTCAAATTTTGGTCCCGCGAGCTTGGTCCGCTGAAACGTGCAGTGTCGTCGGGTCCGGGAACCGGCATTGAAGGGCTCCATGTGATGGGCTAGATGGAAAAGGTGTAGCCTCACAAACTGTCCCTTGCTTCGTCACGATACCGGCGACTGGGCTTTCTCTTCACCTCTTCTTCTGGGATTGAATACGGGTTTGTATGTGAACCGTCTCACAGAGCGTCATGCCCCCTTTCTCCTCTTCTTCGAGTACCTCTTTTGATCCGCCTGCAAAGCTCCTCTGGGGACACGGGGACCGCAGACGTTCCCGGATATGACATCCCCCTCCTGCAGGTTGCCGGCTAACAGTGTACCTGTGACTAGATCGAGGCCCCGAAAGCATATCAGCGCCGCCATGTCCGCATCCGCCCTCTCCAGGCACCGCACTGACACGGTCAGTTCTGGAAGGTCGTCTAGGGATCGCGGCACTAAGACACAGGACTTCACCATGTCGCCGTCCAGTATCCCGCGGTACTTTGAGCCGGCCGCGGCCACTGCCTCCATGTTTCTCTACGCGCAAGGTACCTCAATCGTCTGCGCCCACCATGATACCCTGACCATTGAGAGGCGCTTTTCTCGACATTCGGACGAGGTCCAATTGCTCGCCGTTGATAATCACAGCGAGCTTGGAGGTGGTAGACTGGTGGTCAGCTACGATGCTGGCCAAACAGCCATAGTATGGGACCTTATGACTGGTGATGAAGTGGCTCGCTTTTCTTCTTACGAACATTTGACCACTGCCGTATGGATGCGAAGCGGGAATGTTGCGTTTGGTATGTCTGGCAAGCGCCCTGCATTTGTTGCCCTTTACTTTCTGCTGACAATCTGTAGGGAATACCCAGGGCAATATCATCCTCTTCGAGCCCACAACTTCAGAACACATCTCTGCGAGAACGATTGATCAAATAGCCGTCACAGCCTTGGCTCCTGCCGCAGATTGTCGCACATTTGCTATTGGGTATGTTCCCTGGGGAAAACCACGGAGCATAGCATAGTGAACTGACGCGGCCCGTCCTTCTAGATATCAGAATGGCTCCCTCCTTATAGCCACACTACAACCAAGATTCACGATTCTCCACAACCTGACCACATCGAGAGGCCCGTCACCTATCGTTACACTCCATTGGCACGCCTCTTCATCCCGGCAGAAGTCGGACATGCTCGCCGTTCAGACTCACGATGGCGACCTCCGAGTCTGGAGCGTGTCCAAAGCCTACAACAGCGACGACCCGGCCAAGGTGGTCAGGATACTGAAACGGACCGAGAACCAAATCACAGCCCCTAACTGGATGGCCTGGTCCAAGAACGGCCGCATAATTCAATATTCAGACTCGTAGGACCTAAGACGCCCCTTTTTTTTTCCCATTACGAATGCTGCACGCGTGCTCAGGTGCATAAGGCTAACCACGCATCAAATATAGGCAGACAATCTCCTGGGATGTAAGGACTAAACATGTCACGTATGACAGCATCCCCACGCTTGACCACGTCAGGGGTCTTGCCGTTTATGGCCCCGGGGCAAACCTTTTCACTCTCGGCGCCAACAACACGGTGCAGCAATTCGACCTCAACTTCCCCGCCCTCATGGTGGCTAATGTCCAACACCCGGCCAATCTTCTGCCCCCATCGCCTCCGGTATCCATCGAGGAGCAGATGAACCAGTCGGCGAAAAGCGCGACCACAATCGCGACCGATTCGGATGCCACTTCAGGGACCGTCGAGATGGGTATTTCGGAGAGCGATGATGACCACGTGTCCGCCTTCGCTCGTATGGTTCGCCGGGACGACTCGGAGTCTTCCGCTCATGGAGACCGATACGACACCGCAAGTCCCGCCTCCAGTCTCAGCAGAGGCTCGTCGATATCGAGATCCTCCACCGGTTCTGCAACTCCCGGTCGCTACCCGTCGTCCGTAATCTCCCGGTCTCGCACCGAAAACACTTACATCTCGTCTGGCGCCTCGTCTATGCGGTCTTCCCAGGTTTCCGCACACAGGGAGCGGGATTTGTATTCAGCTAGCGGCATGAGCGGAACATCGACAAGATCTCGGCATAAGCAATCCCGCTTGCGTCACGAGGTTCTCCCGAGTCCACAAGAGTCTAAAGTCAATGACTTGTTCAAGTTTACCCGAAGCCGTCTCAGCGACGTTCCTCATAAGCGCCCTATGATCAGTGAGACGGGCCGGCTCACTAACGATGACCTTCGCCGACAAATGCTGAGCACGATTTTTGGCTGGCATAAAGAAATGGATGACTTGGTTCGGGACGAAATGAGTCGCCATACTACCGGGTCGCCAAGCCGCATTCTTCTTGCGAAGTGGCTAGGCGACATTGGTGTCGACGTGATGGCTGCCGGTTCGGAGTCAATGACATCGTCGGACTGGATGTTGCTGGCGCTCAGCGGAATCGGCGGCCAGGGTGTCCAGGCCGCTCAGCATAAGCTTGGTCGTGCATTTGTGCAGAGACTACTGGAGAGCGGTGATATCCATGCCGCCGCCACCATCTTGATAGGCATGGGTGACTACAACGATGCCATCGAGATCTACGTGTCGCATAAACAATACATGGAGGCCCTCATTCTTCTGTGCCTTTTCTTCCCGGCTGTCTGGGAACGTCAGGCTGTAGTCATCAGGAAATGGGGAGACTGGGCGATTGCGCATGGGCAGCGAGAACTGGCAGTGCGATGGTGAGTGCTTCGATCTGCTCTTCCCTTTCCCCTCACTTCGCGCCCTACCGCTAACCGGCCACAATGCAGCTTTGCTTGCACCGGACAGGAATCTTCGGAACCCTGGACATCTCCATCGGCTGCTCAGGTCAATTTCCAGAGCCTTAACTCCTCAGTGAACCAGGGCATTCCCGAAGTCCTCTCCCCACCCCTGTCTCCCCCTGGTATTAACCGCGGACCACAACGAAGCATCGCCAAGACGTCAGCGCTGAAGCTTATCACTTCGTTTGGTGACCAAGGCACGAAGTCAAAGTTCTTTTCTCAAGCGGATGGAGGCCAAACTCCCATTGCCGCCGGCGTCACTCCCATTGCAGATTCGGCGATTTCTCCCGGAGGGTTTGATGTCACTACTGCTTTTATCAAGCCTTCCAGCCGGAGTCAATTCAATACGCCAAGCTCTGCGAGATCCAACTCGTCGGCCTTTGGCCGCAAGCGCCTCCCGTCTATTGGAGAAGTAGCCGCGGACATACCCCGGGATCGGAAGGCTGGCGAGCTGTCGACTCATGGGCCTGACTCGAACGACGCTCGTAGGGGATACTTGCGTATGTCCTCCGACGAACAAGAGGTGCTGGCCGCGGGCCTCACCCTACAACGTGCTGCTACGGCGAGCCCGATGATGATGCGGGACCGCAGGACTGCCGTGAAAGACCACGACAGGGGCCCGCTCCCCTCACCCGATGCCTTGGTCACAGTGAAGATGGAGAGCAGCGCGAACCGTCGGAATGGCTCACGCGACCGCATTCCCAAGGGTCTTCAGCTTCAGCTTCGACCTATCGACCCTCACGGTTCCGAGATTGCCTCTCCGGAACAATCGGTTACCTCTTCCACTCGTTATCATTGGCCGTCTCGGCGACGAGGCCCCGGGTCAGTCGCAAGCTCTGCCACATCTCAATCCAGTGCAGGCCGGAGCCATCGCAGCAATACTACGGGGGGTGGAAGACAGGACTATATTCATAGCTTGGATGCTGCTCAGCACTATTCTCGAAAACAGCGAAGCCGACACAGCAGCCGGGAAGGCCGACGCGAATCCCGCGGCCGGGACCGTGAGGGAAGCCGTTCTCGCACCCGCACTGGGAAATCGCGGGAGAGATCTGAAGATCGCGGCCGCTCTGCGACTCGCAACTGGCCCAAGGCGAAGCGATCACCTACCTCGCCAATCCCCATGTCTCCCGAGGACCTCATCAACCTTAGTACACCCAAGTTTCTTGACGGAGGCATAGGCGATGACCCTGTCACGGCGAGGAAGAGCAGCAAGACCCGATCGAAGACGGCCAGTCGTGCATCGAGTCGGGGTAGCCACAGCCGTCACAATAAGGCCGAGGAAAAGATGATCCCACCTCCTCTGGATCTCAGCGGCCGTGGTAAGGGGCGTGAAAGTTCTCTGGTCCGGTCGCCCTCCTCGCCAGTACCCATGTCTGCCCATACCATCCATTGTCAAGGATCGGAGGATGAAGAAGATTACAGGAGGGCCTTGGAGGACAAGGAACGGTTCCGCATTCGCCACAATAGGAGCGCTAGCCAAAGCATTGGTGGCGACCCGACGTCTCCTGTCTCGACAAGACGCGAGCGTTCGGAAAGCCGGCGTCGGCGTCAGAACACATCCCAAGAGTATCAGCGCGAGCCGGCACCGGCACCGACACAATCTGCTCCACAAGGCTCCTCTGCTAGGGATCACGCTGGTGATCTGAAGGCGATGAAAGACGAGCGGCAGCGCAAAAAGGAGCAGGCAGCCCGTGAGCTGGAAGAGCGCCGTAAATCGCTGGCTAAGCGGCCCTCGGCCCCTCCTATTCCCCATCCGAACGACATCTCCTCTGCTTTGGGCCAAATCGTGGAGGCGCCTGCTTCTCTCCAGAGTGACGCGCCATTGCGGAGCCGTGATGAGCAGCCCCGAAGCATGTACGCTCGCAGTGGAAATGCCAGCGGCGTCTACATCGGGCTCCCGGCGACCCCGAAGGCGATGCGACTCATCCTGGAGTCGGACAACAATGGTTATGGCAACGCTGACGTGCCGCCCATCCCAACAACCTTTGCTCAACGACACTCTCCAGCCACTTCGCCCCAGCAATCGCCCGAAAAAGAAAAAGAAGCCGTGCCCCTGACTCTTCTTCCGTCGACGGTATACCAGCCACCAGCTCGACCCCAGATCCCCCGTAGCATGTCAGCGCCGATTCCAGAAGATCCCCCGCACATGCGGCGATATGCGGACAAACCTCACATTCGGACTCATTCCCGGGCAAACTCAACAATGAAGGGCGCATTGGGCGAAATGCGCGGAATTGACGAGACCCTAGGCAGCAACGAAGGACCGGCCCGGCGGGCATCGCACGATGACCATATGCCACCACCGCCTCCGCCTCCTCCCCCACCTTTCCTGAAGGAACTTCAACACCTAGCGACACCACCACCCCCTCCCCCCGCCCCGTTGCCACATATGGCCTCTGCTGGAGCGGGGGCTCTGGTGAACGGAATGATCGAAATCGTCGTCGACGACGACGAGCCCCCTGCCACTGTAGCTGCCCCAATGGATATGACGGTGCCGGTCCTAGCTCCTCCCGCGCCACGGAGCTCCAAAGGCCATTCACGCGGACGCAGCTTCACAGATCGCGATCGCGACCATGGTTTTGCGAGTCGCCTGTCCAAGGCGACGGAGCGGCTGCGGTCCGCCAGCCGCGGACGCAAGGAGGCAGGTGCATCACGCATGCGTTCACCAGTTGACGGCGCCGCCCAGGTCGCCCCTTACGAGAGCGTTCCGCCTCCTGGCTATTTATAAGATCCAATCTTGTGCGGCGGTGTCCTATGGTCGACACTGTACCAGTCCCGGGCAGACAGGATAGCGAGACGAGTTTAGCTCTTTTCTTTTATACTACCCATCTTTTTTTGTTTATCTTTTCCATTTTCTTTTCTTCCACACACGGCCTGCCTCCCTCACTTTCTATGCCCGGCGAATTCGCATGGCGATTGGTGTTGGGTGGTTATTGATCTGGGTTTTTGTCTTTCCTTCCGACCTATATGAACTTTGGGTATATATTTCTTTTTTTCCACCATCGTGTCGTTTGCTTTACTGCCGATGGCATAACTATGGCATTTTCCTTTTATGGCTCGAGGAGGTCTATGATTATTTGGTGGAACAGACAACACGAGATGGCTTAACTTTGGGAACTTGTATTATTCGAAGCTATCATTGATGAGATTTTGAATGAGGGGGTTTGGACATTTTGCCTAACTCCATGGGACAACTGCTTCGTCGCTTTCCTTTTGTCTTTATCTCTCTTTTTGCTTTGGTTTCTTCTCTTGCGCTCTGAGGGCAATCATGACTAACGACTCGAGTGGAAGACGGTGACGGCCCAGTGGACCAGGTGGGCTTGGGTCAATGGCCATTTACTCGGATCACGGGTTCAAAATGGGACATTTCGAAGCAATAAAGACAAAAACGACCCTCGGGGGTCTAGGAGGATGAGGACGAGGAGATGGGTTTGACAAGGGAAACAAGTCACAGGAAAAGTAATGCTCTGTCTAGGAGGGAGGGTTTAAGTTATATGTTGCCTCACGGCATCTTGTGTAGTAGGAGGGTTACCTAGGTAGTCGCAAGTAAATAGTAAGTGGTATACCTAAGGTAGGTAGTTTGGTTGAATTGAAGTGTTTTCGTGTTCGGTCGGCATAAGATTGGGTTATATTTCTCTAGGTGATGTAGGACGTTGATATGCTTCGTGAAGAACCAGTCTTACCGTAATAACTCTTCTTAGCCTTTTTATTATAATATCTAGAACGCGACTATACTAATTAATAGAGGAGGTATAAGGATACTAAAGTAATAATAGGAGGTAGGGGAAGATGAAATATCTTCGAGACAAGACCAAAAATCAAAATAGAAAAAGAAAAAAAAATCAAAAAAGAAATTGGAGTCGTCTACTCCATCTCAACTCTCCTACCCATACCCCCAGCGATCGTAATCCAACACGCCACGCGACGGTGGAGATGTCTCTGCAGAGTGAAGCCTCCCTCAAGGGTAATCTCCATTGCTTAGGGCCGTACGCAGCATCGCTGGTTACCCAAGCGAGTGGACGGCCACCGCAGCATTCGTGTTGGGCGCCGACTGGGGGGTTCGAACTGGGACTGGGTCGTTGAATTGAGAATTGCGAGTGCTTTCCCCGTTGGGCCATTACAGCCGAACGATTTCACGTTAAAGTTACTTATATACCTTAGGACGGCAGGATCCACTTTCTGGATTAGTCACTTGCCGTTCCGTAGACGTACTTTATATGCTTCGTACCTGTCTAGACTTCACGAACTTGCAACTTGGGGACGAAGCGAAGATCAATTTCGCCCAACCGAGGCTCAGTCGGCCATTGAGAAAAGCCTTGTAATTACACCCTTCTCCCTTCTCCATGAAATAGAAATGGATGTGCATTGCCATCCACTTCCGTCACGACTTCATTCCTAGCCTGCTCGGCAGTCAGGTTGCTACTTGGCCGCTTGCCTCCTCCTCGTCGACTTGCCCACGTCAGCTCGCCGGCGCCGACTCCCTCGAGCGAACCGATCGATCGCCCTCTCACGCAATCTCTTCTGGCCCCCCATCCTCCGCTATCCACAATGCTCACGACAAAACCACACCTCCTCGTCCGCCGACCTTCCCCGACAACGGCCGAATACACCGTCACCACAGCTCCCGCGCCGACCCTGCCCTACCGTCTTATCCTCCTCTCTCTCTTCCCCCTCCGCCTGTTCGCCGGCGTAACGGCCCTCCTTCTCCTCCTGTCCAAATACCGTCTTCATATTCCGGACACAACCTCCTTTCCAGGGCCTCCTTTCCCCTTTCCCTGGGGAGACACCCTTCGATCCGCGTTAGGAGCCGTCGTCCTCTCCCCGCCGGGACTCCTCGCCTCCCGCGCCGCTGCCGCGATTCCCACGCTCGTGCTGATTCCGTTCGCGGCTATACTCCTCTATCTCGCGCTCCGTCGGCTCCATGTCACGGAATGCCTTCTCGTTCTGCGCGGGCTGGGGGTGCAGACGAGTTCTTCCGGGGGGACGTATCTCTCTCGGAAGGCCACGCGGTTTATACCCACGGAAAAGATCCGCGACGTACTCATCAACGAGGCTTTTCGCGGGTTTGAGGTGCGGCATTATCTTGTTGTCGTTGTCGAAGGGGAGGAGGATGTTGTTGTGGTGTTCCCACGCTTGTTACCCAGGCGGCATATTGTAGAGACGGTCTGGAGGGGAGTGCGTGGGTGTCTCCATGAGGGTGAGGAAGGGAAGAGCTGATGGTGATGATGGGTCTATTGGGTATGTGAATATGTGAATTGTGTGATGAGGAGCGAGGAGCAAGCAACAATATGCTCCAGTTCTATTCTATCCCTTTTTTTTCCCCTCTCTTCTTTTCTTTTCATTTTCTCTCTGTTTTGTTTCTATTTCGCTGCATACTTCCTGCATGATCATACCCCTTTCGCTTTCGCTACTCCTCGCCATTTCCTAATTGCGACGCAGCACGGCGGCTATTTTTCTCCTCTTTGATGATGTTCCGCCAATCGCCCGCGTTCCGCATCGCCTCGGCCGACTTGAATCCCTTGCGCTGCGCCCAGCGGTCATTGATCTCCTCTGGCGACGGCGCCTTGCTCCGTTCCAGCAGCGGCATGAAAGTCCCCGCTCTCCTGGCGTTGTCCCCGCCGGCGAACACCTTGTGCAACATGCTGTTCTTGACGCGAGGTTGATTTCCTTCTTCCTCTTTTCCCGCAGTAGAGCCTAGCCGCATCACGTGATCGAGTAGCCTGTTCGCCAGCAGCTCGTCCATCTTGCGCTCCCGCCATTCCTCCCAGAGAGCGTCCAGCACCCCGCCCCAAGCGTGCCGGTTCTCTTCTGCTTCGTATACCCACCGCAACCCACCGCCCTCACTGTCGCCCTTGTCACCCTTGTCGCCCTTGTCGCCCTCCCTGAACAGGCAATCCCAGAGCACGAGGGGCACCTCGTGCGCCATCTGGTAGCTCGGCTTACGCGGGTTCCGTTCCACATCTAGCAGTTCCGAGACGATAGACGGCGGCTCCAAACCCTGTCCGACGAGGAAGAGCACGGCGACCATGTGCCGGATCTGGTGCCAGAGGAACGACGACCCGCGCACGTTAAACGAGTACACCTTGGGCAGGGGCTCGCCCGGCGCGACGCTGACGCCGGCCTCGGAAAGGTAAGGGAGCGCCGAGGACGCGCCCGGAACTTCGACGATGTCTGCGTCGAACATGACGCGCTCGAAACTGGTGAGCTGCTTGCTGCCGTCCACCTTGCAGAAGTTGCGGAAGTCGTGGGGTCCTATGAACCTCCGCGCGGCCTCCCTCATGACGTCGATGTCGAGCCATCCGGCCGGCGGGGTCGTCTTTTTGGAATCCGCCGTCGCCGTCGCCGTCGCTGTGGGCAAGAGCGCCGCCGGTATGGGGTTGAAGGCTGGCTGCGTGAAGAAATAGCGGTATTGCCTCTCGATGCACGAGAAGCGGGCCGAGAACCCGGGCGGCGGCGACGGGCACCATGCCAGTATGCGGATGTCCTTGGGCAGCAGCCGGTTGAGAATCTTACAATAGTCTAGCTCCTTGCTATCGTCCCAGGGAGGTTCCTCGACCGCCGCCTGTGTCTGGCTCTGGGCGCCTTCTTCCGGCTTGGACTCGCTCGCATCCGTCATGCTGACATCCTGCTGTCCCTCAGGACGTCCTTCGCCTTGCGGTGCCTCGGGCGGCTCCCGCTGTTGCTTAGGCAACGGCCGGTTACTCCTGACCCGCAGCGCGATGACCTGGCCGAACGCGCTGACGCCCCGATCTGTGCGCCCGCATTTGGAGTACTCGCAACTGTCAAAGTCGACCGGCGCGTCCTCGCCGCTGCCACCACCCCGGGGAAAGACGAGACAGGCCCTGGTGAGGGCGGCCCAGAGCGTCGACTCGATGGTGGGTATGTTGGACGAGGGCTGGTACTCGAAGCCGCCGTAGTTTTTACCGAGGTAGGCCAGCTTCAAGGCGATAAAGCGAGTCGAGTAGCGCGACGGGTCGACCCTTTCGGTTCCCTTTTTGCGCTTCTTCGCGGGCGGAGGCTGCACGTCGCCGGCGGAAGTCGGGGCAGGCGGAAGGGAGGTGGACGACGGAGCAGAGGCGTTGGGCTGTTGTTGTAGCTGGCTTTCCAACTTGCGGATATGTGAGATGAGGCGATCCTTTTCCCATGTGTCATAGGTATTATTCCGTCCTGCGGGCTCGGCCATCTTTGCGGTAGACTCCGTGCTAGAGTCGCTCATAAATTGCCGCTGGCGATATTGCTGTAGAACTGTAGATGGCTGGGGCTGCAAATGTCTTGCGCTTAAAGTCGGGTCATGAAGACAAACCAGTGTCGTTTGAGGCCGAACGGCACGGAGGCTTCTCACAGCCCTCATACGTTAAACATAGGGGAAAGTATTTAAAGTGGGATTATGTTCCTCGTCAATGAGGTGAGATGGACAGAATCCGCCACAGTTTCTTAGTTGAGACGTTGAAATTCCTTATGAGCCATCCGGAAAACCTGACCCCCCCTTTCCCCTTAACCCAGCTGTCACCAGCCACAAATGAAGTGACAATGTGGCTGTGCACATGATGTGGCTCGCGTTCTCCACTGTCCCACGCCACGCCCATCCAACTTCATCGCGTTTTTCCGTAGTTTTCTCACGAGCTCGCTCAAATCGCATGGTAAGGGACTTTCTACGGTTTTCGCAGGGTGGGATTAGTGCCGTAGCTCCATTGTAGTGGACTTTGGAACAGACTGGAAGACAGTAGATTGATCACTTGGGCACAGTCACACCAAGACGGCTCCTCGATAAACTGGGCTGTCCGTTCCAAACCACTCATTTTCGAATAAAATTTCCCGTCGCTGATTTCATGGGTTCATTAAAATACATGCCCCTTTCCCATCGTGACACAAAGGATACTCAGAACCCTTCCCACAGCTATCCCTATAACCTACTCTCGGGTCTCCAGTCTCACCCCTTCATGACGGTCAGGCGTGAGCCAATAGGCAAAGAAAGATAGCTGAATGCCCACCTACCCTCGCCCATGCGTGCCCATACTGCGGCCCACATCTACGGACATGCTGGAGAGCGACCTCGAACCTCCCTGGCACTTCAGCCTATCATCACGAAGACATGCCGTGGGTTTCGGCATATCTGAGCTGGCTCTGACCGTTTGCACCAAGGACTCGGGAGCTTCCAGGGCTTGCAGTAAAACGGACATTGGCAGTGCTTAGGCGACGACGGCCGGGCTGTCGCGGAGCCCAACGAGGAAGTCGAGGGACGCGCGGAGAAAGGGGGAGGTGATGACTAGAGGCCACCAATCGGAAGAAGTGAGAGTTTCGTAAACTCTAACTGCAGTTCGTCGATGTTGGTGGAGAGGTTCCCCTAGGACGCCCCATTCTCCGCAGGGACATCTCCATTTCCTTCGCCCGACTTTGCAGAGTCGGTTCCCTGGGGGGGAGGAAAGTGGCCGAGTACGTCGGCGATGATGGCGACAATCTCGCTCTGCTGGTCTTCGTTGAAACGGTCGCTCATCTCTTCTAAAATGGTGTTGAGCGCCACGACGTTGGCTGGCCGAAGGTTGAAGATCATGATGAGCTCGCCCTTGGCCAGATCGTACGGGTGCAGCCGTCGCACGAGTTCTCGGATACTGTCCTGGGTGTAGGGTAGGGGTTTCTGGCTCAGCGGGCTTGGTGAGGTTGTGAGATACTGGATGACCTGGGAGCAAGACGTCAGCAGACGAAGTGTCGAGACGGAGTATTGAGAAAGGGGTGGTTGCGACATCACGGTGGTCGATCGTACTTCTTTCCGAAGGGTCTCGTAGTTCGCTGGGCCCTTTTTGCCCATCCGTTTGCTGCCCATAGACACTTGGGTGACGTGGTGAATAACTTCATAGTTTGTCAAGACAGCGGACTGGGATTCGAGGATTTTCATGATGAATGGCAGGCTGGTGTGATGGTGTCGAGCTTCTACTCTGTAAGCTGCAGTTGACAGGAGAAACCCCTTGACCCTCTTCAACGGATGGTTACTGGGTGGTAGAATTAAGATAGCCACAGTACCGTATGTACTTAGTAAATGAGCTTCGCGGTGCGTCACTTCGAGATGTACGAGGCAAGGTGGCAGAGTCTATTCGGGCTGAACATGATTTCGGAGAACGTCGTTACGAATATTACTCCGTAGAAGGTCTCTCCCCAAGTTTAATTTTAGGGGGACTTACTCAAAACAAGTTTGTCTGGACGATAAGCGAGCGCCTTGTATTTTCGTGGTGTGTCGCGCTTGACGGGGACGTGTCTGGGGAGGGGGAGGTAGTGGGGGTTCCGGATAAGGTACCTTACATAAGGTACCTAGCATTGGAGCATATACAAAAGTACCTTATGAAGTACTCCGAATCTCGCAAGTAGCTTACGAATAAGAGCGCTATTTGATCGGTACCTAATCACATGTGCAAACTGTACCTATCCGTCAGGGTAAGTTGTTCAAATTCACCAAGTCACCAGGAGATGGAAGATAGAAACGCTGACAATATGGACGACCATCCGGAGCTACCAACATGACCTGTAATGGTACTATTAAGTCCCACGGATGAATGGATGGATTGGTGACCAGTTGAGAGACTATGAGTGAGTGACACTGTTCTGGGTTCAAGGGAAAAAAGCTAGAATAACGGATCATGGCATCCACCCAAGGTGTGACATCTTGCTTTGTACATATAAGGCATGTAGTCCGTACCGCACACAGACGGTCGTACCTCCTCAGACGATCGATCGGCCATTTGCTTGATTTCACTGACACACCTGTCTCCTGGGTATAAACTTCCTTTATTGGGCACTTTGTTATTTAAGCGGTGTGACATTCCTATCCATCTACAGATTGCGAGTATGTGAAACTGGGTGTCACCAAACAGTAGCCCTACGCAGGCAGAGGACCTATAGTAGAAAGGGTGGCTTGGGCTGTCTGGATGGTGTGATTGATGTACTCCGCAGACTGTGGCAGGCTACTTCTTTGTGAAGTACCTTGGTTGAGAGCGAAAAAAAGACCGACTCCACCGAGGTCAAGCTTCAATTTTTTTTTTTTGCCTTCAAAGTCCCCGGAGCCCTTTCACCGATCCCGAATCGACCCTTCATGCCCCCTTCTTGTACATAGTTTGCCCCGCAACATCTTCGCCCATTAATCACTACCATCTTTCTTTCCACCTCCCAACATGCTGCCTCTTTAGCCCTGACCAAACAAGCTTGTCGACTTCAACAGGCACAGGCAATCGCTTTCCAGTCTCTCTTCCCCCCTCCGTCCCGCACCGATTCTCGGCATTGACTTCCTACGCATACGCGGTGACGTCGCCTAGGTCGAGACCCCGGTTGTCCACAGAATCACGACCATTTTTTTTTTTCCTCAGTCACGTCTCCCGGAGATCTTACCCAACGCTACCCCGTTGCCGACTCCTTTTTCGAGGCCCGAGTTGGCTCGTACACGACTACTTTATACAGGACGAAATTCCTTCAACCGAACCGGCGAGTTTAAGGTCCCCCAAAAACCTTTACTGGGTCCACGAGTCATTCAACATCGAGTCGATTGCAGCAATATCTCGTTCCGCTCCTACCAATAATTCTACAGGCTCAAGCCAGTTCATTACAAGCTAAGGGTCCTGTTCACCATCCTTGGTCGCAATGGTTCGGAACATTGTCATCCTCGGTGGGAACTCCCACCCGGAGCTCGTTGATAATGTTTGCAACAACCTCGGCATAGCTCCGGGCGAGCGTATCCTCACAAAATTCTCCTCTGGCGAGAGTCGGTGCGAGATCAAAGACTCCGTGCGAGGCAAGGACGTATATATCATACAATCTGCCGCCGACTCGGTCAACGATGGCTTCATCGACCTTTGTATCATGGTGTCCGCCTGCAAGACCGGTTCCGCTAAGAGGGTCACCGCCGTCATGCCCTTGTTCCCCTACTCGCGACAGCCCGACGTTCCCTACAAGAAAGCTGGCGCGCCTCTATCGAAGGCAAGCCACCCGACTAAGAATGGTTACACCTTTGAAAGCGTCCCGGGTACGCCTCACCCAGGGATTACGAGGACCCAATCTCTTGGCCCCGACATCAACGGGTTGGATACAAAGCTTGCTAGGACCAAGCTCGCGGAGAACGGCGTTAATGGCACAACCTGTAACAAGGCTGACGGGCCTCAGACCCCGTCAGGGGCTGAGCGCCGTAACGCGCCCTCTGGCTCATCTGCATTCAACTACACCACACATGACTACCAGAATCACAGCCTCCTCGCCAATTTCAAGTCGAAGCCGGGTTACAAGCAATGGGTCGCCCAGGCTGGTACCCTAGTGGCAGACCTTTTGACCTGTGCAGGCGCTGATCATGTGGTGAGTGCCTGTTAGCCCGCGTTGCATGGAAGCATATGCCTTGTCTCAACATGTTTTAGCACTTTGGTGCTCATGGCTTTTGTGTTGTGCCGTTCCTTTTCCTTTTCCTTTTTTTTCCAATTTTTCTTCTTCTTTCCAACTAACGACCCGAACAGATTACGTGAGTAACGTCCCGACCTCCTATGATCGTGATCGTCACTTCGACCGCCTAGCTCTTCAGCGTCTCTGAAATGGGTCCCATCTCCCAACCCTGATTTGGCTGGACCCGCACGGGATTCTGGGGGCAGCATGTACTAACCGAATGTAGGATGGACCTGCATGATCCTCAATATCAGGGCTTCTTCGACGTCCCGGTAGATAACCTCTACGGGAAGCCCCTTTTGAAGAGGTACATTCAACAGCATATCCCCAACTACAAGGAGGCTGTTGTGATCAGCCCCGATGCAGGAGGTGCCAAACGGGCAACTGCTGTAGCCGACGAGCTCGACATGGATTTTGCCCTCATCCACAAGGTATGATGCAACAATCAACCTAAAAAGTCCCGAGGCGGACGGTTGACATTGTCTTTAAAGGAACGCCGTCCCACCAAGTACAGCGAGATGCGCAATGCCAGCATGATGCTGGTGGGAGACGTCAGGGACCGGGTATGTATCCTCATCGACGATCTGATTGACACCGGCAACACCATCACTCGAGCGGCGAAGCTACTGAAGAAGGAGGGTGCGACGGCCATTTACGCCCTGGTTACCCACGGCATCCTCAGCGGCGATGCCATTCCTCGCATCAATGCGTCAGCCATCGACAAGTTGATCGTGACCAACACGGTGCCGCAACTCGAGCACAAGCGGCTGTGTACCAAGCTTGTGACCTTGGACGGTAAGCGAGGCGCAGACGATGTCAGACAGTGTCGTGCTCAAGCGCTAAACAATGCTCTTTTGTTGTTCCAGTATCCCCCGTGTTCGCAGAGGCCATCCGACGCGTGCACCACGGAGAGTCCATCAGCGTACTTTTCCAGTTCAACTAAGGAGGTCCAAACCGTGAAACAAAAAAACGACCATCTAGAGCTAGACGAACCGGCGTTTGATATTCCAGGATCGAAGGAGTAGTATTATGGGATGGCTCCTTTGTAGGGTCAAATTAAGTCAACGGTTACGCGTTGGCACCACCACGTCGTGGTTGATCCCTACCTTAGGCAGGCGTTATTCGGGCAGGGAATTGGGTCTGCGCATGCGCTCATCCGAGGACGAGCTCCCACAACAAATACGTGGGAGAATTGCTTTGACTGTTTTTGTCTCTCTCTTCGTCCTTTCTGTGTGCCCCCCCCCCCCGCCCCCCCCCTTTTTTTTTTTTTCCCCTGCCTTCCCTTCCCTTCCCTTCTCTTCCTTTTTGGCGGGGTATGCTGTGGGATACACACATCTGCATCATATTACCATGAAAATGCCTGAGCTCACGGTCGGGGGTCCCCAAGTACCGTGCCTAGTCATTGACTCCCAGTCTCGAGGGAACCAGTGGCCCGTCCGTCAATGACGGCTTATGCGTACCTTGGCCCTCAAGACTCGGCTACGGGGGATAAACACGTCTTTGCTATCCCCATGGCGACGTTGTAAAGGATCCGAAACAGCGTGGAGGGAGTCCGAGGGAGGAAGTATAGTGGATTTCGATGGCTTGGTCCTCTGGGCCACAGCAGCGCTTAAGCTAAGCACACCCTATATAGGGATGTTTCGACAATGCCCCTTGGGTGACCGACTTCCAGGTTGACCTCGATGAGGACCTCGACAGGTGTGCGGGGTTGCATAAGGCAGTAAAGGTGTCTGGTTGCTTCTACTCTTTTGTGAACAAACAACGTTCTACTTACATATTAGGGATCTACTCCGCACCTTACTATGCTGTGCCTAAGGGTACTAGAAATATACTCCGTGACCAAAGTCCATGTGGAGGACAAATGGCCTGCTTGGTGGCTTTTTCATGGTGGCTCGTGATAGTGCCTGCCTGCGGCTCTTCTACTGAGCACTACCATACTGTGGTTACAACGAATGTGTAAGGTACGGACAATAAGCACACCTTAAGTATAACATCATCCTTCCAAGTAAGGTACCTTACCTTACATATTCTGACTGACAGTTGACTGAGCGCTAGGCAACCTTACGTACCTTGCCACGTGTGGCAGGACATTGCGGCTCATTACTCGGCTCTGACCTAAGGTAAGGCAAGGGAAGGTAGGCAGCAATGGTGAGGAGGGGCAAGGAAATCGTTATTTATGGTACTCGGTCAGGTATTGAATTGGGAACTGTTGACTTCCCTCCTTTCCTCTCCCCTTCTTTGCCCCGGCGTGTCTTGATCACTTGATATTTCTTTTTTCCCCACCAGTTCTCTGGGCTCTGTGCTATACTGATCCTTCCCTGGGGTTTGACTACAGACAGGCAGGAGCATACATACCTACCTTTTACGCAGTTGACAGTTGACAGTTGACATACGCCCCCAGAGCCATGACGCGCAGCAAGTTCAACGGAGACGTAGAAGCCGCTGCAGACACGGCCATCGACAATATTTCCGACGTGAAGAGAGGAGATGACGACGGCCAGCTCTGCTTCGTCTTTACTCACCATTTTGCTGAAATCTCGATTCCTATTCGGATGCTTACCATCTACGTGGACACCTACCCGAACCAGCATGGCTTCTTGGCATATACGGACTCCGATGATGTGCCACCATCGGTGACGAAAGCTCTGCACTCTTTCTCGGGCACCGCTCCGAACAAGTCAGTTGCAGAAGCTTTGCGAATTCTGTCTGCGAAGCTCAAGACAACTTTCGCGTCTAGTGCGTTCGACCCTGAACTGAACCATGAACACCACACTCACGCTGCGGAGATGGCTGACACGCTCGAAGACTCAGATGGCGACACCGGCATTGCCCTGCAGAACGATTACGACGACAACGATGACAACGACGACAACGATGACAACGACGACAACGATGACAACGACGACAACGATGACAACGACGACAACGATGACAACGACGACAATGATGATTTTGATGATTTTGATGACGACGACTACGACGAAGGCTTTCTTGGATCGCATTTGGACGATTTCGACGACGACTACACCCTCGAGTTCGACCCCAAGCCAAAAACAGAAACGACCGAACAGCACCCCCCCGGCAGGCCCGCCGTTCCAAGCTCGCCCACCCTGATTTCTGACCTACGCCGGGCGAAAGAGGCGGGTGTAAGCATCGGCGTTCTGACAGAGCAACGCTCTGGCGGCATATTCTCTCTCTCCGTGCCAGTGAGCAAAATGGGCCTTCCGGAAGACACGTTGACCGCCTGGGGGGTCAATCCGAAGCAGTATCTGGTCCTGTTATGCAAATATGCATCTCGTTACCGGAACCTCTGTCTTATCAAGACCAATTCACTTGGACCATCTCGCGGCACGGAGTTTCGCTTTGGCGCCTGCGACAAGTTCAAGCCATCTTTTGCGTCGGCGACCGCAGTCTTCACCGACTGCGGGACCCCGGAGTTCGGCATTCCCCCTCCCGTCAAGGACCACGACTCCGACGGGCAGTTTCGTCCCCTGCACATCTCGAACTCGCTGGACATGTGGATGAAGGCGGAGTTTGAAAGCCTTCTCCACCTTCGCCTGAAGTGCGGTCTGTCTTGGGACAGCGCAAAACAAGAGCTGGACGAACTGGCCAAGCTACCGCAGCTGGAGCGCGAGAGGGCTTATGATACGCCGAGAGAAAAAGTCCCCTCGCGCGACGGCGAACGTGTCGTCTTGGAGACAGACTTCGCCTCACTCAACTGCGATAATCTATTGGAGGAGCCCGGTCGACGCAGCTTGCCCCTCATTGCCATGCAGTTTGCTCTGCGCTACTTCTCTAGGGCCACCCAGTATTGCATGACCTGTCATCGCAGTCTGAACAACGACGGGTCGCCTGCGATCAAGCCATACGTCTGCGACGAACCACTGTGCCTGTACCAGTACATGGCGCTCGGGCTCGGCGCAGACATAGAACAAGAGCTTCTGCATCAGCCATACGTTGTTGACCTTCTCATCAGCCTTTTCTTCGCCGCCCTGGAATCCGGGCAGCTGCCTGAATACCCCAGGGGTCTCGGCCTGCGGGTTCCCTCTCTGGGACCGGAATTGGAAGTACGACTTCCCGGACCCCTTTTCGGCCAAGGGTCCCTGAAAGGATACCCGTTTGGTGTGGGCTCCACCGCGCCATCGGGGGTCACGAGCAAGGAGGGCGCCAATGGCAAACCAACTGAAGTTCGTGCTGAATTGCTCTCCGGCCGACTGTGGCTGTCTGACTCCCAGGATGAGTGCCCTACACCCCCGCGCCCACGCCTGCACCGTGGCGATGTGTTTGTGCTGGCTCCACGTGCGCAAGTTAGCGACCCAGCTAAGACACCTGCCGTGGGAGGACTTTTCCACTGTCGTGTTCAGTCGCAATACAATGACACGGGCGTCGTGCAGTTTGAGTGCTTCTTCCATACCAACAGGCTTCCGGCAGACTGCTATCCCATTACAGCGGAGAGGAGCCTAGGACTTCCGAAAGACGAACTGACTGCGGACCTGTATCCCTACAGTTGTGACTTGGAGGACCTTTCGCAGGAGCAGCAGAGACGAGCTCTGATGATGCTACTCCAGACCACCCCCGACGTTAGGCTCATGGCAATGCAGTTTTCCGACAAGAAAGCTTCGAACAAGGACGGTTTTGGTCTTCTCTCTAAGCCTGCATTGAAATTATTGAGATGGATCGTCGCCTCTAACCGGTCCTTTCTGTTGGATACTGATTGTCGGACTATCCAGATTGAGGATGGTGAACCAAGCATGGCCAGCGCCAGTCTTAACGACAGAGCGCACGAGAAGCTTTCCGGCTTAAATCGGAATTGGATGCAATTTCGCTTTGCCCAGAGCTCTCCCGAGCAGGACAAACGATTCCACCAGGCGATAGAGGCTCATTCAGCCCACAAGGATGCCCCCACCATTGTCGCCTGGCACGGGAGTCCGCTAGGAAACTGGCACAGCATCATCCGAGAGGGGCTAAAGTTTGACCGGGTTTCCCATGGCCGTTCGTACGGAGATGGCGTCTATTTCAGCTCCAGCATGATCACCAGCTTGGGTTATGCAGGTGGCGCGTTGGGTCATGTTTGGCCCCACTCGCTCCTCGGCGTCAGAACCGCCATCAGTCTCTGTGAGATTGTGAATAAGGTAGAGGACTTCACCTGTAAGGATCCTTACTACGTCGTTCAGCACATCGACTGGATCCAGTGCCGCTACCTCCTCGTGCAGGGGGACGCATCGAGGTCTTCACACACCCCGAAACAAACGTCTAAAGCAGCAGCAGCCACCGCCGTCCTCTACCAGGACCCTTTGTATTTGGTCCGCGGCCCAAACGATAAGAAGCAGGTCCGCATTCCACGGGCTGCGATCCCGGAGTCACGACGGCAATCTCGCCGAGCACCTCCCCCGGATACCCAAATCCCCGACTCGGCACGACCTCAACTCAAACCTAGTATCAGGTCCGAAATCCAAAGTGAAGGCGACCAAGATGATTTCCATCTGCTCACGGGTGCCGGGGAAGAGAGGGGGAAAGACTGCCCTAAGCCGACGTCAACATTGTCTGTCCACCCGCACCAAGCCGTGACCCAACTGTGGCGTCCTGGCCAAGTTGAGTATTCTTCGCTCCCCAGACTACCGTCCCCGACGTGGGCAGCTGGTCGGGGACGGAAGGTGCTGGCCCAGGAGATTCGGAACCTGCAGAAGATACAGACCTCTACTCCTGCCCCTGCCCACGAACTCGGCTGGTATATGGACTTCGGGATAATGGACAACCTGTTCCATTGGATTGTCGAGTTGCACACCTTCGACCGTTCTTTGCCACTGGGAAAGGAGATGCATAGACAAGGCGTCCACAGCATCGTCTTGGAGATGCGGTTCGGTCCAGAGTTTCCCCTCTCACCCCCTTTCGTGCGCGTAATCCAGCCGCGATTCCTACCGTTCGCGGTAGGGGGCGGAGGTCACGTCACGGCCGGTGGTGCTATCTGCATGGAACTTCTCACGACTTCCGGTTGGTCCCCGGTTCTCAGCATGGAGAGCGTGTTGCTCCAGGTTCGCATGGCTCTCGAGAGCACGGATCCTCGGCCAGCTCGTTTGGACCACAATCTGCGAAATGCCGGCGGCGATCTGGAAAGCTATGGCATTCATGAGGCGATCGAAGCCTACAGACGGGCAACACGGACGCATGGATGGAGCATGCCCCCTGATTTTGAGCAAACGATTTCTAATTTTGCCCAGTGAGGAAATGCAGCGTTTTTGATTCCTGATATTGTTTGTTTGCCCTAAAAGGTGGCACAGCGCGGAGTCGGACGGCGTTTTCCTCGTCCCGACCCTCTATTTTTCTTTTCGGGGGGGTTTTCTTCCCTTTTTTCTTCTTTTTCTTTGCCTCTTCATTACCGCCAAAAAGGGAATAGAGAATAACGTCTCAGAGACCAGTTATCAAGATATGATCAAGGAAAGTGACAGAGGAAGAGACGTCACAAGTTTGGGTTGAGCCGCGATGGCAGATGTTCTAACTCGGTAGTTCAGTCACGATCGAGACGCCCTCTGGTTCCATCGATCCGTAGAAGGGAATAGGTCAGACATCAGAAGACTGGATGTAGGGGAAGAAGCCCGCAAAGCGAAGTAATAATTACCTTGGATCAGCCCATCATAGTCCTGCGTCGCAGTGAGATTCGTCACGTGTCCCATCTTTTATTTCACCAAGTCTTCGAAGGACAGCCATGTGTGCTGCACAGGCAGCACAGTAAATGCCAATTCGTTGATTTTTTTTTAAAAAGGGGGGAAAGGGAAAAAGAAAGAAAAGCAAACCAGGGTATCTATTAAGTCTCTGGAAGTTCATTCAGTAGCTGCGACAGCCAGTTTCAAGAGCCGAAAATATCGACGATAATCAGCCCAGAAAGCAGGTAAGAAAACCATTTGACGCTTCCGTCTTCGGACGCCCTCCTTATCGCTCTCTATGCCTCGCTTTGTATCGGCTCTTTTCCGTCACTTTTGTTACGGATAATCAAAACAGATGCTGTACCATTATGGAGAAGGGGCCGAAGGCCTCATCATGTTTGCAGTCCGGCATTTAGAGCTTAGCTTTGGCGGGCTGAGACAGAGGAGCCATGGCCTCCACATTGGGGACCACCTCGCCGTTGCCCGTCTTGATGCTATTGCCGAAGAAGATGACCTGAACTGTCAGGTCGTCCCTATTTGCCATAGTTGTCAGCGAAATCCAGGCACGCTGTAAAAGAAAAAAAGAAAAAACCAGCGAAAAAAAATGCAGTTCAGTAGGAACAATTGGTATTATAAAAAAAATTGACCTCATTGCCATGTGGCGTAGGATCCCTTGATATCATCATACTGCAGGAGGGCGATCGAGAGAAAGTACATGGCTCATGTGGAGGCATGGCGAAGCAAGGGGGAAATAAACATACCGATATCTGCGGGAAAACGGAGCGGGAAGCGTTAGGAGGGAGCAGACCTGCTCCTCATTCTTGCCGCCGAGAGCGTTCCGCACGAGATGCGTAGCTACGTTCTCGTCCTTGACGACGAACCTGCCGGAGGCGTCGGGTGAGAGGCCCCACTGCTGCACCCGAATGGGCGTCTTCTGCCCATCGGCAGCGTTGTCGCCGCCCTGCTCGATCGGAAGCTGCGCCTGCTTCGACGAGCCGAAGATCTTGGCCCAGACCGACTCCATGTTCGACGGGCCGGAGCTGCCCGAACCGCTGCCGCTGATTCCATGGGTCTCTATCCACTTGCCGACGAGGCCGACGACCTCCTCGTTCGTCAGCATCTCCCAGAGGCCGTCGCTGGCCATGACGAGGAAGTCGCCGTTTTCCGGCTCGATCTTGGTAGTTGTCACGACAGGTTCGGCCGTGACGTAGGGAGGGGTCTTCAGGCGGGGAGACGGGGTCCGCCCGAAGAAGGCGTTGCGCAGACGGGTCGAGATGTCGCGGCTCCATTTATAGGTGGCGTCGCCGAAGGCACGCGTGGGTTCCAGGCCGCCGAGGACGCGGCCGTGTTTGATGACCTCGTCCTCACCGGGATGGCGCTTCCGCATCCGCGCGACTTCGTCCGGATTGCTTCCGGTCTGGTCCACGGAGAGAGCGGTGGCGGTCCACTTGCCGGACTCGGATCGGCGGCCGAGCACAGCACGCGAGTCGCCGGTGCATGCCACGCGGAGGAGCTTGGATCGGCTGTCGTAGAAGGAGAGAAGAGCGCATGAGCCCGACAGGGCCGGCTGGAGCAGCTCTGCGGCCAGTGTCTTGGAGCCGGATTTCAGGACCTTCTCGACGCTCTGATGTACAATCTCGTCGTCGAGCTTGGTGAAGCCGGCCTTGATGGCCTTGTCGATGGCCTCAGCTGCGGGAGACATGCCAGGGGCTGCCTTGTAGGTTTCGTTGAGTTGGTTGGCCACGACGCTGATCAGGGTCTGACGAAGCTTGGCAGAGGTGGTCCATCCACTGAGGTCCTCTTTCGTTAGCACGGGCGGGAACTTTTAATAGATAACAGAAAGCAGAGTCTGGCGACCCGGGCATTAATGATAGCCCGAGGGGAGAGGGAGAAGGGGGAAAAAGAACAAAAGAAAAAAAGAAGAAGAAAAAAAGAACGGGGCCCGGGGCCAGGGGGCCGGGGAGGGAAATACGTACGCATGACCGTCGAACACGCCCCAAAACATCCAGTCACTGCTTTCCGCATTCGACGCGCCTTCCATGCGGCTCGGCACCTCAACAATCTTCTCGTCGTGATCATCCTCGATGGGGTTGTTACTCGGCAGCTGGACCAAATCATACCGCACGACTCCCTGACCGCGGTTGACCAGGTACGATTCCTCGGACTTGCGCAACACCTCGGTAGCCTGTTCTGGATTTATTATCTCGAGAACTCTCCTGCCATCGTGGTTTGTCATCTTGGAGATTGGTCCGTCACCGACGACCGTCGCCTTGTGTAGCTCGTCGGCGCCGATGACCAAGACGTGGCGCGTGGGCTCCGCAGAGTGGTCTATTGTGCTGGTCGTCGTGAAACCCCGTGACAATGGCTGGCCGTGATCGGCGGAGGTGCCGTTGTAGCTGTACCAGGCGCCATAACCGACCAACCCCGAGACCAGGGCGACGGAGACGCGTCGGAAATACATGGAGGACTGGAGGGGAGGTTGAGGCAGTTCGGAATGGATTTCCTGGGCGGAGTAAGGTGATGTCGGGGAAGACTGAGGTTGGGAACTGGGACTGGACTGCGACAGACACCGCTGCTGGGTTGCCGCTGGGAAGAGTGAGCTGCTCTGCGTTCCAGCTCGCTTCGAGTTGAGTTGGGTCAAGACGTTGCGTCCGGCACTGCGACCATGAGACAGCCCTCGCGCCGTACTTCGGTGGGTTGCACGGAGCGCCCGTATCGCTGCTCGATGCATCTGCATCGAAGATGACCGGCCTCTGAAATTTTGTAAATAAAAGAAGAATTGATGACACGATGTGGAGAGAGAGGGAGAGTGAGAGAGGATGGCCAATTTGGGGATGCGGAAGGACGAGATGCGGTCTAGACGAATACCGATCCTTGACCGTGACCCGTTCTCCCGCATCGCGTTGTGACAGGGGGTTTGTTGCATGTGTCCAAGACGGATAATCGCAAAGGAATAATGCATGTGTCGAAATAAAGTACACAAAAGACAATTCCGTGTTAACCGAATACACCTCGTCTTATCTTATCAGTCGCCCCTCACTCCACCAGCGATCCCCGGAATTGACCTCACAAGTTCATTGCCTGGTATACCTAAGGTAACCTTTACTAAGGTACATACAACATTTAATACCTTGGGCCGTACTTCAAGTGTTTTGTTTTGTATTATATACTCGTACATTCAAAGGAACTTAACTTATTTTGCATCACCCGAGGCTCAAGTCATCACATCTGCTCATCCCCATGCATTTGAAGGAAAGGCGAAGCCAAATCCGCGCATAGATACCTGATTTACCTTACTCGAGTCCTTGACATACCTCGGCTTATCTCTCCCTTCTCGAGCTGTCACACTCAACCCCCTTCTCTTTCTTTGACGACCAGAACCCATCATGACCCAGCCAATGCCCGGCGCAGAGCGCATTCGCGCCATTCAAGACCAGGACGGCATGTACCAAGCTTTCGACTCGTATCCATGGACTAAGGACAAGACTTTCATGGTAATGGCTTCTCTATTGCATCTCCCGCCGTTCATCAACCCCAAAGTTCCGACCCCTTTCACATGCTAGTCCTCTCGTACCCCCGACATTCATATACTGCTTTACAATCCCATCTCAGTGCGGTTAACAGAGAGCTCTCCCCTCTCCAGTCCGGTCTATATGCCATCCTAGGCGATCCCAACTCCCCCAATCCGCGAGGGGACCCCAGTGAGCTCGCCCTGCACGCCCGCATATTCTACTACACCCAACGAGTCGGCGTCACCATCGATTTTGCAAACTACAAAGACTGGCTCGCCCGGCATCCGGACCACACCCCTCCGGACGTCATCCCGGAAAGCTACGGTTCCATCAGGTCCACTGCTGCTGCTGCTGCTGCTTCTGCTCCCATCTCCGCCGGGGAAAGCACGGAAAGCACCGATGACGTCCCAGCATGGCAAGCCTCCGCCCCAAAGGCCGAACTCTACGTCGAGAAGCAAAACCCGCCAACCCATCCCGGCGCCGACGGCGACAAACCCGCCTACCCCATGGGATTCGCCGAGATGCTTCAGAGGCTGCAGAGAGGGGAGACCATCCCGGGAATCCGTGAAATTCCTGACACCGTCATCAGAGATCCGGTAAGTCTTGCTTGCTCCTTGCTCTTGTCTTGGTGGCCGCTTAGAGGCCTGAAGAGAGTCTCTTTTCTTCCTTCGTGGGACATTCCTACCCCTGACTGCCGTGCTCATTGACTTGTTCATGTAGACTGTAAAACCTGTCGGAACACGGGCCGCGCCTAAGAAGCCATGGGAGAAAGCCATACCAGCAGTGGCCGAGTCACCTATTTCTGCTCTTGATTCCAGTTTCCCGTCTCTCGAAGATGAGAAGACGACAGCAACTGGCGGGTAACCATACAGAAGAGGTCGACAGATCTAAGCTCATTATTCGTTATGCGGAACTCCGCAGTCGATCACACGAAGCCTTGTTGTCTGTGGCTCGCTCTTAGCGCAGACGTCTAATCATTCTAAACAAGCCACTTCACAATCATATTATTGCACCTTGGGCGCATACGCGGACTTGTACAATTGTTTTCTGCATGAGTTGATATTACTTGATAAAAGCTATATTTGTATGAGGTGTGCCGTGTATACTGAACTGTCTTGTCGAGACCACGGCATAGTAATGTCCTGAGACATCGCAGAATTCTACTTGTACAATATTTCTTGTCCTCTGTGTGCCTAGCAGCCATCTTCCGCTCACTAAGTCTCTTCTCCTGGGCGAGGCCCCTTCGTCTCCTTTTCTGTGAGCCAAGGGGGCCAAGTTCCCGTACAGGTACCATATTCTCGATGCTTACACCGGCCAAGTAGGAATGGGCGATGAGCAACATGTCGAAAAGGTAAAAAGAAAATGCCGCGAACTCCAATATCCCCTGAACGAGATTCCGAGGCCCGCACTGCGCTACCCTCACGTATTGCAAAATCCATCCGTAACCATAATCTGTCCAAAGCACTTGGCCGGCAGTAGCTGGCCGAGTGTACGATGACAACTGAATCTAGTAGTAGCTGCAACAGATAATGTTGCCAAAAGGTACATATAAGTCGCCATGCTGTGCTGAGCAGTGTGATGAGAATCCGGGAGAAATCAGGCTAGACGGTAGTGAGAACGAACAAGGGAGGATGATGCAATGCTGGCCTAGTAAGGAACAAAAATATCCGAGACTGATACAGAAGTTCCCAGAGAGTGAAGAAGCAACTCGATACGAGAACCATGGCAAATTAAGATGTTCCTAAGAGCTTCAGCGATAAGGGTTCCCGAATCCACGGTTACCTCCGCCCATGCGAGGTATGGCAGGTCCAACACCCGGGCCGGGACGTGTTGTCACAGCTGGGTTGGTGCAGAGCATGCCGACGCGCGAGCCAAACTTGGAGCCACGTAGGGAAACCATGTGCTTCCGAATATGGGCAGCAACGATCTCGCGGTGCTGAGGACTGGCGTGGGTGAGAATGTACTGAATCAGATAATTACCGTACTGGTCGCTGGCAATGTCGATGAGCGGGATTCGGGGGCGGTCTCGGCGTCCCTCGCACACCCGGTCGAGGTAGCGGGTAAGGAACTCGGTACCTCCGATTTTGAGGCACTTCTCGACCACCTTGGAGGCGAACTGGTCGGTGCTATACTCGGCAGCATATCGAATGACATGGTCCACCGCACGGCCGCGGTCGGCAGGAGCTCCATGCTCGCAGATATGCTGGATGCACCAGTTTCCAAACTGACCGTGAGCAACAATGTCTATGTTGGCAAGGACCTCTTCAATGCAAGGCCGCTGCAGTTCTCTTGTTAGAAAATGACTCTCAATGGCCTGGGGGGGATCGCAAAGTTTCCCAGAAGCTCACCTTGTCCTCTTCCAGGCAATTCTCAAAAATGTTTTGGACCACAAGACTTCCGGTTTCTCCAAGGGCTACCTCATGCCACATTCCGCGAAGAGCTTCGTTGACATATTTCATGATTTGCGGAGGCGACTTAGACCATCGCAGCTCGAACAACTTCTGCCAAACATGACAGGCATATCGGTGAATGACCGTCTCGGGGATGCGACGCAGAAGTTCATGAACCATGATGGCCTTGTAGTCTTCGGGAACAGAATCGAAGGCTTTCTGAACAACGTGGCACCCAAAGGGGTCCATGGAGAGATTGAGCGTGTTGCCACGAATGGCCTCAGCGATCTTGACGACCTGCTCTGGAGTGCCATGTTCGAAGCAGCGCTGGACGAGGAAGTTTCCGAAACGGTTGACCATCAAGGGATAGGCCTGGGCAATGATAGCCTCGACGATATCATACTTCTGTTCCGAAGTACCAACCTTGAGCTTCTGCTGTAAGAAGATGGAGGCTTGCTGATCATTATTGCAGACAATTTTGTCCACGATGTACTTCCAATTGCAGTTGGCATTGCGGTCGAGAAGTCGACGGTAATTCAAGGGCTCGGTCGTGGGAAGGTAGGTCTGGCCTTCTGCTCCAGTGGACTGCTGACAACCACGAGGGATCAGCTGCCTGGACCGAGAACAATTACTGCCACTTCGGATAGGCTCACGTACCTCATCCTTCCAACCCACATTGGTCTGAAATTCAGTGGCATGAGGAGAAAGGCGCGTGCCAATTGCTTGCGGGTTAAACGAGGGGTAGGTGTTCATTCCGACGTTGCAGGACGGCACCAAGCTCCCGGGACCACCGTTGGCCGGGCCGGCCATGGCATCGAACTGACTGGGAGCGGGACTATAACCCCCGTAGGTACTGCCGCTATAAGGGTGAGGAGAGCTGTAACGGCTACTAAAGTGGCTGGTGCGTCGACCCGCAAAGGGACGCATAAGAATGTCAGATTCAGGAGTCATTGACTCCGTTCGAGACCCGTCCACCATGGAGTAAGGACCATTGGGATCCATGAATCCGTGATTGAAGCCTCGACTGCCAGCAAACCAGTTGTTCGCGGTCGAGAGGGGCTCGGGAACAGGCTCCGCAATATTGAGCCCCTGCCAAGGACCTTTAGAGTTGCCCCACGGCGCCCCTACACGATTGGAGGCACCGCCAGCTATGGCGTTAGTGGCATCGGAATGCTCCTCGTCACAGACGCCCCAAAAGTCATCGCGACGGTGGATGTCAGGGCCACGAGGGATATATTCCCCTTCAATCGAAAGTTCGGGCTTCGAAGTGAGCTCATTCTGGACCTCCTTGGTGATGTCGCGGGTTTGGGCAAGCTCCTGGTCCAGACGGGAGATCTGGCTCTTGGCTCTGGCGAGTTCCATCTTGAGACGAGCAACCTCATCTAAACCGCCTGCGTCTTTACTGGGACCACTCTGAGCGTTGCTAGGTCCGTGGTGGGAGTCCGTGTGGGCGGCACTGGCGGGTCTGGTAGACGGAGATCTCATGATGTGGTCCTCGATGTCAGGAGTGACAGGGACAGAACTGCTAGTAGGGCCGTTGTCGAACGCGGCAGTGTAGAATCCGGTGTTGCCAGAGGTATTCTTCAGAACTCGGCGCTGCTTTTCGAGGGCTTCCTCCTGCTCAGAAAGCCTGGCCAGGAGTTTATCTGTGAGGCTTTGCTTGGTTGCATTGTCCTGTCGTCTCAAGTCAATACTCACGACATCATCAATGCTGCCTGGGAGAAAAATCGGGGGGGGACGGAGACAGGAAGAATGCCCACCTGTGCCGAGTTCGACACTTTGTCAGAGACAGGAGCATTACGCGAGTGATCCTTGAAATGGTTAGCAGACGAACCAAAGGCTCGATCCGACTAGGCAAATTCCGGTGCAACCCCAGGTGTCGAAGACACGAACTGCTACCCTTGCAGATAATGGGCACCAATTGAGTGAGGCGACTTTTGGTTTCAAAGAAGAAGAAAACCCGAAATAAAGCTTACTTACCAAGATAGAAACTCCAGGCTGGTCAGCATCCTTGTTCTCGTCAAGAAGCTTCTTGAGCTCCTTGCCAGTCGAAGTCGTTGGCTTAGCTTTGCCTACAGGGTTGGTCGAAGCCATTGTAACGTCCAACACGATCGAGATTCAAGGAATGAGAGATGGCCAATATATCCGATGAGAAACACGATCTAGATATCCTTACGAGAGTGACCCAGATCAGTGATGAGTGCGTACTCTCAAGCAGGATGCGTGATGGTCGTGTTCTCGTAGAAATTGGTTGATGGTGGAGGGATCAGAACAGGAGAAGTTTGAGGGGGATTCTGGGGGGAAATCAAGATCTCAGGTCAGTAACGTATCTCCGCAGGTACCTTGGGAAGGGACTAGAAGCAAAACCAGGAAGGTGGCCGTGTGTAAGGTAGTTATCTTTGGTAAGAAGTAGATTAAAGCAGGTAGGTACCGAAGATGAGGCGGCGATAGAGGGATGCGCCCGCCAGGGGAAGTACAGGGGAATCGGTGAAAGATGAAGAAATGGTAAAAGTACGTGGTGAGTAAGGTAGATAGCGCTCCCACGCGAGAGTAGGCTCAACAGATCAAACCAAGATCGGAAAGGATGTTCATCCTAATACTGCAGACCTTGTAGTAAATAGAGCTTGTGCTAACTCCGTTCTGTGGCTCAGAAGCCTTCGTAAGGAGCCTGTGAAAGGGGGGTGTGGTTAGATCTTGCTGGGGGTAAGGTAGGGTAGAAGGAGGGATAAGAGATCAAGTGAAAGGGAAAGTGAAAACAACAGGGTAACTAGTCCAGGCACCCGCTAAAAGTATATCTGCTTGGGAAGGTAAGGTCGGCAGGATAAGGTAGGTAGCTTAAGCAGGTACTATAAGGTACGCGAAGCTCTCGAGGGAGGACGCGGAAGGTAAACCACATGGCCTATCCACCTAATCAGTTGGCTATCACCAGGGAAAGTACCACGCAATTACCCAATAACTGTATGAGGGTGAAACCCAGATGACGAGGCAGGAGATAGGAAAAAGCCCGAAGCCTCGTGTATGGTGGATGAGTAGGAATGGAAAGCCCTCAGGGGTAATGAAGCCACCACTGAGCACACACGACCACGGTGTGTCTATCACACTGGACCATAAATAACCCAAGGAGCATGATCGGAGGCTTCTCTGCGCACATTGAACTTTCGTGGGTCGGTCAGGCAGGTTCGGAGAATCCAGAGCCCCGTGAACCCGACTCCGTTGGACTCAGTAGGTAGTGCCAGCATAAGCACGGAAAGGGCTTGTCTTTTTCAACCTTTTCTTTTCCATTAACCCTGCATTGTCCTCTGTGTTTGTCATAAGGCCGATTTCCTCGGTAGACCAGGTGGTGAGACGGGCCCTAGCCACAGACGTCCAAATCGTCGCAGTCAAGGGGGTTAACAATGTGCCCTATCCAAGATCATGTCGAGTGCGAATGGCAGGCCTCAACACATAAAAAGCTGCCTCGGTTCGGGGTAGACTTGGTATCCCCCCATTATCCGAGAAGTACGACGCCGCGGATGCCCATCCGGAATTCGACTTCACGGAAGTACATACAGCAGTCTAGGTAAAGGTCTGACGTACTCATGGGGATTTTTTTCTTGTTTTTAATCACGCTAACCGACGCCTCCATTGTCTCAAGGGGATCCGAGTATTCATCAACACGGCATTAATGGTACAGGTGTTCGTAGTGTACAGAGATGATCGTCTTCCTCGTCTATTTCTTCCTCGGGTCGGCTATAGTAATGTCAGATTGAGCGCACAGATAGAGCTGTATAGACATGGAACTTCAAACTCACGCTTTGGACCCTTCTTCTTCTTCGGCGCGCTCTTGCCACGGGCTTTCAATCTGATTCCAACGCGTCAGTCTTTTATTCATTCGCAAAATTGGAACCAAGACGCACTCCACGATGTGCTCAAGACGATCTTCCTCTTTCTCGTCGAAGGTCGTAAGCTCAGGACCGAATTCGTTGAGGACATCTTGGAGAGTAGCGGTTTTCGGCGGATAATAGGCAGCCAGTGCAGGACCTCTTAGCCGTTGACGCAAAATCTTGTTACCCATTCGGATGCCGTCGGGATTATAGGTCGTGGCGAAGACTTGGCATTGGGCCTGTTGTGATAGACGTCAGTACTGCAAGGCCTGGAACTAGATAATGGTGACTTACCTTCATGAGGTCCAGCAACCTCGCTCGTGGAACGCTCATCTTGTTGTCATGGTCCAGCGGTTTGTCTAGCTGTCTGGGTGAAGTTCGATTCTGCGACGCCCTCGAAACTCGACAAACATTTGATTGGCTTCATGGAGACCCACTATATCGGAGACGGATCATCTCCTCCCCGAGAACAACCTTCGAAACAACACCCAAGATGACGATAAGAACCTTATCAGTCCGTAATGAGCCTGGTTTTTTTCGACGGTGGCTCACTTATTATACCTACATCTCACCATCTTACAGTCTCGAATAGCAACGAACATAGCATGATTAATATTTTCATGAACCTACCAAACTTTCAAATTTCCAGAACATAATTTCACAAAACACCCCGGTGGTCTAAAATGCCGAAGAGGCCCCGGGATGAAGCCGATTTCAATGGAAGTGAGGGCAACTCAGAGGCTAATAAGAGGCGAAACTTCGACCCAGCTATCGAGACAAACGAACAGGCCCTTGCATTGTTACTCAATCAAGCCGAGAACCTCATTGAACACCTCCGGAAACTTCAGAAAGCCTCCTCTTCAGGAGTCTCAGTAGCGGTGGTTTCCCAGGGACAGCTGCTCCAGGATCTTCAAAGCGCGAGCACAGTGATTCTTCCTGCAGTTAGGTTGCTGGCGAAAGATGGAGTAAATACTCACCAAGTAAAGGATGTTGCCCGTGATGGCTCATCACGTGAGGTACGGCGTTCAAACACCGGAAGCAGTACACGACGGCTCCTTCTAACCGCATTTCACAGAATATCTCGGGCGCTGCATTATTACAGACACCGACCTCTGGCACGGCTGGCTCGCAATCCACACAGCCGCGAGCCTCGCAGGTGTCGTCTGTATCGGCGCCACCCGTGCCCTCTCCCCTCTTACTCACACCTTTCCAAGCAGAGAATATAGCTTCGTCTTTACCACCTCTGCCCCCAATACTGGACCAAACGCTAGAGACGGCCGTGTTCACCCACGCGGGGATGGCCAAAATTCAGAAGTCGCAGCTCAGCTATGACCGCCTTGAATGGCTTGGGGACGCGTATTCGGAGCTGATTTCCTCTACTCTTCTCTTCAGCACTTTTGGTCGTGCTAGCCCTGGTCGCCTGTCACAGCTCCGAGAACTCCTTATCTGCAACTCTAACCTAGGAAAGTATGCGGCCAAGTATGGCCTCATGCAACGGGTACATCTTTCAGAAGAATTCAAGAATTCCAAGGATGCAAAAAAGATACCTGGTGATGTCTTTGAGGCATATGTTGCTGCCGTGATTCTCTCTGACCCGGAAAATGGTCTGCGTCGGGCGGGAGAATGGCTCAAAGCCCTCTACAGCATGACCATCAAAGATCAGATTCGAGAATTGTCCAGAAAACCGGAAATGCGGCATATCGTCGAAATGGACAGAGAGCAAAAAGTTCCCATCGAAGAAGAGGTTCCACCGAAACAACGGCTCTCGACATTGATTGCTGTTCAAGGGGTAAAGCTGAGGTACGAAGACGATAAGGGTGGTCCGAAAAAGGACAAGTACAATAACCGGTTAAATGTCTTTACGGTCAATCTATACCTAGATGGCTGGGGCGAGAAGAACAAATGGCTTGGAAAGGGCACCGACCTGAACAAGAAGGTGGCCGGTCAGAAGGCAGCACAGATGGCATTAGACAATGCCAGTCTGATGAAGAAGTACCGTGATAAGAAGCTCGCTTTTCTAGCGGCACGTGACGAGGAAGGGGCCGAGAATGACAATGTCGACTCGGAATAAAGTGAAGATTTAACCACAGCGAGGATCATCTGGCTATATTTGCTTTTATCTTTTAATTTGAACGGGGTCCTGTCCCAGGATCCAGCTGATTGCTGTTCAATGTACGGAGAGAATGTCTTGGGGGCGTGCATTTTCACGTGTCTGCCATGCAGGTGCTTGAATCCGGGTACCTTACCTGTATGTACCTAATATAAGGTACCTTAAGGTATTAAGAGGAGTTGTCCCTCGGAGTCAACACAGCTGGGAGTGGGTCGGGTCCTTTTCGCCGAGGCAAATCATTCCCGAGCAACGGGGCATGAACGATAATGCGAGGAGCATTCTCATACCCTGAGATAGATAGGGCATCATCGAACTACGGGACCTTTCGTTGCATTGATGCCGATGTTGTCATGATTGGAGATGCACGCCACAATGCCGAATTTCTACTTCGTAGGGGGCTAAGCTCGTTCTTTATTTTATCCAACTGGTCAACTCCCACCATTCGTCCTAGCGCGTCTTCTCGTCATCGCGTCCTGAGAGCAACTTCCTTGGTCGGCTTGTTCGCAAACTGATATCCTGACCCTTCCGTTTTCCGGCTCACGCCCAGCGCAGGCAATAGATCAACATGGCCGATTCCGTCGGTAGGTTCTACTCTCTGCAGGTACATCATTGGAGAGTTCTTATCGCACTGACGGATCTTCTGTTCCCATAGATCGCGTCTTCGTTCATGCCCTGAACACTGTCAAGAAAATCCCCAAGACGGGTGCTTCGCGCCCCCCACCGTCTGACCGGCTTCGCCTCTACGGTCTCTATAAGCAAGCCATGGAAGGAGACGTTGACGGTGTTATGGAGCGTCCAACCGCTGCCACAGGTCTTAATGCGGAAGACCTGCAGCGGGAGAAGGACAAATGGGACGCTTGGAATTCTCAGTGCGGTCTCAGCAAAACCGAAGCCAAGAGGAGGTACATCGAGGCTTTAATCGATACAATGCATCGTTATGCGACGACCCCGTACGTTTGCGGTCTTCTCCCCCCCGGAGACAAAGTATTCCTCCGAGTGCTAACAACCCCTCACACTCGGATAGGGACGCCAAGGAACTCGTCACTGAGTTAGAATTCGTGTGGAATCAGATCAAACACAACAGTCCCAGCGCATCGGACACGAAAGGTGCGGAAAGCGTAGCCTCTCGGGGTCGATACGTACACCCGGCTAGCGGGACGGCTGGGCCTATGAGAGTTCTGAAGCCCATGAGCGAGGACGATGCCGCAGAGAAAGCATCACAGCGCAGGATGGACGACGAGGATGGCGACGACGACGACGACGACGAAGATGGCGACCTATCTGGGAAAACACATTGGTCCCGTAGCGTCGAAAGGGCTCTCGTCAAGATGTCGGCCGAAGTCGCGGCATTGCGGGAGCAGATCACTACGGGGAGAGAATGGAGGGCGAAGAAGGAACGAAGTTTCCCAGCACGGCTCGGCTCGTTTGCATTGGTTGTTATGAAACACCTTGGTATCGACATCATCCTTCTGGTTCTAATCCTATTGTGGATGCGGAAGCGGAAGGACAGGAGGCTGGAGGACCTGGTGAGAGCTGGCCTGAAGCTGCTGCGGGAGTACATACGAAACGTCCTTCCCTCGAGATGACCACGTTCCGGATTTCTATCTCGACAATCTTTCAACTATGGAGGTCTGACCAACTCTGAATGCGGATGGCTTGGCCTCTACTCCATCTGCATCAGCTGACACTCTAGCGCTCTCGTGCTCCCATACCTCGAGGCGTTGAACGCAATCTCTTGATGCGTCCCGCGGGAATCCGTAACTGGATCCGAAGGGGCATACGGTGCCTATCCAGTCCAATGGCGGTCAAAACAGCTCCAGCCACCACATCCGCTCATGTTCGTTTGATGAACAAGCGGAGCGACATGGCATGCCAAACTGGCCTCCAAGGAGCGCCGTCACTCAAGGGGACAACGATCCACAACATACAGCCCTTACACGCACCGGCAGACATGGCGGGTAAGCTGAAGCCTGGTGGGATGGACGTCACTTCCACCCTGCCCCTTTATTCAACCGAGGCAAAACACTCGGACAAATCCACTGTCTATATTGAACTATGAAACGCCAGCGGTCATCGTATCTTCTCGGCCGTCTGGGACCGGGTAAAATCCCTCCCTGGGGGAGGTTGGAACCGGAGGCGTTGGGTGCGTCATGTCCAAGAGGACTGGCGTGAGTCTATGGCGAATAAAACGTAAGAATACATAGCCTTATATGAACAGGGTCACAAAGTGCCCCAGGAGGTAAGAAGGAATATACTGTGAAATTTGAAGCTACCGGGATCTTTCGACAGAGTACGAATACGGTTGAGGGATTCGATCCAGCGTGAAGTCCTCTCAGTCCTGATTCTGTGCGTGGTCTCGTAGCTTAGTCATCCATGCTATCCATGCTCATGGCTTCAGATCGTGACTTTTTGTGTTGTGCAGCACGACCCTTCTTAGCTTATTTATCATCCGTACAGCAAGCAAAACAGCCGCATCTGAAGATAATCCGGGAGGTGGAGAGTTGCAGCATCAAAAGGATCTCCAACCCTCACCAATCAGCACACAGAGCTGTTTCTATCCAACGAGAGATTCCAGTTCCGGATTCACTTATTCGCATTCGCATGATGTCCTCAGCCAAGGACGAGTCCAAGTCCATGAGGGGCCATTTATCAGCACCGGTGCAAGGAGAGGGATCAATTCCGCCCTTGAAATACTTGTCTCCAGCAATCTTCGTCCCCCTCGAAAAATCTCTTCTGGAACCCTTCGATCCCCCGCGGGACAAGCTTGAGCGTCTCAAAGTGACACTCGACCGCCTTGACCGACATTCCGATCAAGTCCGGCAGAATTTATGGTCCATGTTCTTACGGGAGAGAGATCGGATCCTCCAAGACGCGAGGAAGGTCGAAGCAGCACACGGGGCGCAACTCCCGCCCATTGGTATCGTCGAAAGTGAGCGCGACACAATGCTGAAGAACATGATGGCTCCCCCGGATCCAGAAAAAGACTACAGAGCCATCCATCCACTTCCCACTCCTTCACAACCCGCCGTTCCGTTGACGACATGGAGAGAGCGGGCGGCTGACGAGCTGGTCAGTCTGGTCGAAGGTGCCATAGGAGAGATTGATGGCTTTGATATGGCGACAACGGAGGTCAAGGAGGGCTATCGTCAAGCCATTGAACGTGAGAAGGCCTCCGAGGCACGTTACTTAGGAAACCAAGAATCATTATGAGCTCGGGGCGGAGAGCCGAAGCTCGATTGCAGCCACGCTGAGATGTCCCGACACGAAACCCAGCACCAGGCACCGAGGAATATGTATAATTACGGTATTTGATTTCGCGTCGATGGGAATGAATAGGCGTTGGTCAACAGTCAGGGTCGGGATTTCGTAAGTGAGCGAGACACTCAACGACTGCCAGCCGCTGTCCAAAAAGCAACATAACCTATAATTGTTATAAGTAAAGAGAAATAGTGCCTCTGCACTCAGAAATGTAACGACCGGCGGTAAGAGGCAGCAGTCATTGAAGATTCTCCCATGCTTCCATAAACGGCGTCTGAAAGTGATTCATCTAGAGCACAAGATAGAGGGGAGCTCGATTGGCACACTGCGAGAGCAATGGTCAAGCTCACCTACGATAAAATGTGCCCAGGGTACAATTTGTTGAAGGAAAGAAAGAGAGGAAACAAGAAGAACACCAGAATTTTTCCTGTAAGTACTCGGGAAGAATCAAAATGATTAGGTAATCAATTTTATGCCTGAGGCATAGAGCCCCGGGCGAAGTAAGGTAGCCGGATAACCAATGAACGACGACGTAAATTAATCGCGAAGCTAATTCGTGTGCAGACCATTCGGATCCCTCGAGCCGTAAAACGACGACGACCTTCTTTGCTCCATTCGCCTATCATACGGATACCCGCTTTCCCGCCTTTCCTCCCTCTCCTCTCAACCGCAATCCGTCAAGGCGATACGATGCTCCGGCAGACTCTGGCTCGTTCGGCTTGGCGGACTGGCCGGCAGGCCGCCAATGCCTCGCGGACGTTTGCCACGACACCCCGGCGGAATGCCGAAGTCGAGCTCACAATTGGTATGAGAATGGATCCAAATCCATTTGATTCACCTGGCGTAATACGCATGCTGACTGGCTTTAATTCTAGATGGCACGAAGGTTTCAATTGAAGGTGGGATTGAAGATGTGTGCAAAAGCTTCTCGACGGGACAAGGTCAGCTAACGAGGGGTAGCTGGTTCTGCGCTCATCCAAGCCTGCGAGAAGGCAGGCGTCACAGTTCCCAGGTTTGTTGTTGCCCACTATCCTATCTAGGGTATTCGATTAGGGACGGAAGAAGGACATTTTAACTAACCACTTCTCGTAGATACTGCTATCATGAGTACGACCTTTCCGATCGATAACGATTCCGAACCCTGGCGACGGTAAGCTGACAAATGTAACAACAGGAAGCTCATGATTGCTGGCAACTGCCGAATGTGTTTGGTCGAAGTCGAGAAGGCACCGAAGCCCGTGGCATCATGTGCCTGGCCCGTCCAGCCCGGCATGGTCGTCAAGACCAATTCACCACTCACACACAAAGCCCGCGAGGGCGTCATGGAGTTCCTTTTGGCGAACCATCCCCTTGACTGCCCCATTTGCGATCAGGGTGGCGAGTGTGATCTCCAGGACCAGTCTATGCGGTACGGCGCCGACAGGGGACGCTTCCACGAAATTGGCGGCAAGCGTGCAGTGGAGGACAAGAACATCGGCCCTCTGATCAAGACGTCCATGAACCGGTGTATTCACTGCACCAGATGTGTCCGTTTCGCCAACGACATTGCCGGTGCTCCCGAACTAGGCTCGACCGGCCGAGGCAACGATCTGCAGATCGGTACTTACCTCGAGCAGAACCTCGATTCCGAACTGTCCGGTAACGTCATCGACCTGTGCCCCGTCGGTGCCCTGACCTCGAAGCCCTACGCCTTCCGCGCACGCCCCTGGGAACTGAAGCACTCCGAATCGATTGACGTTCTCGATGCCCTGGGTTCCAACATCCGCGTCGACTCCAGGGGCTTGGAGGTTATGCGAATCCTGCCGCGGCTCAACGACGATGTGAACGAAGAGTGGATCAACGACAAGACTAGGTTTGCTTGTGACGGCCTCAAGACCCAGAGACTCACCATGCCTCTTGTCCGCCGCGAGGGCAAGTTCGAGCCGGCCGACTGGGAACAAGCCCTGACTGAGATCTCCCACGCTTACGCCGCCATTCAGCCCAAGGGCAACGAGTTCAAGGCCATCGCCGGCCAGTTGACCGAGGTCGAGTCGCTGGTTGTCATGAAGGACCTGGCCAACAAGCTCGGCTCCGACAATCTGGCCCTCGATATGCCCTCGGGCAACGGCCCCCTCGCTCACGGCATTGACGTCCGATCGAACTATCTCTTCAACTCGCAAATTGCCGGCGTTGAGGAGGCTGACGCCATCCTCATCGTGGGAAGCAACCCCAGGCACGAGGCTGCGGTTCTGAACGCCCGTATCAGGAAACAATGGCTGCGGTCGGATCTCGAGATCGGTGTTGTTGGCGAGACTTGGAACTCGACCTTCGACTTCGAGCACCTCGGAACCGATCACGCTGCCCTGAAGAAGGCTCTCGCTGGTCCCTTCGGCAAGAAGCTCCAGGCTGCCAAGCGGCCGATGATCATCGTCGGCTCGGGTGTTACTGACCACGCCGATGCCAAGGCCTTTTACGAGACCATCGGTGCTTTCGTCGACAAGAATGCCGCCAACTTTGTAACGGAGGAATGGAACGGCTACAACGTTCTGCAGCGGGATGCCTCGAGGGTCGGCGCCTTCGAGGTCGGGTTCGTCCCTCCTTCCACGGCCGTTGCCGAGACCAAGCCCAAGTTTGTCTGGCTCCTCGGCGCCGACGAGTTCAACGAGGCCGACATTCCCAAGGACGCCTTCGTCGTGTATCAGGGCCACCACGGCGACCGCGGCGCTCAGATCGCCGATGTCGTCCTCCCCGGCGCCGCCTATACCGAGAAGGCGGGCACCTACATCAATACTGAGGGTCGCGTTCAGATGACTCGTGCCGCCGTCTCGCTGCCTGGTGCCGCCCGGACGGACTGGAAGATCATCCGCGCCGCTAGCGAGTTCCTCGGCGCTCCCCTACCTTACGACGACGTTGCCCAGGTCCGGGACCGCATGGTGGAGATCAGCCCGGCTCTTGCCGCCTACGACGTGGTTGAGCCTGTCGCTTTGCAACAGCTCAGCAAGGTGCAGCTTGTAGACCAGAACAAGGGCGGTAAGCCCAGCGGCGCCCCGCTGAAGAAGGTCATCGACAACTTCTACTTCACAGACGTCATCTCCAGGAGGTCAGTAGCTATTCTCCCAGCACCTTAATTATCACCTTCCATCTTTTTCTTTTACTGATATATTATAGCTCGCCAACAATGGCCCGGTGCTCTGCGGCGAAGGCCACTGGCGACCCCAGGACGAACTTGATGGCACCCGGAATGGAGGAGGACAAGCCTATGGGCCAGGTCGCGTACGGGGTGTAAGTGGAGACGAAATCTTAAGCATCTGTACCGAGTAAAGACCTAGAGCTGGAACGGAAAGAGAAAGAAAGAACCACATGCTTCCTTTTATTTGGGTTGTTGGTCGCATTGTTTGTACATATAATCAAGAGAATGATGCGATCAGGAGTTGTTTTAGGGTAGGAGAATAAGAGAACAAGAAGCGTGAAGGCAGATAATCACGTCGTTTATTTCTTATCCACGTCCAGTCGGCAAATGGGTGCCGGTGTTGAAGAACAACATAGATAGCTTTCTCAATGGTAAGGCGACTCGTACATAACGACCACCTTTGTTGAACGGACGGTTGGGTGACTGGGTGATATTATACTATGAAAATCAGGAGACCTACGAACTGCAGCTGCATTGCATGGCCCTCTCCAGTCTCGGCACATCACCCGTCCATCTCTCCTCCTCCTCCCGGTCGCCCGAATAGGTCTGTCCATCCTCAGACACCTCACCATCCCACTTGTCCTCGAAAGGATGTAGTGACATATGCATCACGCGTCGCAGAACGTCCCTCTCACCCCCCTTCTCAACACGGCGGATGATCTCGTCCAGGATCCATCCACGAGGGACAAAGTTGGGGTTCACGGCTTTCATGGCCTTGATACGGCGGTCCTCCCAAGACGTCGTCGACGACCCGTCTGTTGTCCCAGCAGCGTCGCCACCGTCTTCAGCTTTGTCCTCCAGCAGACGAGCCCGCCACTTGTCGAGCCACGAAGCGACTCGGGCACGAGCGTCCTCTTCGCTGGCGCCGCCGGTGCTGCCTTCGTGGTGGAAGAAGCGCGCGGCAGCGTCCTTGCGCTGCTGTTCCGTCTCAAGTTCGTCGAGGCGAGTTCCGCTGAGGCGGCGGAAGAAGTGATGGAAGTCGAGCTCGAGCTCATGAAGGGTGTCGAGGAGGGGGCTGAGGAGGTTATCAAAGTCGTCATCGGACAGCTTGCGGAGGCCGAGACGGGCGGCCATGAGACGTCTGTACTCGGCAAGGAAGACTGCCTTGTACTCCTCGCCGGCTTGGCTGATGATCTTCTCTGCGCGGGCGACGAGGACGCCAGCGTCTTCTTCGCGGACGCCCTTCTCGATGAAGGTTGGGTCGTCGACGGCGGCACCGGCGCCCATCAGCTCGCCGATGGCCTCGGCGGTACGCACGAGGTTCCACCAGACTATGGTGGGTTGGTTGCGATAGCTGTATCGAAGAAGGAAGTCGTCGTGGTTTGGGGTGTAAGTGGGGTCAAAGTTGTCCATGAAGGCGAAGGGACCAAAGTCTAGACTCAAGCCGAGGACGGAGGTGTTATCCGTGTTGAGAACTCCGTTCATGAAGCCATAGGCTTGCCAGTGGGCGACGGTGACGGCGTTTCGGCGGGTTATCTCGCGGAAGAGCCGAGTGAAACGGTTTTCTGCCGCGTCCTCCGGGCCCTGGATCTCAGTAGCGGGCACACTTCTCGCTGGGGCAGAGGATTTGGCAGGTTTGTCTGGGTTATCGAGCCGGCCAGGCAAAGCCTCCCAGCCTCCAAGCACGTTCTCAGCGACGTAGGTGGAGAGGGTGCGCAATAGCGGCCTATCGGCGCGGGCACGTAGTAGGTCGAATGTCCCCAGGCGTAGCCAGGACTGGGCAAAGCGGAGAACGATGGCGCCAGGTTCGATCGTCTCACGACGGACTTTAACATGTGGGAGAAGCGTCAGAGATAGAGCCCTAGTGGAGGGAATGCCGAGGGCGTTGAGAGATTCGGAGACGATGAACTCGCGGATGCTCGAGCGCAGGACAGCCTTGCCATCGGCGAAGCGAGAATAAGGGGTGAGGCCGGCTCCCTTGAGCTGCAACTCATAGCGGACGCCGGTAGATGGGTTCCTGGTCTCAAACAACGAAACGACACGGCCGTCACCTAACTGGCCGGCCCATTGTCCAAACTGAAACCCGCCATAGCATTGGGCCCAGGGGTACCCCCCCTCCATCTTTTCGTTGTCCCATCCATGAAGCCGATTTCCGGCAACAGTTTGGCGAAACTCTTCCGTCTGCTCATCACCCGGCTGAATGCCCAGGTCGCGCATTGCGGCTGGGCTCACGGCCAACAGCTCAGGGTCCTCGACCGGCTCTGGACGAACCCAGGTGAAAAGGGCACCGCGGACCTGACGGGGACCAATTTTATCCCGTGGAGTCTTGTGAGAATCTGCCGGTGTCGGGAAGAGGGGGTCGGGAGGGAGCGATGAAGTGAAGGTCCATGTTTTCGGCAGATCAGCTATGGCGACACCAGGGGCCGGCACAGAAGCCATTCCATGGTTACCGCCGTTGGCATTGGAAATTGCCGGCGTCATAGAGGAAAGGTGAACGATCTGGGATCGATGTAGATATGATGCGGACAGAGGCGAGAGCCTATTTGAGAAAGACAACAGCGGCCCACGAATTTGATGGGCAGCGCTGCGCATGAACAGTTCGGTGAGGCCGTGTGTCACCGGCTATGAAGAAAGACTTGGGCGTCAAGAGAATATAGGTAGGGGGGGGGGGGGAGTCGAATACCCCAGGGGGAAAACCGCTTGTTGTTGTGAGAACAGTGGTTTTTCTTTTCCGGATAATGCTTCGACCAAGATACTCCCTGCTATTAAGATGACGGAGGAACAGGTCCTAAGTATGGGACTAAAATTATTCCTCGGTCAGAAGTTGCTTGAACTGTCCACGTTCGCCACCCTCTTAATGTCGACTGTGGAAGGGAATACTTCTGTTACCAGATGGCAGTCGCCGTTCACATAACAATTGCGGCGGTTCCTGATATGTACGTCATATCGCCTCGATGCAAACACAGGACGGAGTAACTACTCCGTCGTTGGAGCCAATGTATTATTAGTCAAAGGAGATTGAGGGGAAGCAGTTTACATAAGCTGAGTGTGGGGTACAAATATGGGGCCGACCTCGGACTCTGGATATACGTTGTGAACCGAATCTCCTCACCTCCGTACTGAACAAAAGCTTCCGAAACCGTTATGATGGCATACTGCCGCGAAAGTACGTCATTCCATTCGCCGAGGGGTCCGGAACTTTTAACTACATTACCTTTAATTAGCTGTCTAAGGTAGCTTACCTTAGCCAAGGTATGCCATGTTCAGGTAGTTCCTGCTCATTACAACCTGTACTCTGTAATGTAACTGTAAAGAACCGACACTTCTGGACCGCTCCCCTCCATCCTCACCTCACGTTGGTAGCATCCCTCATTTGTCTGTTCTGTGATCTGCAAGAGGACCAACAACGCCATACATAATCTGCGAGACAAACACATGTAAACTTGGTCAACACAGGAGTGCATACCTTACACAACAGAAACATGAACTCTATCGGCGCCACGGCCCAACCCGATGCTTCGGGTGCCCCGCCGAAGCAAATGCCCTATATCCCGAACTTGAAGTTGAACGATGGCAACGAGATCCCAATGGTAACATGTCCCTGGCGCGGCAAGAAAACAGTTTTCGTGCCTCTCCAGCTATTTGTCTCCTGCCTTATCTTGTGAAACAAACACCTGGGAAGCACGTTTTTTCACTGGCTTGATCCCAAATTCACTGACATGGATAATCTGTAGATTGGATATGGTCTCGGTACCGCCAACTTCAAGCGCAATGACAGCAGCTTCGACCAGGCCATCGTTGATATCACCGTCAAAGCCATTAAGACGGGTTACTTCCATCTTGATGGTGCTGAAGGTAAGTCATTTTCACACCCAGTACTGACCTGACTTGGTTGTCCGATTACACTGCGTCACCCCTGGGTCAATATCTTCTTACTGAACATTGGGATAGTCTATGGCAACGAGGAAGAACTTGGAGCCGCCATCAAACAGGCCGGGATTCCGCGCGAGAAACTCTACGTTGTCACCAAGCTCAACCCCACCAAAAAGCAAAACACCCAAGAGGCCTTTGAGCGCTCCCTCAAGAAACTGGGCCTGGACTACGTAGACCTCTACCTCATCCACGCCCCTTACATGGCAGATACCCCAGACGAGTTGCAGACTATATGGGCCGACCTTGAAGCCATCAAGGCCTCCGGCCGCGCTCGTTCCATCGGTGTCTCCAATTTCCTCCAGGAGCACCTCGAAACCATCCTCAAAACCGCCAAGGTCACCCCCGCCATCAACCAGATCGAGTTCCACCCGTACCTCCAGCACAGCGACCTGCTCGATTTCCACCGCCGCCACCGCATCGCCGTCTCCTGCTACGCCCCGCTCACCCCAATCACTCGCCAGGACGCCCAGGGTCCCGTGCCGGAGATTTGGCGCCGTCTGGCGACCAAGTATGGAGTCTCCGAGTCCGAGATCGGGCTGCGCTGGTGCATTGACCAAGGCCTCATCGTTCTTACCACGAGCTCCAAGGAGGATAGGCTCGTGAAGTACTTGTCCAAGCTCCCCTTGTTCAAGCTCACGCCCAAAGAGGTCGAGGAGGTCGCTGAGGCGGGTAAGACGGTGCATTATCGTGCCTTTTGGAGAGACAAGTTCGACGCCGACGACAGACGTTAAGACGTCCTCGTCGTGGCGAAGGAATAGGGCGCCATGCCATCCCAATATGGCAGAGTGATTATGAAGGACCTGCCCTTCTAGGCATTGTGAACTTCTTAGGACATCGCCATGAGTTGGCCGTCATGTGAAATGCAGGTATATTGCATCATGTTGTCCAGGCCCGGTTGTAGAATGGATCAAACGGCCCACGCTCTTTCTCATAAATCGATCACAGCTCATCGTCCGACTCTGTCTCACTTCCTGCGGGAGGAGGTGTCGCCTTTCGCTTCTCTGCCTTCTTTTTCATGAACGGTAAATCTCGGCGGGGCGGCGGTGTATTTTCCTTCTGGGGGGATGGCTTCGATTCTTGAGATTGTCGTACACTCGCGGACTGCTTCGAAGATGTTGCTCTCTGAGGCTGCGGGGCACGCTTGTCGTCCTCGTCCTCGTCCTCGTCCATGCCCTCGCTCGCCGTCTCCGTCTCCGCCTCGGTCTCTGCGTCCGTCGTCTCCCTCTGGTCATCAGACGCTTCTGGCGCAGAGGTTCGAGTCGTCGAGTCGACGTCCATCTTGTCGAACCCCTCCGACTCGTCGTCCTCTTCTGCCGCTTCTTCATGAGCGGGGACCTTCCGCTTCGTGGGCCTGGACCGCTGTGCTAGGTGACCTTTGCCCGATTCTGATTTCATGCTGTTTGATTGTTGTGACTGCGCCAGTACGTTCGGGACCACAGTCGCATCGGCTAGGAGGCGGAGCTGCTCGCGAATCTTAACCTTCTTTTCGTTGAGGAGATCGCGGAATCTCTCCAGCATCGCTGCCTCATCCGCGTTTTTGGCCTGGATGAGCTCCCCCAGCTGGCGATGTAGCTCGGCTCCGGCTTTTTCAAGCTCGGCGGTCTTAGCCGCGGCGGAGGCGAGGGCCTTCTTCGCTTGGGTTATGGCGTCCGCGGCGATGCCGCACCAATCAAACAGTTCAATCTCTTCATCGGGTGCGTGCTTGAGTTCAAGTGTCCCCAGGCGTTGCTGAAAATATGTCAGCACTGGAAATAAGGGGGACGGGGTCTAATCCTCAGGGACTCAAGACTCACAGTGACGCCCCGGACCTGCTTTCTGAATGTGATTACAATCGAGGACTCGCTTTCCACGGAGGCAACCGCCTCCATGCCTTCCGTAGGCTCTTGGTGGAGGATACCTGAAAGGATTTCGAGCCATTCCTCTTCCGAAACAGGACTGTTCTTCACCATGAGCGAAGATGCCTGGCTATGCCGTACTGCCATATAATTCGCAATCAGCATCTATAATTATGCGGCCTCGTACAGGTCGCAGCGGGCAATTGACGTACAGAAGGTCATATATGGGGCCAGGCCATCGGTGCCGACGAGTTTTAGGTCCAGGGGCTTAGATCGGGTCTGTGAGGCGTGGACGAGTACAAAGGCCCCTTGCTCATCGGAGCGAGGAATACGGAGAATAGTTGGGGTTGACATGGCGTTCCCTAGACTGAGTATGAGACGGCGGACGTCGAGGGTGGATGAAGGCTGAGTCGCGCCTAGAAACGGGATATAAACGCGCCTGACGGCTGCTGTGCGTTTGAGTGGTCGTTGAAGAGTTTAAAATATGCCGTCGTTTGTGGCAATCGAATATGGATTCTTCGAGTCCACCAGAATACACCGACTGAGGGACATAGTATAGGACGTTCGGATTGGATTGATGATAGTTATTACCAGGTAATATGATGAATGTTTAGGTCAATGCGATTGATGGGTGGGTTTAGGCAACTGTGGCAGGCAACCGGCTTCATTCCCATAGGTACCTTAGGTAGGGTGGGTGTTTCAATTCAGCATGTAGCCACAATGTTTGCGCAGTACGAAATACGTAGTACTACAAGGGCGAGGATAAGGTATATTCGTAGGTACCTACCTATCTGTCCGGATATACGGACTACTTACAGGGCAGGGATATCTAAGGTACACGTACTGGTGCCTGTCAAATGAAAATACACGTAGAATGCCGTCATTGAACTACTTGAACACTTGAGAGATCAACGCCAAGTCCGATGAAGCCAAACAGATATCTACGTGTAGGAGTGGAAATACCTTTTCTTGTCTCCTCTGGTTTCCTTTCCCCCAGGGACAGGCAGTGCTTCTACGGAATCCCCAAAGTTTGCAAACACTGTGGGATAATAAACACTATGGGAGAATGAACACTGTGGGATAATGACCGTGCGGTCGACGCGGATCAAGGTTTCCGTAATGGCTGAGCCATAAGGTGCCAAAAGCTATGACCCCCTAGATGGTCACGTGAGCTCCTGGGATCTGATAGGCAGGTCCCGTGACCTGCCCTAGGCAGGCCACTAGGGCTTATAGTGTCTCCACCACTGCAGGCATCTAGATAGCTCTCTTCAACTAATCAACAACCTCATTACCGTACAGCACCGTCGTTTTAATGGTGACTCAGGGGAGGCCCGGCCATTTCATTTTGGCCGGGGCTCCGAAATACCTTCATTCCCTTGATTTATGACCCCTCCCTCTAATAACGACAAACAGAAGAGACGTTTTCATTCCTTCTGACGCGATACGCGTCACGACGATTTTCCCCTACCAAAAATCGCGGGTGGGAAGACAACAAAATAACTTGTCAGTCTGACAAGCCTTTTCGACATTCCACCATACCGACCTAACCGGAAATCGAGCTTCTAAAACACACGGCTTTACACACGTGTTCTTCACCACCGAAATCCATATCATTCTGACTTCACCTCGACAATCAACACTTCACTTCGCGAAGAGTTTTGGGAGCACCTAAGACTCGAGACACGGATGGTACTGTGAGGACGACCGGATCGCGAAAGCGGTGACAACGTCTTCGAAGTTCATGTTTGGGGTCGGGTACTTCCGCCCTCAATGTACCTCACTCACTGGCAGAACATCAGTGAGAGAAATTGCCACCCTGACCTGAACACTCGTTGCGGAAACAGGGTCCAAAAGCAAGAGTCGGGAACGGCGATGAGACCTTGTCCGCTTGTAAAGGCGAGAGCGAAGTGACCCGAATCACACTATATCCTTCTTCCTCCCCCCCCCAGACACCCCCAGACACCACCTGAACAAAAATCGATGACGACATATTTGAGTTACAAAGGTGGCGAGCACGCTGCTAGCGTGAGAAATTGAGAGCTAGCCCGAGGGGCTGAGAGAAAGTGCGACGGCGAATGACTCGGCGGCGGAAACCCTTCGGGGAGGAACATTGGATTACGCATACCATTTACTGAGGGAGGAGCGAAGGGATAACACTGGGTGGTTTCGGGGGATGGGGAGCACCCTGTTCCCTTATTTCCCCAACTTCTCCCTCCCTTGTCACCCACACACACACAGAATACCCACACACACACAGAATACCCACACACACACAGAATAAGGACAAGACAGATTCACTGCTGCGAAACCGTTGAAACCAGATCTTTTTCCTTTCTTCTCACTCTCTTACGCATCACCACTGCGGATGTCCGCAACACCCGAGAGATTCCCGTCAAGACAACTCCTTCCCTACTCCTTCACTCAATGACAACCCACTCCAGTGACGGCGTCGACCGCCACGTCACCGGAAATTAGCCCAAGATCTCTTACTTCTGGTACTTTGGACACCACATTACCTCAATCGACTCCTGTGACTCCCGTGATGGAGAATCCGTCGGGAAATCTGGGTTCTGGGGTGTCCATGTTTTCGGGTACAGGACACTCCTACCTTTCATCGGAATTCCTCAACGACATCGAGGATATGGTAGATATATTTGGGGATCGACTCACCGAGCAGGTTAAGGATAGACATAAGCTACGTCTCATGCGCACACATTTAGTAGGGCGTGTAAAGACGTGGTGGGAAGCCCTGGGTATTAAAGACAGAAAAGACTAGGAGACCGCCAAGAAGAAGTTCGCTAAGGAGTTTAAAGACGAGTCCGCTCGTTTTAACGGACAGGCGATCTTAGAGGCCTCTACGTTCGCACGCAAACCCGGAGAACAACTTTCCGAATATATGAAGCGTGCTATTAAGTTAAACGCTAAGTCCATGTCTTCGGATATCCGTCATCTTTTCGTGCGTCGTTTCTGCGAATACATAACTGACGGCGAAGTGGACTCCTATTTATAAGAGCGTGTCGCTGATCGCCTGGCGGTATCGGGCAAGTCCTACTTAGGCGTTATCAAGGATACCGTCACCTTTAAGGAGGTGAAATGCATAATCATCGAAGTCGCGAAAGGTTATCACGATATATCGGACCTGATGGAGGAGAGCATAGATGATTATGATCCACGCTCGTTCAATTAGAACCTGCTAAAAGGCCTTAGCAAGTTTGGTGAAACCCAGGAGAAGATGATAGAAGCCCTGGTCCACCGACTTAACGGCCTGAGCGCTCGCCCGGCCACGGGTAGGTTATACGATCCTAACGCAACTTCATCCTCGTCGCACCCTAAGCCTACGACCTCCTCAAATTCGTTTAATATGGAGCGAGTGTTCTGTTTCGGATACGGAGGATGGGGCTATTTTCTTCGGGATTGTCCAAATAAAGGGTCTCGCGAACAGCAGTAGCAGAGGCGTGATACCTGGGATACCCGTCGAAGCGAGATGTTGGCAGCTCGAGATAAGGAGCTGCGGGAAAAACGAAATGATAAGCTAACTTAACCACAGATGAACCGGATCACACACCCCCATCGGAAACGCAATCACCCAGGCAGACTGTCGCGCCCCGGAAAAAGGACAGTGATGCATTCAGAGGACTTTAAACCTATACGCGGAATAAAGGTCTCGGGGATATAGCCTTTCTTAGTGACCCGTTTCCTTGCTAATCAGGATGTCACGATAACTCTGCTTCAGCTCTTCCAGGCTTCGCCTCTTATTCGGGCAGAACTTCACTATCTTATTCAGACTCAGGTCTCCGATATAGATAGAAGAGGTAAAGTAAACCGGGCCAGAGCAAAGAAGAAGAAGGCCACTAACTCGTTGACTGCGGCAAACGCGGTCACGACTAGAGATCCGAACGTCTAACTTCATGGTCGTGTCTCTTGCATGGCGGTGCAATCGGCTCAACAAGACAGGGGAGCTGATGGTCGGGACAACCCACCAACTCACAAGGACCAGGCCTATGGATTAGAAGCACAAGGCAGTGAGCCGTCTCTACGTTTCGCGACATGACTTCCCTGTCCTTAAGTTAGAGACCCCCTGCATAGTGCGACTTACTAATAACGAGATTTTACCCGTTACCGACTTCTATTTCCTGCGCATCAGTGTGGGAAGCGTCCTCAGTACCATCCAAGCTTTCATTCTGGGAGCATCAGAGGAATAGGACATTCAACTAGGCAAGCAGTAGCACCGACGCATACAGGCTATAGTTGATCATCGCAACGAGAGTCTCACGGTCAAAGGGATGCGCGGCCATCGCGAAGAGGTACCATTACATCCAAGCCCCAAGTACTACTACGTCAAGCCTGAACACTCCAACCCTCCCAAACATTCCGTTGAGGTACCCGCTGAAGTCGAGGACTTGAGCGACGATGATGAGGATTCGGGCGATGAATGGGATGATGAAATCTTAAAGCGTCTGGAGGACACACTTGCGTCGGGCAGACAAAAGGCCTACGCCAAACACAGGATACATCTGGAGGAGTGACGAGGACTCCGAGATAGGAGAAAAGGGAGCGAGTATCCCCTTCAGTGTGTGTGCGCGTGAACGGAAGGTACAGGGAAGATGTCATGACGTAACCGGTTAGCATATTTTGAGGCAGGCACCATGGAAGCCTAGTTCGGAGCACCAACTCAGGCAGGAAGAAACGGATGGAGACATTTTAGGCAGGTACGACCAACAGGTCACAAGGGTGAGGAAAAACATTTAGTTAGTTCTGCCCCCGAGAGCACTTGGGGGAGGGAGGGAGATCATCATCATCAGCTGAGGCAGGGAATATCACCAACTTTGCAAGTTTGCTTGACACTCTTTTTTTTGACACTTGATTTTGGAACCTTGACCTTTCTTTATCTTCACTTCCGTCTACACAAGACAGCTCACCTGGATTTGCGGCCGCCATGTCAGATATACCGCGCGCCGGGACGCCGCTCGGTGATTTTCAGCCTCGCTTGACGAGATCCGCAGACATGGCCTCTGACTTCACAGACGACTGTCAGGCCTCTCAAACTGAATTTGAGGACATCCAAGACATTCCCTCCCTCGTGAAATCTCTGAACAGCTGGATTGACCGCTTGCAAACATCGCAGCATCACCCCCAGTTATATTCCCTCCACCTTAAAGATAGGGATAGCGAGAGCACTCCTCCCCAAGAAGATACCGTCCCGACACCAGTTTTTCAGTTGGCTTGGAGTTAACTGCTGAGGAGAAAACAGGCCGTGACCCTAGGGTTGAAAAAGGAGGAAATATATACTGAGAGGCCGCTGGCATAGAAGTAAGCTCTCCGAGAGAATTTTGCTGCGGGGGAAATCGATGGTCCTTTGGCCGCGGCTTATCTGGATATCTTGACGACGCTGTCTACTTAAGAGCCCGAGTCCCTATCGTCGGAGCACCACGATGAGGACTTGGATGGCGACGGCGCCTAGAGAGACAATACTTCTGAGCAGTGGGGTGAGGTACTTTTGCCCGCTGCCTCTTCAAGCGTACCGGAAACATTGCCGGAATATCACTGCATAAATCCACTGCCCCCCGCTAAAGTCTCCGTTTGTATGGGATTCTCAGAAATCAAGGGGTCCCCCTGCAATTTCGATTTCCTCCACATATTTCGCAATCTGGCCAATGTTCCGCTGTCCGAAGTTAAAGCCTGGCACGAAACCTCGAACATCGAGATCGGTTCTATGGCAGACACACCTGAAAAGAGGGCAATGGTTCGGATTTTGCTCTACACCTACAGAGACGCTTTCGCACACACTCTCCAAGATATCAAGGTCACACAGCGTTTACAATATAATATAACTATACGAAAAGGCGCTACACCCCCTCTCCGGTAGAGGTAATAGAGGTATAGATTACGATAAAGAGAATTCGCTAGAGTTACGATGCCCGAAATAGAGAAAGCGGGAATTATTTCCAAGGCCTCTCAGGCGGCCTAGGTCGCTCACACACTCTTCCCGCCCAAGCCCTCAAAATCCCCCGACGCACCGGTCGTTTTTCGCGTCGTCTATGATTTCCGTATCCTTAATACTGCCACGGAACAACCCACTTACCCATATCATAATCTAGAAACGGATATAGACGCTCTACACTAAGGACGACCAATAGTGTACTCTAGTTACGATACGTCGAACGGCTTCTAGGGAATCTAACTTAACGAGGATTCCAGGCGCCTTTTTATAGTCACCGGCCTAAATAGCGCGTGGCATTACGATAGGATGCCGCAGGGCCTCTACGGTGCCCTAAGCACTTACGCCAGATTTAGAGACCTTATCTTCGGGGACATTTTCGACGACGGTGAAGCCACCACGGTCCCTTATACTCACCACCTAGCGGTACTTAGGTATATAAAAGATCTAGAGACTAACCTCGCTATCTATATCGACGATCATAATATAAGCAGCTCAGATTTTTTCACCCACTTTATATATTTATAGGTATACTACTTCCTAAGGGTACTTTAGGGACCGGTCGGTTTAGCCACTAAGAAGTGTCACTTTTTCATGGACCATTTGGACCCGGTGGGAACGCATATATATAACGGCCGGATATGCCCAGGATATAAGCACAGAGAAAAGTTTCTCGACTTCGCTCGCAAGTTTATACAGACACCCCCGAGGACCTAGGAAGAGATTCAGCCCCTCCTCTAGTGCACACCTCCATTCCGTAAATACATCCCAGGACGTGCAGGGCTAGAGGACATTATACGATCGGCTTTTTAGGAATTTCGACCGACGCTTACACCTCTGGGCAAGCCAAGCGTTCGCAAGGAATATATACGGCGAGCAGAACCAGTTTAGACAGACGAATACGCTAAGGCACTTCAACGCCTCTGCAAAGCAATCCAAAACAATGTGATCGTCGACATACTTCCCGATATATAGTTTCACCTAAGCGCTAATATATCTAATCACGGTCTCGGCGCCGCCCTGATATAACTTAATGGCCTCCCGATAGGCACCGAAATCACGGATAAGAATTAGGACAAAGTCAACGTTAACCAGTTTATCTCATTTCGTCTAGCCGAGGCGGAGAGGAGGTACTCTATGCCCGAAAAAGAGATACTGGCTGTCCTTAGAGCACTACAGGAAACCCAGTGGATCACGATATACAGTCCTTATCCCGTCATCGTCTATACAGACTACCTTAGCCTCGCTCAGTCCATATATAAGGTCACTAAGATATATAGTAAGCTGTCCAAGTGGCTAGAGAAACTCACCGAATTCGACTGCATTTTTATCCATCAACCTAATACTCAGAAGATCATCAAAATCGCCGATAGCCTTAGCCGCATACTAATATATATTCAGGACAACCCGCGACCGGTGTAAAGAAGAGAAGCCCCAGAATTCACTCTATCCGACGGTATAGTAAACTTTACCGTCGCTCGGGTCAAGCTACCTTTAAACTTAGGCAGGTTATAGGCGGAGGGACACCCCGCCTATATATTTTCCCGCGATATCCTAGCATCCTTAAGGGATTTAGAGAGAGACTCGATACCACTACGAGCGACCGATAGACCCGCCGATATACCGGCAGCAATGAGATAAGACCTTCTCGACTATCTGCTTCGGGAATAAGATATGGAGGAATGGTACGGGCGAATCATTCGGAGGATTATTCTGGGACCCGAAGAAGGCGGCAAAAAGAAGAGGAGACTTCTCCAGTATATATACGACGCGTTTCGTATCTACCGATTAAAGCTGTACCGCGTGGAGAAAGACGAATTATTATCTCTATGTATCGGGCGATAGGATGTGGTTCGGGTGTTATGCCGTTTTCACGATAAGACAGGACATTATAGTATCAGGATCGTTTTGGCTAATCTTAAGGGCCGATACTACTGGCCTAACCGGACCGGAGACATCACAAACTATATCAGATCTTATGCCGTGTGTTAACAGACTAGACCCAGGATACCTATTTTGCCGCCGGGTAAGGTGGTGGTGTCCCGTCCCTTCGAAGTCGTTAGAATGGATTTCATGGGACTAATTACACCTGCCTTAGCCGATAGACACCGTTATATCTTGGTGCTGGTGGATTATTTAACGCGCTTTATTCTTTTAGCACCGACACGGGAAGCTAACGCTCTTATGGTACACGATGTGCTGTATAACTAGATAGCCCCTATCTTCGGGTGGCCTTCCTTCTTTTACTCGGATAATGGTTCGCACTTTAAGAACATTATCCTGGAAGCTATGACCCAGTATCATAGCTCGCGAATAATCTTTGGGCCCGTTTCTTACCCGGGATCCACTAGACTGCTAGAAAGCGCGGTCAAACTCACTAAGGCGTAGCTTCGCAGGCACACTGTCTCGAGGTCCCTAGACGGGGTTAGTCGTGGGGACGATTCCCGGTGGCACCTGGAAATACCGAATATCGCCCAGAAAATCAACGCCCGTTTTATGTCTTCTTTAGGAATATCGCTATCGGAGGCTATGCTAGGGTATTCGCCCACAACTGGAGACGACTTAGTCGAGGATAATAAGGATATAACCCAGGCTTAAGAGTTCCAGGATAATAGGGAGGACACTATTTTTATAACACTACGCTAATACCTATACGACGGAGGCTTACTGCCTCGGGTACTAGAGCTGGAAGAACCGCTAGAGGCTTCTCTCGATCTTGAAGGTTTCCGTTCTTATGCTACGATCGATCTAGTCTTTGAGACTAGGGAGGAGAGGCGAGCACGTCTACTCCGTTTTAATGCGAAGGTGCTTGACGAGGAAGAGAGGCGCCCCGAAGAGGATGTTCCGGACGCTTCTATGTACGTGGGGGCTTTCGTGTGGGAATTAGCAGATAAGAAGGGCATTTCGAAATCCAAGTTCGATCCGATATAGTTGGGACTACTCCGTTTGGCTGGAAAGGCGTCGCCCGTCACTTGGTGGGTTACCGCTCAGTTAGAGGTACTGTTGTATTATATCGATCTGGATAAGTGCAGAAAGATATATGCCAACCATCTCAAACCGGTTATCCTGCGACCGCGACACCTGGTCGATCATGGAGACGATGTCACTCGCGAAGGGTTAGACTTAAAGACGGTTTAATCGGGTACAAGCGCGAGCTTGAGGATGTTGGATTTAAGGGCGTCCCCGGCTTTCTATTTGGGGTATATGGAGGCTGAGGAGAGTTGAGTTGTGGAGGAACAAGAGTGATAAGTTTACGGCTGGATGAGACCTCGCGATGAGGGGTATGGGAGATTGGTAGGAGGATACGATAGGTTGGAGCGGTTATATCTTTCGTGCTGGTTATATTTCTTAGGCGATTGGAAGGCTCAGGGTCGAGCCATCAGCAAACTCGGGCAGGGTTGATAGGCAGGTCCCGTGACCTGCCCTAGGCAGGCCACTAGGGCTTATAGTGTCTCCACCACTGCAGGCATCTAGATAGCTCTCTTCAACTAATCAACAACCTCATTACCGTACAGCACCGTCGTTTTAGATCCGACCAGTTCCACAGGTTTTACCAGCCACCCACACAATCAATTTTCTTTTCCGGCAAGGTGTTCATGTACGTACTGTACCTTATTGTATGTACGAAGTACGAAAGTTGACCCAAAAGCGACCGTGCGCATCCCAGCCCGCCCAATTTTCCTCCCGCAATCACACCGAGAGGGACAGCGTGCAAACAAATCTCCACCCTCAACGGTTTGGCATCAAGCGACTCCCACATTCTCTCACTTTCGGATCGTCCCGACCTCACGAATAACCACATCACCACAACGCCCGACCATTCCATGGAATGGTACCCGTCGACACTCTGACGTAACGAACCGAGCCTTTCCCAATCTTATCCAACTTCGACCACCACCAACGTTTCTAGATACGCAAAAGTAGAAACAATCTCGTGGACGCGACATCAATCACCCACCCATTCTCATAACCAGCTAGCTTCAAAAATTCGACTCGTACACTGCGCGAATAACAGTACGAAGAACCTCCCAGACCTCATTCATCGATCCTCAATTGGAACATCGTCGGCGCTACCCATCTGTCGTGATCAACGCCGATATCACCTTTGCATACCCACCATCACACGACTTCAGATAGCGCGCACGTTTATCAATTCCTGCCGATTTCTGCAGATAAACGGGGCGTCGAAAGGGATGCTGATACGATCGGGATATCAAGGTTGACGATATGATCCCAACTCATTGATAATCGCACGAGCGCCGTCGGAATCATTCGATAACCTTTCGACCGCCGCGTCGAAAACTTGATTAACCTCCACCACTGCGTTACTCGACCCCTCATCGCACTATCCGAAAACATGGAGCCCTTGCGCCTCAAGGCGCGGCAGTTGGCCGAAGAAAAGATTGAGAGCTGGGATGATGGGGACTTTGAGCTTGATGTTGATGATATCCCATTTCGAGGCTGTGGTTCCACCAATGGCCAGAGTAATGGCCCTCCCAGCAGGCGAGATTCGCACTCATCCGTCATGTCCCTGCGGTCCGATCTGGAATCTATGCCTGGCGAGGAGAGGCATGTTCATCTGCCTGGCGACGATGAACAATCCACTCTCGAGGCGATCGCTGCTGCAACCAAGGCTGGCATTCCCCTCCCTAAGAACGTCCCATCATCTGCTCTTATGGGCGGCACAATCAAGCGCCTGGGTGGACGTAAAGTGAAGAAGATCATTCAGGATGACTGGGAGAACGACATTGAACTGCCCGACTCGCCGCAGCCTCTTCGAATCAAACTCCAGGACGCGTCCAAATTTCCGGACGCTCTGAGGCAAGTTAGCGGCGGCTCTCAGAACAGTCCATCCAAACCGTCTTCGAGGCCTAGCACGTTGCCTTCCATCATTAAGGATGATGAGCGGCGTAGAGAGTCGGGTTTCTCGTCGACATCCGGCAGTCTGACCGGTGCAGCCCATCTCGACAAGTTTCGAGACAATGACGACGATGATCTTGATTTCTTCGGCGACGGATTCTCCACCATCAAAGTCTCCAAAACTCGTCCGCCGAGGCCCATTTCTCTCATAACACCACCCACACCTCAGAAGGATGAAAAGCCTACAGCTACAGCGCCTGATGAAGATTTCGAACACGACTTTGAATTACCCTCGGACGGCAAGTTGAAACTCTCCATGCGGAAAAACATTCCGAAAACGCCATCTTCCCACGCGGATGACTTGGACTGGGGCGAAGGTAGCTTGGGGACTCGCTTTGGTGGTACTCGGAGGGATGGTCGCTCTTACCGAAGCTCCTCCGCATCAGCTCTCAGCCCTAGCGTATCGAGTTCATTCACTGCCGAGAGCGAAGACGACACGTTTGATGGCCTTGTCCTGCCTAGTGGGCCGGTAGATTTCGAGGAGCGTCTCAGCCGGCAAAGGAAGAGCCGCTCTCCTGTGCGCAGCAGTATGGGGGAGGAGACGCCCCCAACAGATGTCGAAAAAGACGACATTCTCAGTGGCCTTGAAATTGGCGATGGCGAGATCTTCGACGCGGGCAAGTTGACCCTTCATCGAAATATTCGTGTGAACGCGCATCGACCCGCCAGCCCAGCTCGTCCCAAGACGGCCGTTGCCATTACATTCACCAACAAAACGGTGCAATCCCGACTTCCACGTCCCAGCCACGAGCGAGCTCACTCGATGCTGGAACCCGTCTCCGAAAGCGGCGGCCCTATTCCATCCAGATCGAGAAGACCCCAGTCGCGGCTGGGTCATTCATCCCAGTCTTCTGTGACAAGCTTGCCGACGCCAACGACAATCTCGCCTTCTCACTCTTTACTGCCTGGCACACTTCGAAAACGCGAAATTGGCAATCGGTCTTCCCTCACCTCTCTCCGCAACGAGCCGACCACCACGAGTTCTCAGTTACTCCGCTTCAAGCGCTCCTTACCTGCGATGCGGGCAGGCCAATCTCCGGCGAAACCCAACGTCCCGCGGTATGACAGGCCTTCGTCTCGCACCGAGAATAACCGCCCCCCATCTGGGTTGCGTCCTAAAACGCCTGTCGACCGGACTCGCCCCGTGGCTGAAATGTCTGCCTCGCAAGCACGAAAGCCGTTCTTGCCTGCGGGAGTATCTAACACCCAGTCTCACCACGTGGCCACCAAGACATCGCGGGTGTTCCGTCGACACGATTCCGACAACTCGATCGAACTTCGTTCTCACTCCCGGACGATTTCGAGGTCAGCCATTCGCTCGCCGAGTCCGCGACGTCACCGTACTGCTGCCCAGATAGCTCAGAGCGGTGTCCGAGGGGAATTTTACCAGGGCCGCCCCAGGCATTTCGGCGACGGCCATGAGCTAGATGGCTTTGACGATTTGCCGACATCTGCCCATGCAGAGGCGAATTTTATCCACCAGCCAGCTAAAGCACCCCTTCGGAACAAGATATACCAGAACGTCTTGCCGGATAGAATGATTTCACCATCGCCTGGTCCCTACTCTCCTCCCTCAAAGGTCGGCAACACCCCGCACTTTGCTCGCGACACGACAGCCAGTAGGATTGCCCGGGAAACATCGCTTGCCCAACGTGCGCCTTCCACAGGAGCCCTGGCGCCCCTAACATCACAACGAGTAGCGCAGTTATCTTCCCGGGGCAACCTGGCCCTTGGCGTTCCTCAGACAACCGTCCGGTCCAAGAAACATCGCAAGCCTCCTCAGCTCAAGCCTCATCTCATTACGAATATGAACAAACACAATGTGGCAAAACGTTCGTTGATCCTTTGAAACAGCATTGTGTTAACCTTGCAGATGTGACATGATGCTGACCCCGTTGATAGATGAGAAAGGCATGTATTACAACCCTCAGACACATCGATGGGAAGGGAACGAAAATGTCCTCGGCGCGTTCGACCCGCCAGTCTCCACCCCCTCCACCGCCTCAGTTCCATCTCACCTTCGGGAGAAAGAGGCCACAACCCCTCGCCCTGCCTTGATCACGAACATCACCGGCACGAAAGGCGTGCAGGTGGTCAAGGGAATGGTCTTCGACCCTCAAAACATGTGTTGGCTCAAACTGGGGGCCCAAGGAGACTCCAAGGCCGCCGATGCGACTGACCCCATGGAGGGATTCGACGCCCTGGAAGAGGACGATGACGTGTTCAAAGATATCCCCGACCTAGAAGACCTTTCCACCGCCGATACCAACGATGGTGCGCAGGGCCGCACGAGCGACGTTAGAGACGACTGGCTGGTGGGCGAAGAATTCGATGTTGGTCCCGAATTCGTGCGAAGACAGCGCGAGGAGGAAGACCGATGGCGAAAGAAATGCGAAAAATGGGTCGGCACGGTCGAACGGGACCGTGACGCCTCGCGCTGGGCTATCCGAGACCTCCTGGTCTTCCAAAGAGCGGCCCAGTAAAGAGAGATTGGGCAGTTATTCCTATTTCATTTCCTCACCGAACTCGCCCACCACCACCAACACCACCACCACAACCGCCCTCTCGACCACTTTCGCCACAAACACAATACTTTTTCACATCATATACCTTTTTAATCCATCATCACTGCTACGGCCGACATGACGAACGTGGTTTTCAACATCACAAGGTATAGAGTTACGAAAAGGTCATCAGAATTCTTTTGCTGGCCACAGCACATATTACTCGATGTATTTCTGACCTGTTTATTTTCCACCCGTCAATTCTCCATCTTCAGGACAAGGGAGGCGTCGGCCCTGTCGCTCACCTCCTTTCGGCGTGCTACCAGCGCCGGGCAAAGAGAACGAGAGGTCTTGGAGAGGGAAAAAGGTTATTGCTTGCATTCTACTTGCGAATGCGTTGCATCCGTCTTGTCTTTTATTTTTGGCTTCTGAGGGACTGGAGGAGAAGAGGTGACGCAGCGGCCAATGGCGACCCTGGATGCCAGGGCGTGGGGTCGGTCAAGTTCTGCCTCGGTGCTCTGATCTCAGATGGCCATTGCTTGTATAATTCTGTATTCTTCCGGACCGGGCGGGGTTGGGAAGAATTGTCCATAGACCTGAGAGGGACCTACAGCACTCATCTCTCACCCGCCTCCTCCCTCGGGACTTGTGCGAACAGCAAGGGAATGGAGGCGCGGATGGAGGCACTTGAGGAAAGTCCCATCTCTTTAACGACGTGATGCGTTATGGTATAAATGAACTACATTTTTCTGGCTTGAGATCCGGCTTGTTCCAGCCGTTTGTTTGAGACTGCTTTACTGGCAAATTTTGATTCCAATCGTCACTCGCAAAGGTGATAGCGTTCATGGTCCATAGTATATGGCATCGCAATTGCTTTTCTCTCTTCCCATTTCATTCCCCTATGTACAGACAACTCCTAACCCAAACACAGCATATAACAGAACAGGATGGCGGCATCTCAGAAACCTCAAAAGATGGCGAAAAGGTAAGTACGGTACGGTAAGGTAAGGTAAGGTAAGGTAGGTAAGGTGATGATGAATTCCCAACCGAAGATATGAGCTTCACTCTCACTCCTTGCTGGTCTCGGTCTTCTTCTTCTCCTTCTCCTTCTTCTCCTTCTTCTCCTTGGACTTTCCATTCTCCTTGGGCTTTGCATCGTCCTTCGGATTTCCATTTTCCTTGGGCTTTCCACTCCCCTTCGGCTTGTCAAGTGCGTGCGGGTCTAACCCTCTCCTCCGCATAGCGTTCCTCTTGGCCTTCTCCATGTAGCTGGTGTCTTCCTCATCGTCGAATCCGCCAAAGTCGTCGTCGTCGCCATTCACAGCGCTCTCTTCCGCGCCAATGGGCGTCCTGTCGACAACTTCCTCACCGTCGACACCAGCACCATCGCCGGCTTCGGCGCTGACGCCGTTCTTGGAGGATGTGGAGCCCTTGACACCCACGGCCTTGGCCGGAGTGGGACCAATCTTCTTGAACTTGGCAACGTAGAAGCCATCGACGTTGTAGGTGTGCGGGTAGTACCGCCGCGTCAGACGCAGGGAGGGATCGAATTGCTTGCCCCTGTGGGAGATGAAACCCTCTTTGCCGAATGGAAGGCCAGTATCCACTAGCTTGACGTTGGGGCGCCGCGATAGAGCGTAGGCAACAACTTGTTCACTATAGTTTTTGATTGTCAGTAACATTTCCAAGAGAGTTGGGACAGGGATCTAAAAGAAACAGGAGAATAAGGTAATTGGAAAGGGCCCTATCGTACTTCTCCTCAATCGTAACGGAACATGTCGAGTAGACAATGTAGCCCCCGGTCTTGCTGGCGTGGTTTACAGAGTCAATGGCCGCTAGGAGCAGCTGCTTCTGCATATGTGGCAGCTGCATGAAGTCCCGCTCAGTCTTGTTCGTCTTGACAGTAGGATCTTTGGCGATGACACCAGTTCCGGAGCATGGTGCGTCGAGCAACACACGATCGAAACCGCCCATGGGCGTTGGGAATTCACGCGCGTCGTAGTTGGACACAACCACATTTCGGGCTCCGAGTCTGGGAACACAGAATATTATTAGTCCACGGCCTCTCAGCCCCCCACGCCTGGTGCAGAGACAAACCTGTGAATGTTGCCAATAAGACCCTTGGCACGAGACTTGTTGGGGTCGTTGGCAAGGACGAAGCCGGTGTTCTTCATCAGAGCAGCCATGTACGTCGTTTTACCGCCGGGCGCGGCAGCCATGTCCAAGGCTCGCTCGTTCTCCTGCGGATCGAGCGCCATGACGGGCAGGAACGAGCTGGCCGCCTGTAGGATGTAATGACCGGCCAGATATTCGGGCGTCGCACCGAGAGGGACGTTGGTTTCGAACACCTGGAGGCCGACCTTGGACCATTTGCCGACGGGCTCAAGGACGACGCCACGGGAAATCAGCCTCTGGGCGAGATCCCGCCTATGGGTCTTGAGCGTGTTGGTACGTATCACGACGGGGCGCGGCGACTCGTTGGCTTCGAAGAAAGCGAAGGCCTCTCTCGGGGGGAAAAGTTGGAACAGCTTCTCGGCAAGGTATTCGGAGTAGCCATAATAGGCGCAGATGTCCTTGATGAGCTGGCTAGTGTACTCAGTGCGAGAGCGACCCTCCTCTGACAGCTTGGAAAAGTCGTCAAGCACCCGGATGTTCTCCGTGATCCGGTTCCTGAGAAGCTGCAGATCGGGTGCTAGGAGAGTTTTGGTCTTGACCGCCAGGTCATCGTCCTCGTCCTCGTCGTCGAGAATGTGGGCTTTGTCGCCCTCGATGTTGGTTTGTATGCCCATCTCCTCAAGCTCAGCCTGCGCATCGGCTGCGTCTTGCGCTGCATCCTCCTCGATTCTCCTCGACAACCCTTCAATGTTTGCGGCTGTTAAGGCCTCTTCCCCGTCAGACTCATCCTCGTCCTCGGAGAATACGTGTTTGGTCTTGGTCTTTCCCTTGACCTGTCCTTCGTCGGAGTCATAGACGGAGTCATCTGAGCCTAGGAAATCGTCTCCCAGTTGCAAAGCATCGTCGTCGCTTCCCATTTGGTCGAGATCGCTGAAGGAGTCATGATCCAGATTGTCATCGCTGGATAGTCCCTCCAATTCCTCATCTTCTTCAGGCTGGGGTTTAGATTTTGACTTCTTTGCCTTCTTTCTGCTCGGCTGTGCAGTTTCAGCTTTGGGCTCGTTGGTCGGTTTGGACGCCTTCTGCTTCGCTTGTTGCTTGTTCGTCCGCCTTTTCTTGGACTCGGGCGCTTCGACAGGATCCACGGGCAGCCCAGCTTTTCTCTTCAATTTGGCAAAGTGAGCCTCGGACAGGGGCTCCGGAGGCCCCTGTTTCTTCATGCGACGTCCAACACCCATTGTCGAGGCCGAATGTATATATACTGCGAAACTGGTGTTGGTGGTGCAGTGCACGGTGCTGAAGACTGGACAGGAAAAAAAAAGTTGATCCCACTGGCTGTCCTATCTTATCGTCTCCGACCCACTCTGATAAGCAATGCTGGTTCTGGATTTTCTCTCGTTGTGACAGGAACATCACGTGGAATTAATTAGATAAGCAGAGCTTGAGCTCGTGCCAAGTGAACAACGACGTGGGGCAAGCCCATTGTGACGAATGGAGGGGACATTCTAGAAAGCCGTCAGCTGGAACATCACAACCATTGTATCGAACCCGTTAAGAGCTATTCATCGTCCTCCCACCACAGAATTTGCCCTAATCTAGAGCTTCAGCGAGACGTTAAACCCGCTTAAGAGTCATGGCCGAAGTTATTTTCGCGAGGCAGTTCCTCGCAAACCTCGAACCGCGGCCCGTGAAGCTCTCTCCGGAGCATGTCGAGGACCCCAAGAACTTCCCCGCCAGGCCTCCCGTGCGTCTCCCTACCCCGTTCAAATCAAATACATCGCCCAAGAGACTGACAGACTGACATCACACTTCCGGCTATTCAGTATACTCTCCCCAAAATGCAGAAAGCCTTCAGCAAACCCGACAAGACCGTCGTCCCAGGCCAAGAGCGCAGCGTTAGCGTGCACGTCAAGTCGCTGCGTGAGCCGCCCATCGACCTGAAGCTTACCTCGCAGCCCCTCGCCACGTCCATCTTGGACCTGAAGTCGACCGTGTCAGAGAAGACGCGGATTCCCGTGGAAAAAATGCGGCTCCTGCACCGGAAGAAGCCTGTACCAGACAGCAAGGTGCTCAAGGACTTGCTGGGCGGGGAGGAGATCTCGATCGAGTTTTCTGTCATGGTCATTGGGGGAGCAGCGGCCATCAAGCCGGCGGAGTCCAAGGATGAAAGCAACGTCGCTGCCGGGGGAATGGCTACCGGGGGAGTGGCTACCGGGGCAGCGGCTCTAGAGACACAGGCATTCTGGGACGATTTGAAGGGCTTCCTGATGCAGAGGTTAAAGGATGAGAAGCAAGCGGAAGAGCTGGCCAAAACCTGGCGGATAGACTGGGATGAAAAGAGGTGACCAGGCCGGGAGGAGCACAAGCGGTAGTGTGGAGGAAGTTGTGCGGTGGAAGTGGCGGAGAGTCAAGGCATGACATAGCGTTGTAGGTAGTTTACGATGATAATGAAGGTCTACATTCCGGCGTGGGATTCTCTAATTGATGGCCGCTGAACGGCATAACCAAGACGACCGGGCAATCAATCAAATTTGGAAAACTGTCGGTATTGCGCCTCAAAGAAACAAGAGGGGGAAGGGGTGATGGGGGAAAGAATGCCAGCGGGCCGATAGGAACTACTTGGAACTTTTTCCCCCGCCACCATAAGTGTCGTTAAAACTTCTCTGTCATAGTCATCATTCGTCTCTGAAGACTGCAGCCGCCAAGAGTGTATGCTCTCCGTCTTGGGGGGGAAGAAAAGGAAACCTGAACAGGGTTGATCATGGTTGGTTCGGGTGCGAAAGCAAGCTATATTTAACCGGCCATGCCTTTGCTGACGGTCTTAATAACGGTGTCATATTCGATGTCGTCGGGGTCGTTGGCCTGGAGCTCAGTAGCGATGCCGGTGAGCGAGCGCTTGAGGGCTTCCTTGGACGAGGCGTAGATCATCTTAGCCTGAATTTGGGGTTAGTAAGATAAGGAAACCGCATATGGGTTGAGGAGACAACGCAGATGGTGGCGGAGCACTAACCATGACACCAGCATCATCAGGTGACCACGCGATGAAGGTGATCTTGTTTCTACACAGACACCGTCAGATATTCCACATATCCCATATATTACTGTAGGCGGGTTGCTGGATGACGTACCGCTCGCCCTCGCCGGAAGCGAGGCTGTACTCGAAGTCATAGACAGCATAGCGGGGACCCTTGCCGACGGCACCCTGGTTATCAAATCCCGATAGTTAGTCAACCACATCGGAAGAATAGGAGAGGTACCAAAGCACTGAGTAAGGTGCAACATACAGACTTGCTCTTTGTGGTGGCGTTGATGAGCTTCTCACGGAAAACCTCCCAGTCCTTGTCGGGGGAAGCCTCCTCGACGACGATCTCCTTGTGGTCGTCCGAGAGCTTGAAGATGATGAACTTGTACTTCTTGGAGAGCTTCAGATCGTTGTAGGTGGAGATGCACTCCTGTGCAACGGTCGCCCTGCAATATGGTGTCACATCAGCAAAAACCGCGTTTTTCTTTTTGGCGGGGCGTGTGTTATGGGATTGGAGGATGATCAGGGGGGGTTGACAGCAAGAATGGAACTAAATATAAAAAGCCGTTACGAACCCGGATTGAGACTATGGTTATTCGTTAGTAAATGAGGCGGACGGATGCATGGCTAGTCAAGCGGTAAGTCACTCACCATGATGTACGACTAAAATGGCGGGGGGAAGGGAGGCAGGTGGGATAGCAAGCAAGGTGGGCTGACTGACGTAGACATAGGGGTTAGCAAAGGAATAGCAGTTGGATGCGAAATGGCATTGGATGGAAGAGGAGCATATGAAGTCAGAGAATGTGGGAAAAACTCACAGTTCTATGCACAGAAGGCCACCAGGCACAGGGACAATTGCTTTCCACGGATCGTTGTTGAAGGCAGGTAGGCAAAGTTGGGTTTGTCGTTGGACCTTGGATCTCAAACAGGACGAGATGGCGGGGAAGTGGGAGAAAAACAGTCCCAGTATGGTGGGGTTGGCTACCTTAGGTGAGACGAGTCACGTGATAGCGCATTGAGCAGCCGCGTTGACGAATGGACGAAACCTACCCCTGAATGTCCTCCTCATCGCAGTTGCCTACCGCAGTAGCAATCTACTTTGTGTCCATCTGGTCCATCTGCCCATGAAAATAAATGCCTGCAGTTGAATAGGTCGGTCCCAAACTTACTTACATCCGCCGCCTCAGAGCAGTAGAGCACACTAAACCGACAGTGTCCCATATAAGCACAGCAACACGCCATCCCTCATCCCAACAAGTGCATCAAAACATGTTCAAGTTTTACTCATTTTGTATTGAGTGGTCGTCTGATGTTACATTGCTGATGGTAGCTATCAATACAGAGCCTCTTGCCCAAGCTGCCTTGACTCAAGGGGAATGAATCTATGTCCTAATCAAACAAGGTCTGGCCTCAATAAGAGTGCCGTGAGGAAGGGAGGAAGACGGACAGAGAGGAGATTACTACAAGGCAGCCAGCCATTGATCCATCCTGTAAATATAACACCGAACCCACGCCGACCGTGCAGACCCCATGTCCCCGATTGCTTTTTGATGATACAAGATATTTTTTCAAGGCAATTGAACAGTGTTTTTACATCATGCCGCCCATTCCGCCCATGCCGCCCATACCTCCCATGCCACCGGGCATGGCAGGACCCTTCTCATCGGGAGCCTCGACAATGGCAACCTCGGTGGTGCCGAGCAGGGAAGCAACGCCGCTAGCGTCGACGAGACCAGTGCGGACGACCTTGAAGGGGTCAAGGATACCAGCCTGGATCATGTCGACGTACTCGCCCTTGGAGCTGTCGAAGCCCTTGTTGAAGTCCTTGGCGTACTCGTCGGTGAGCTTGCCAACAATGACAGAGGCCTCCAGGCCAGCGTTCTCCACGATGCTACGGGCGGGGCGGGTGATGGCGTTCTTGACGATGCTGACACCGAGCTGCTGGTCGAAGTTGGCAGATTTGATATTACCCAGAGCCTGAGTGGAGGCCTTGAGGAGGGCCGTGCCACCGCCGGGAAGGATGCCCTCCTCAACGGCGGCCCGGGTGGCGTTCAGCGCGTCGACGAAGCGGTCCTTCTTCTCGCCGACCTCAACCTCAGAGGAGCCGCCAACCTTGATAACGGCAACACCGCCCGACAGCTTGGCCAGGCGCTCCTGCAGCTTCTCCTTCTCGTACTCGGAGGTGGAGGGGTCGTTCATGACACCGCGAATCTGCTCGCAGCGCTGAGCAATGGAGTCCTTGGAACCCTCGCCGTTGAGGATGATGGTGTCCTCCTTGGTAATGGTGATGGAGCCGGTAGAGCCGAGCATGTCGGGGGTAGCCTTCTCGAGCTTGACGTCGAGCTCGTCGGTGAAGACAGTGCCGTTGGTGAGCACAGCGAGATCGCCCAGGACGGACTTGCGGTTGTCGCCGAAGCCGGGAGCCTTGACGGCTGCGACCTGAAGCTGGCCGCGAAGCTTGTTCAGAATGCAGACGGCAAGGGCCTCGCCCTCGATATCCTCGGCAATGATGACCAGAGGACGGCGCAGCTGAGTAGAGGCCTCGAGAGCGGGAATGATATCCTGAACGGCGGAGATCTTCTTCTCGGAGAGGAGGATAAGAGGCTTCTCGAACTCGACCTTCTGGGTCTTGGCGTCGGTGATGAAGTAGGGCGAGACGAAGCCGCGGTCGAAGCGCATGCCCTCGGTAACCTCAAGCTCATCGGCCATGGTCTTGCCCTCCTTGACGGTAATGACGCCCTCCTTGCCGACCTTCTCCATGGCGCTGGCAATCAACTTGCCAATGTGCTCGTCGCCGTTGGCGCTGATGGTGGCAACTTGGGCGATCTCCTCGGTGGTGGTGATGTCACGCTTGTGCTGCTGGAGGTAGTCCACGACCGCATCGACGGCGGCCTGGATACCACGTCGCAGGTCCATGGGGTTGCAGCCGGCGGCAACATTCTTAACGGTCTCGGAGAAGATGGCGCGCGCGAGAACAGTTGCGGTTGTAGTACCATCACCGGCGACCTCATTTGTCTTGGAGGCGACGTCCTGGAGAAGGCGAGCACCAAGGTTCTCGAACTTGTCTTTTAGGCTGATAGCCCTGGCGACGGTGACGCCATCTGCAAAAAGAAAAAAAAAAAGATCGCGGTCAGCATACTGTTCCAACCCTGGCGGGTATCAAGCATCAATGTTCTCACCTTTTGTGATCTTGGGTGAGCCGAAGCTCGACTCAATGAGGACGTTACGGCCCTTAGGACCGAGGGTAGTAGCGACAGCTTTCGCAAGGGTCTCGACACCGGTAAGGAGCGCGGCACGCGCTTCCACGCCGAACTTGAGTTCCTGCGCATTACTCGTCAACTACTGCTCATCGGAAAGCCAAAACAGCTCTGAATCAGGTCGAGGAACCGACATACCTTGTGAGCGAACCGAACCTGGCTGACAGCAGCACCATGACGGAATTGACTGGAGGCCGAGGCCAGAGCCGAAGTCCTGGCTCGGGAGGCGAGAGCACGCTGCATATTTGCGGAATTAGGAGGGGTATAGAAGAAAAAGAAAGACGCAAGAGAAACAGAGATAAGAGTCTTGTTCGGCACGGGTCGTGGATTGGTGCAGTTCGAAGAGGATGGGGATAGGAAGGGGAGGAGATGACGGACAACAGGAGAAATTGATGATGGAAATGAAGCTCTGGAAGCTTCCTGGGTTCTACCCAAAAATTTATCTCGGAGCTCGGTTAAACGAGGCCCCAGGAGCCGCTAGCTTGGTCTGTCGGTGCTTGGCCCGATTGGGAATAGCGTGCTCCATCCTTCTTCCAGGCACTTCCAACGACATCTCTCACAATTATCACCAGTGGACGAAGTAACATCTTCCGTTTGAATGAAGCTATAGATTGCCCCCTGCGACATATTTTCATTTCTTGCCCCCCCCCAACCACTATTTGGGTCTGTGCAATGTCTGTTTCGGACTCCATATCCTTGGTGCACTTCACTGATGCACCGTCACTCTCATCTGGAAGACCAATTTTGAAAGTGCTAACTAGGTCGGTTTCTTTTGCCCGTTATCGATGTATGGACTCGAAGAAAACAAGCCATTGTTAGTGAGGAAAGGTCGAATGTCAATTGTATCGATGTCTCACACGCGAATCAAAATCACCCGGTCTTCCGCACAACTTGCTCAGCGTGAAAACGCTTGCGGGAAGATGCGATATAGCTAGCCCGTTGTCGTCAGTACAATTTCAAGTTTGAGCAGTGGCAGTGAGCGGTCTTACCACGCGGAAGGCTGCTGTCCCAGAGAATGGGAGCAATATAGAATATACGCATCTGGGCAACATACACAGCTGAAATTGGAATCAGAAGCTTGAGATGGGAAAACTGCCGTAAAGGGTATCTGACAACATGGGGTTTGACTTCATGGTGGAATCCGAAAACATGGTAGCTGTCATGGGTTCCGTACTGGACGGTAAGAAGGCGTTTGCCGAGTGCTCTATCTCTGGGACTTGCAAATGCTGGCCTGTGAACAATCTCGAAAACTGTTTACCGAAGGACCCCAAGGGTGTGTAGTACTGACTCTGTCCTTCGTTGTGAAAATCATGATTCTGGGTCATAGGACTAGCATAATTCCCGCCAAGCAAGACTGGAGAGTTCGAAGTCGAAGGAGTTAGCTGAGCCTGGCGAAGTGCGCTACCATATTGAACAGGGCTCTCCCTGAACCTCTTTGTTGGAGTAGAAAACGGATCAACGTCACTTCTGTCTCTTCTCCTTGACTAAGATATAGCTGGTTAGCTTCGCGGATATTGACATGCTGAAGGACAAGGCCCGAATTGTTTCTGGAAAGAAACCGAACCGAATAAGAAAAGGAATGGAATGTGGAAAGAACCTAACCTTCGGTTGTTGAAAAATCATATCCTCATCTGTATTCGCTCCTACCTCATCCGCAAAAGCCTTGATAGGAAGTACGCCGGATGCGTTTACACTAACAGCACTTAAGCTTGTCTTTCGATGCTCTATCGCCTCCGTGAAGCGTGCCTTGCGGTATCTGACACCTCTGGCGTCTTCCTGGTCACCATTATCGTCATCTCGAATGAAACCTCGATAAATTAGGTCCTCCGCCGAGACGGAACCTGGACGACTAGGAGCAGGCGGAATGAGGTGTCCTTCGGCAAGCAAGGTGGGTCGAAGGCGGTTCAGATGTTGCGTAATTGCCGATTCGGAGGAACCGGGCTGGAGGCGATGCGCAATAGCATCCCATGAAAACGAAATTCCCCGAATTGAACACTCATACTGGATGCAGAGAAGCAACTTTTCAGGCATGCGAGGCCCTTAAAGATGAACAAGTCAGTTCAAATTTCGATATAGAGTGACAGTGGAAACTGGGCTTACTGTTCCATTGAATGAGTGTTCTTCCCAGTCTGCGACCGTTCCTGGCCCTGTCAGCACTGGTTGGTAACTCATGAGTCCACGGCCACTCCCTGATTGGCGATCCATCGACCTTTTGGCTCCTCGTTGGGGAAGGACTCGTCAGTGTTTGGTTGACAAAAACGTCAATCCCTCCGCAACCTCCGCTGTATTCAGTCTCCTGGCTGATCCAGGCCCTGTTGTCAGCCCTATCGGGTGTGCGCTTTGGATTTGAAGAATTCATTCCGTTTCACCTGATAGTGTCAATAATGTCTGCCAATCCTATTCAGAAAACATATTCAAGGTTAGAGAGTTGTAAGGTTTCTCGATTAGTAAACCACAATTGTTGAGAACTGGGCTTGATCTTACGATGTACGCAGTGTACAGGATGGTGAAGAGACAACTTCGTGATGAGATTCTGTAGCTTTCAAGGCCGAATTTAGAAGTTAGAAATGTATAACAAGGAGTAGGCAACAGATATGATTGTAGGGATTGGGTGTAGATAACACTGGAAGAGAAGTAGAGCCTGGAGCACCAGTTACGACTACTACTAGCGCTGCAACAGGGGAAACTTACCAGAGCTGATGATAACAAGAAGCCACACACTATCGAGGGAAGGATTGCCAATCGAACGAGTTCGTGGAGGGATAAAGCTTAGGAAAGTATATGGAATAAAAGAGAGACGCGATCCTTCGAGTTCGTCGAATATCGATTTAGTCTTGGTGCGGTAGTAGGCGGCCTCGGCAGAAGATAAGTGTTTGGAAAAAATAGAACCCAAGGTGCCGCATCAATTTCGCAGTCTTGACAATATCAGAGCTGGAAGATAGCAGATAAAAGACCCCGAATTATGACATAGGTGACTGAACAAGGTTTCTAGTAGAATTAGGGTAAAGCGCAGGTGCACCAAGTATGGCGCCTGCCAGAAAAAGAACGAAAATGTATCCGTTATTCTAGACGGGCATATTCTTTTCACGTCGTTCTTGTATCTCCCATCCCTTGACAACTAATTCAATTAAGAGGACATGATATTGGCAATGGCATGCGTCAAGTGAGATAAATTTCAGACACTCACCACAACACATCAAAATACCAACCGATGATGTTCGGTTTTCTTCGTGAAGGACTCGACATTGAGGTACGCTGTGCTTCATGGTTAATATTAGATGTCTTTGGATTGAAACCGACCGCTGAAAAAAGAAAAAAAAAATTAGGAGAGAAAAAAAGATAAAGACGGAAGAGCTTCTCCACAGCGGTATCAGATTTAGGATATGGTTCCATGGACGGAACTGGGGAAGATGGTGATGGAAGAGCTATGAAAACACAAGATCAACCTAGCAGGACTATGTAAGGAATCGTGTTAATTATAGGAATTTGGATCTGTTATTAGGCTAATCCAAAGCAGGATTTGGTCATGGTACTTATACTGTTATACACAGTTATTTTCCCACCAAAATACTATTCCTCTAATCCTTCTTACAACTCTTTTAGGGGGACCCACGTTTTACGCGCAAACGCTCTAAACCACTTAAAAGCTATATCAATCGATAGCTCTTTTCGAGCTCTATACGCCTATTTATGGCCCTGTATCGCGCAGGTGCTATTTAGGGCGTAAAATAAGTGCGAAAACGCCTGGAAATGCACCTACGGGTGCCCCGCGTGCGGGGGAAAAGTCTAATATGGCCCGTGCGCCCACGCTAATAAAGCAGCCACGCAGAGCCGTAACCACTAACGCCTCGCGACCCCAGCACCCCATAAAAGACCCCAGCCATAATAACAGCCATAACAGCCATAACACCAGCCATAATAACGCCTAAACCCACCATAACGCCCCTGGACCTAACCCTAAGCCCCCTATAATTATAGAGGGCTTAGGGGAGGTAGAAATAGGGGAAACCCCTAAAAGCCCTGTAAATACAGGGACTTCTACCTTTATTACGTCCCTTAATTCGAAAAGGCAGCTTAGCCCTTTAACCCTAACCCCTAGAAGGTTTTCTAGGACCCGAACCGAGCCCCCCTCCGACTCTAAGGCCGAAGGCCTCTTCGAAACGCCCTTTAGGCCCCCTGCTAAAAAACAGGGCCTTATAGGCTCTAAATAGGCTAAAAAGGCCCCTAGAACTGCTAGAAACCCCTCTACTACGCCCTAGAAGTCGACTAGTTCGGCTAGTAAGGTCTAGGCTAGGGGGCTTCTCTAGTAGGCTTTGTAGCTGCTCTAACAGGCCTACGATCTCGACCCTGTCCCCTAGATTAAAGCCCTATCCGTAGGGCTTGAATCTGCTATTAACGGTACCCTATAAGGCTCCTAGCCCCCTATACTCGAATAAAAGGTCGACGAACTAGCCTAAGCAGTTCGTAGGCTTATAGAATAGCCTAAACCCCTTTATAGCGAGGCTTTAAAGGGAAAAACAGGCTTTATAGCACCCTAGGCCCCCTAAAAGGTCTTAGCACCTTCTGCCCCCCCGGCCCCCCTCCCCATGGACCCTAAAAAGATCCTTAAGGTTATTTTATAGCCTACGGTAGGGGAAACGATCCCCCGGGAGAACTTTAATCCCCTTAAGCTCCGGAATAGGCTAAATAAGGCCCTAAAAATCCCTGCTATTACGGCTATTAGCCTATTAACTAATAGAAACCTTATTTTGACCCCGGGCCCAAAATATAACGTTTAGTAGCTCCTAGACTCTTAGAATCAGTGGTTTAAGGAGCTAAACCTGCCACCTTAGCCCCCCTAACCTATAGGCGACTAGTTTAAGCTCGTTATTAAACAGGTGCCTACTAAGGCTTTTAGAGGAGGGGGGGAAACCCTGCTATCCGACCCTTCCGATATACCGTAAAAAGCCCTAAACCGTAGCCTATAACAGGGCCTAGGTTTAAAGGACCTAATCACTAAAATTAGCACCTTTAACCCTATTAGGGTAGTAGGGAAGCCTTAGTGGCTAGGAACCCTAGACGGGCTTTACGGCACTATTATTATTTTAGTGCCTTCTACTAAAGAGCAGAAATACTACTTAAAACAGGGGCTCTATATAGCCGGCTAGCGGCTAAAGGTCTATAAATATAGGCCTATAACCCCTAGGACCTAGTGCTCTAACTGCTGGAAATTCGGGTATACCCGAGGGACCTATAAGAGCCTAACTACCTGCTCTATCTACGCTACGGAAGGCCACGGCGAAGAATACCACTACTGCAACGAGTGCGAGGAATACGGCGACTACGAACACAAGACCTATAAGTGCTATAACTATAAGGGGGCATACCCCCCTTATAGTAAAAACTACGAGGTCTTTCGAGCTATTAAACCCTAATAAATAAAGGGTCTTTTAGTTCGAAGGAAATCTGGTTTATTTAGCATAACGTCGATAAACAGGGTCCGGCGCAGGAAGCTATCCTAGAATAGGCTTTAAAGGCTTCGGCTAATATAGTTCTTATTCAGGAACCCTCCTGCGTCCCGAAGCCAGAAGGGTAGTATATTCGAAACCACCCAGCCTTCTATACTATCACACCTATGTCTCGAAAAACCCAGTTTTTTCCTATTAAACCTAGGGTCCTTACTTATATAAGAAAGGGCTCGGGTATCGACTTTTCACACCGCGAAGACCTTCTAGATAATATAGACGCATAGCTTATAGAGGTCTATTATCTATAAACCTTCTATATCCTAAACGTCTATAATTAGATAGAGTAAGACCCCGAGACTATAGGTAAAGGGCCTATAAGGCCTTCTAGCCCTACCCCCTCTACCTCTTCGACTTCTTCTTCTTCTTCTTCTTCTTTTTCTTCTTTTTCAGGCTCTAAAAGCCGACCCTGGACTAAAGATCGCGTGCTATAGGGCCTTTAGGTCCCTAAGCTAACCCTTATTATAGGGGACTTTAATAGGAACCACTAGTAGTGGAACGGGGCTGCTACGAATTAGGCTTCTATTAAGGCCTAGGCCTTAGTAGACTGGTTAAACGGCCTTAAAGCCACCTATTTAGTGGATCCTAAAGAAGTTAACCTAAATGGGGGGACCTTTTTTAGGTCTAATCTTCGTTAAGAGTCGGTTATAGACCTAGTATTTTACACGCCCGGCTTCGATCGTCTCTGCTTTTATAAGTGGGAATATATCGAAAACACTCCCTTTTTACACCGCGCTATCCTAATTTCAGCCTCTATTCTAGACTCTAAAAGTCCTATAAATAGATCCCTTCCACCGGCCTATAATTATAGGCTAACGGACTAAGGTCTATTTACTAGCACCCTAAAGAGCCTAGAACCTCGCCTTAACTAGCAGCTATAATTGGCTATCGAAGCCTCGGATTAGGACTCTATAGGCCGCCACCTATCAGATACTATCTCCCTAGCTCTTAAGGCCTCTATGCCCAAGCTAAGGGTAGTAGAGCGTTCGAAACTGTGGTGGACCCTAGAGCTAAAGGCCCTGCGAAAATTAGCTAATAGGGCTTTTAGGGTTTTTAGAAAAGCTAAAAAGGGAGCCTCGGCTACCCGGATAGCAGCTCTAGAAACCACCTGGAAAAAGGCTCGAAACGCCTACTATAGGGTAGTAAAAACGGTAAAAAAGAACTACTAGGAGGCCTTTCTAGCTAACGCTTAAGGCCCTAACGTCTTTAAGGCCTATAACTATACGAAAAGCGGCCTAAACGCGAAGATCCCACCGATTTAAACGCCTATAAAGCAGAAGGCCTACGCCTTCGAAGAAAAATATAACGCCCTTTTTTAGACCTTTTTTCCTTCCGCCGCCACCGACGCCCCTAAAGCCCCTGTATTTATAGGCCCTTCGGGGGACCTAGGCCCCTCTAACCCTTCTAACGGCCCCTAGAGCCTGACTAGATCACGTAGTAAGGGCCTTAGAAGACCGTGGGAGTGGCCTAGCCTATAGGCTACCGAACTATAACGCGCTATCTTTAAAGCTACTAAAGGGAAAGCCCTAGGGCCTAATAGGATAAGCTTATAGCCGATCTAATAGGCCTATAAGGCTATTCCCGGGCCCTTCTTAAAGGCCTACTTAGCTTTATTTTTCGCAGGCCACTACCCTACCTACTAGAAAGAGGCCCTAGGGGTTATTCTACTAAAGCCGGGGAAGAAGGACTATTCTAATCCTAAGTCTTATAGGATTATAGCCCTTCTAAACTACTTAGGTAAAGTCCTTAAGAGGGTTATAGCTGCTAGGCTAAGCTTTTTAGCTAATACCCGCGACGACCTTCTACACACTAGTCAGATAGGGGGTAGAAAATAATAATCCGCTATCGATACGGCCCTCCTTCTCCTCCAATATATCGAAAAATAGCGTAAATCACGGTAAAACGCCGTAATTTCTACGCTATTTTTAGATATTAAAGGAGCCTTTAACTACGTCGCCCGCCCTTAGCTACTAAGAACCCTTTAAGAGCTCTAATTACCCTCGAATCTAGTTAAATAGGTAGCCTCCTTTATAGAAAACAGGCGTATCCAACTAGCCTTTAAGGGTCAGGTTCAGCAGCCCACCCCCCTAAATATAGGGGTCCTATAAGGCTCCCCGGTTTCCCCTATCCTATTCCTAATTTATATTAGGAAGGTTATAGCGGGGCCGGATTTTAAAGGTCTTTAGTTATCCTATATAGACGATTTTCAGCTATCTATAGTATCTATATCGGCTAGAAAAAACTATAAGATCCTAGAAAGAGCCGTAGCCTCCCTTTTCGAAGCAGCTAATAATAACTATATTCTTTTCGACCCGGATAAAATAGAGCTTATTCACTTCTACCGAAAACGCTCTGTCGAAGACGCCCTGGTTATTATAAGGGGGTACCTAGTTAAACCTACGATAGGTGCTATTAGGTGGCTAGGGGTCTGGTTTAACCCTAAGCTATCTTTTAAACCCCACATCGAAAAACGCCTAAATTCAGCTATAGGGGCCTTAAGTAGACTCTATAGGCTAGCTAGCTTATAGAGGGCCTTTCTTTTAAGGCCCTACGGCAGCTATATATAGTCTATATAGCCTCGCTAGCTAACTTTGGCTTATAGCTATAGTAGGACCCTAAATCACTAAAAAAGCACCTAGTTAACCGCCTAGAACGCCTATAATATAGCGCTCTAGTCAGGGCTCTAGGGGCTTTTAGGGGGGCCCCCTTACGGCCTCTAGAACTAGAATCAGTAGTCCCTCCGGCTTCGATTCGGTTAACTAGGTCTAATAGGCTTTATGCCTTTAGGTCCTTAAAGTTCCTACCGAATCACCCTATTAGACGCCGGCTTCTGGGGGAATAGGAAGACCTCGCCCGCCTATAAGACCTATAGCCTACCACATAGCTTTATAAGCTAGGCCTAGAATTAGTAGCCTTAGTAGGGCAGTCCTGGGGGATAGAGGGCCTGGTAGTTAGGTGGGAGGCCCCCTGGGCCTCCGAGCCTATAGCTGACCTTAGGCCCTTTTCTTCTTTAAAGGAACGGCCTAAAACCACGGATAATACCGACTCCGACTCCGACACCTAAGACCTAAAAATAGCCTACTTCGAAGCCCTTAAGGATATATAATAATCCTTAGGCGAGTGGGCCTCGGTTTTCTACACCGACGGTTCCCTAGGCCACCCTATAAGGCCTCCTATAGGGCCTCCGCAGGCTATAGCTGCTGTTATATAGCTAGCTAGTACCGGTAGGCCCTGTAGAGCTATGGGTAGTAACCTAGGGGACTCTGCCGAAGTCGCCAACGCCGAATTATACGCTATTCTTTAGGCCCTTTATACTGCCCTAGAGTAGTCGCCTAGGCCCCTAGAGTGCTATATTTTTAGCGATTCATAAGCGGCTATTCAGAAGCTTCAGCGCTCCTTATAGTGGGCTATAGAGGCTAAGACCCTTATCTAATAACTAAAATAATAGGGCACTTTAGTCTCTATGTGGTGGTGCCCTTCGTATATAGGGATAGAAGGGAACGAACTAGCGGATAAGGCAGCTAAATAGGTGCTAGACCCTAAAAAAGCTGCTAAATCTATTAGCCTAGTTACCCTTAGCCACTTAAAACGCCGGGTTAATAAGGCCCTGATTTAAGACTAGAAGGCTTTCTGGAACGAAGAGGAAGAGGCGCAAAAAAGGGGTAAATCGGTGCGTTTAGGCCGCCTATATAGGCGCCTAGTCCGAGATAACCTCCGTTTTTCCTACAAACCACTACCGATACAGGGCCCTAGGTGGGTAAAGTCGGCTTTTATTCAGCTAAAAACCGGCTTCGGATACCTAAAATCCCACTAAAAAAGGGCCCGAAACTACGCTACCGACCGCTGTTCCTGTCCCGGCTCCCCTGTATAGGATACAGCCCACCTTATCCTTTCCTGCCCTTTTTATAAAAACGAACGAAAAGCCCTGCGGGAAGCCCTAGTAGGCCTACCGCTATCTCTGCCGCTATTATTCGGTACTAAAAGAGGGATACAGGCCTTATAGACCTATCTTTTAGCTACTAAAATAGCCTCGGCAGAGTGGTATAGGGCGTAAACCTCGGATCCTGCGGTCTAGTTTTCTGTTTTGGTTTTTTACCTGTTTTTCGGTATATTAGGCAGACTATTACGGAGGATTTCCTTTATTTAGTACTACTCCACTCCTTACTAAAGTTTATTCTAGCCTTTAGCCTTTAGCCTATAGGGCAAAAGGCGCCGCGCCATAGCTTTAGGGCTGTATGCGCGAAATAAATATAAAAAAAAAATAAAAAAAACTATTCCTCTATTATACCTAAACCACTAGAAGATTACACTAATTTTCCTATACAGATAAACGGGCGGTCTTGGCTATATCGAGCCGATACAGTTTTACCCTAGAAGCTTACAAGAGCTGAGGTACTGATAATAAAGGATGTCGTCGAGATAAGGCCTGGACTAGACAAGGTGACCCTTGTCATTGGCAAGCCACATGGCACCATGTTCCCACTAAGTGGGGTAGCGCATGCAGAAGCATAAAGTGATGCAGGTACCTACCACGTACAGTACTGACTTCTTTTCATACGAAAGACCCCATGGCCGAGAATCAGTTCGTCAGTTTTACAATGAATTAAAGACAGACCAGACCGTCTGAGAGCAATCAATGATGATTAATTTTTCGTTGTACTGTGAGATCTGCCACTTCTCCCAGAGCTCGATCCGATACTCGCATCCAAAGCTCAAGTCTTGAGCTCAGCAAGTTTCCATGAATCCCATCCATCCGTCCATATCCTCTCAGTGCCCAAGTGCTCGAATCTGCCTATACTCTTCGAGCAGTTAGTATTGATTTCTCTTTGTTATATAGAGTCCCACTTGATAAGCAGATACTATGCGTTCGCGAGGAAGCCGTACAGTGTACTCACTTGATTTATCATACCTAGCATCATCCAACCATCCGGGTCCGGCCGAGGGAACCATAACAGCAAAAAAAACAACCAACGGAATGCCCTTTTGCAAGGACATGTTCTGATCCTGTTCCAGTTCTGGTTTAGAAGCGGTGATGAATAAACACTCAAAGGGGCATCTCGAGCCTTGCTTGAATGGCACTAGCTCAGATTTCGTCGGGTCCGGAGGAGTCGGCAGTCTTCTTCCCTTTGCCCTTCTTCTCGGGCTTCTCAGTGTCTACATTAGTGTAAGGTCAGCCGCATGATCCGAGAAGACAGGGAATAATATGGTTGGAAGTGATGCTGCGTCCAGCAAAATAATTCACATGGTCGTTGGATGGAGGTCATTGTCGCTCCCAAGTAGTTGAGATGAGATCAAGTTACTCACCGGACTTCTCGTCGGACTTGGACGCAGCGAAGGGAGGATCGAAGTCCTTCTCGACGTCCTCAGAGTTTTCTTCGTCTTCAGGCTTGATGCGAGAAACGGCCCGGGTCTTGGTCTTCTTGGCAGGACGCTCGGTGGGCAAAGCCGTGCGCTTTGCAGCAGATTTGGTCCGCTTGGAACCAGGAGAGCTGTTCACGGGAGTCGTAGTGCCCATGGCGTTACCATCGGCGCTGGCACCCGACGACACGCCATTAGACTGACCCGAAGCTGAACCACCAGCCAGGTTGCGGGTGATGTCCGACAGCTTCAGCTCGTACACTTTCAAAAGCCGCTCGACACGCTTGTGACTACCGGTGTAGACTTTGGTCAGCAGAGGGAAAGTGATGTTTAGGTGTATCATGTATGCTGGTGGGCAGTAGTACTTACGCAGCCGAGGCACTCACAACCCCAAGTTCATCAGCAACGGCCTGGAAGTTGATCTGTGATACCGAGTTAGTACAATAAAATAATGTTAAACACTTGCTATGATTTAACAGAGTGATATACCTTTCCGCTGCTCGTGTTGCGCCAGCACGAGATCAGCAACTTCACTTGGTTGCTCGGCTCGTTTGCAGAGCCAGAGGCCGCTGAGTTATTGGCAGTCTGAGCAGAAGACATTTTGATGCCGTGCGCGCGTTGTGCAACTATTTGCTAAAGGGCTGCTGAGGTTCTCTGAGAGAAAAGATATTAGCAATAGCCTTTATGTAATGGAAGGAGGGTTATGTTTGCCTAGGACACATGCTAAACTGCTAGGCAGATGAATATCTGAATGGAAGATGGTGGACAAGTGAAGGAGTGGGAAGGGGTAAGGAAGGGGAAGACAGAGAGTTATCTAGATACGCGACGCCGCCGACGCGTAAATGTAAATATCGGACATTTGAGGAAACTAACCTGTCTGATGATTCTTCCCTGTTGAGTATGTCTCGCTAAAGGGCCCAAGGGGCAAATCTGTTAAGCGAAGACCTAGAACAGAGTGTGGTATTGAAGAAGGGAATGTGTGAAAGGTAGTTCACCTGCAGGGAGCCAAGAGTATCAAGTGTGATACTAATAAAGTACAGCCCTTAGTCTGATATATAGGAAGTGGTAATGCCCCTGTTCTGGCTAAGGGGGTGAACAGCTATCAGTCAGGCAAACACGCTGGCCCAGTAACGCGCGAATAACAAGACGCGTTATAGAAATTTAAGGCAAATATATGCGTGGTAGAAGTCTAGACGAAGTCGCGTTATGACATCAAAACAGGAAACCAATAAAGGAAGCAGCGTATTACACCATAGGCATTGGGTACCTCATGCCAAAATAATAGCATAGGACAAGAAGACCTGCCTGTCTATATCTTCCTTATGTCTACTCTGTAAGTTAATAGCTGGCTGTTTCTATAATGCCTGACTATTCTCTTGTGAGAACCAGGGAGGCAGGGGCTTAGAAGCCTTAGACGTGTTTATGGGATGTTTCCATTCAGAGTATAGACAACTTTCAGGATTCCAGCCAGATATACCAGCTTAGGCAGTTATTGTAGTAACCGATAAAACCCATAATTATGTTACTGGAAGTTTATAGCAACCAACACATAGACGTAACTTAAACGTGTTGCTACAATGTCAAGCTTGCACGTTCATATAATCCCTGGCATTAGTATATTTCCAGCAGTCGATTTCAGGACCAAAGGGCTCAGTAAGCAAACCCGAGCTTCCTAGAGAAGACATTGGAATAGAAAGAATCAGTCGTTTAAAGGATACATACCAGATTAGGGCTCTTTATACTAAGTGTTCACAAACATCAATTCTCCCAGTGTGATTATAGGATACCGACACTTCACCCTTATAGATTAGCATATTTCTTAATACAAAAGACATCAGATTTCTTTCTATCAGTGAAGTCCAAGAAGAGGCCCAGACATTGAAGCTAGAGGGATGACGGCTTTGAGAGATGGTATAATGTCACTCTGACATAGTAAGCTGTCATATAGTAACTCTTGAGCTACTCGTAGAATTTGTTTAGCTTGTGATATGACTGGACCTTTTATAGTGAGAGGTAAATGGGAGATCCAATGAAGGAAGCGGCACATAGAACGATATTAAGTTCAAGGTCAGTCTCTTTGAGTATGAACCAGACGCACACAGACCACCATATGTCTTTAATTATCTAGAGCCATGTCATAATTAACTGAGATGCCTATCCTTGTTGAGGGAAGAGGACTTCATATTCGATGTTCTCAAACATCTGCGGTCTAATCAATATGTCTATGCATTTGACGCCTCACATCACTAGAATTTACAGACATCAAAGGGAGAAGTCATAATGGGATAACTCACCAGGTTGGGGCAAGTCTTGCTCTAGCTTTGTATTTAACGAGTAGTGACATTGACTCATAATGTTGGTCTGGCAGTTCATATAGTCTAGACACCCTTCATTTCATAAGCACGTTGTGTGTGATATATAGAGTGCCTACAGTCTTCCCAATGGACCAGTTTCATAACATTACCATCTTGGTGAAGGATAATCATATGAACGCCCATCATTAAGCGATGAGACCAAGATCAACCGATCAAAAATTCCAAATGAACTGTATCTTTAATTGAGAGCAAATGTTTGTTACCCCTGTTGCCTCCATCAAGACTTAGAGGGTATCTATCTTATAGTTCTGTAGTAGCCATGCGGGCATGTAGATAGGACCGGCTGAGTTTAGAGGGTGAACACCAAAAGTAATGTGCTCCTTCATATCCGCCCCTTGTATGATCGCCATGCAAAGCGAAAGTCAGCGCCGCATTTCAGGAATCTCCTCCATATCCGGTCAGTTCTGAGAGTAGCTCGCGAAGAAAACTAGCCGTTTCAGAACTCATCGGCCCACCGGGCAATATCGTCTTCGTCCAACTCGGATTCCTCATACGGGGCAAAGGCCTCGATATTGTCAGGGACCGGGAAAATGAGTGGCTCGCTGGACTCTGCAGGAGCGACATTGGACTTTCTAGTAGGTGTCGTTTGGTTCACCCCAGTTTTATTCTTTACGAGATCGAGTTCTGCCTCGGCATCCTCGTCATCGGATTCAGTGGTCTTGATATTATCGGGCTCTCCATTGGAGTCCGCCGAGTCCGAAAACATATCTGTGTAAGACTAAGAAGAAGCGAAGAGAGGCTCGGTTAGTAAAACAAATTAAGCAATCTTCATGATTCAACATAGGACAGAGGGAGGCGGTAGAGGAGATATCGGCATACAGTCTTGGACTTGCGTGGGCGTTCTCTGGCCTTCCTAGGCTGATTCGAGACCGGTTTGCTGACCCTGGTTTTGGAGGGACTGGCTTCGGAGCCACTGCCCCATCCGTGCTTTTTGCTCATCTGGCGGAAACGCTCTTTGGCGCATTTGGCATTTGCCAGCCCCAGGTCGTCGGCAACCTTGTCCCAGTCGGCGTCAGGGCGCTGAGTCCTATTGTCAAACATAGCCTTGATGAATTCGTTTTCCTTTTCTGTCAGTTGGCTGAGCTTTCTGCCTGACGGTTTGTTGGCCTTTGAGGACATGTTGCTTAGGTTGGAAGTCGTAACCTCGTATTTCGGTCGAATCTAACGTTGACAAGAGGTAGAAATCAAAGATTGGGAACTTGGGTCTGTCACAAAATAAGCTTGGGCAGATTAAGGAGACTTGGGTTTGGAGACTGACAAGAAGAGGAGGCATGAATCAGGGTACAAATTTTGAAGATAAATGTGACTTAAGGGAAGTTGCTTTAAGTCGAGAAGACCACTGGGGAAGCCAGACGAGGACTCGTGGCTGTTGCCGTATCGTCGAAATAAAGGGTTCTAGAAAATATGTCTAGCAGGTGACTATGAGGTGATACATCGGAGATGGGCATGCACGAACAAGCCAGAATATAAGGGGGAAAGTAGGGCTGTTGCGCGGTTTCCTCCTTTTGGCCAAAAAGGATAAAAGAACAATGGATTAGGATCACGAGTGCTTAGATATCGATATATCCTGGATGCTCTGGCCAGGATATGAGTTCCATGGAAGTGGCAGACTCGTTTGGCACCTAGACCTATGTGGCAGCAATGAAACTGTCTTAGAGTGCAGTTCAATATCCTGGAGTTGTGGAAATGAAATGAAGCCCGAGAACATTACAGCACCAAAGAATATACTTTAATCGAATAGCAGAAACGGGACAGCTATCAAGATTCAAAACATGTAGCTTGAATTCGGGAGACTGAGACTTTGGTGTCTTCTTCATTCCAGTATTTCTGAATACAGATTCGTTGACTGGTCCTTTCGAGATAGCATAAAAAGACTACAACGAGGGCATCTAGGTCTTGCTATCCGCTATGCTCAGAGGTTTCGGTTTCTAGCCTGTAACCATCAAGCAAGAGCCTGGGGCCCTGGAGTGCTAGGCATTGGGCTATCCAAGGGGGTTGGATGCCATAGACAAAGCTGCCAAGCGCGAATGACATTGCCTACGTACATCCTGCATTCAGCAAGGAAGTCGGATGAAAGCAACAGGGGAAGAAGGAAAATGTTAGGGACTCCAAAGTCAGTATCTCTCCGTAGCTTCCAAGGCTACTTTGTTGCCATACATATCGAACGCGCATCTTCATGGGAAGTTGCTTGGAGTTGGCGAGACTGAAGCCTCACGACTGGTAATAAGAAGACCTCCCATAATTATTTATTCCACTCAAGTGAAGTAGTATGGAATACAGTCTGGTCTTGGCCCGTTTAATACGTGGCCATTTCATCACAGATGTCGGACAGTCATTTTCTGTAATTTCACCCCAGAAACCTCAGAGACAAATCACACATAATAAGATTGCTTGCCATTCACGTTGCATTTATGGTATTTAGAAGCTGGGAGCTCCGTATTGATGTAGCCGCAATAGAGTTATTCTCTGCCTCCTAAGCCAAGTTCAGCCAATACTCTGGGACTCATCCAGTCATTTCTCGCGAGCAGAGGTCATCTTCTAGTACTGCGAGTCCTCGGAGTCTCCCTTGTTGAGCTGTCCGGAGCTCCCGAGCTTGAAGATAGCATGTTGACGCTTGATACCCTCATCTTCGTCGAAGGAAGCAACAGGTGCCTCAACGGCGGCCTTCTTTCCCTTGGCACCGACTCGACCCGTAGCTTTCTTGACACCTGAGCTTTTGCGAGGTGACGCGGTCTCGCTCTTGGAAGGAGAAGGAGCGTCTTTCTTGAAGTTGTGCTTATCCCGGACTTGACGGAACCGAGTCTTTACTCCACAAACCAAAATTAGAATCAGATAGAAAGGGGGGTGAGCGGCCGACAGAAGGGCAGAGGCAAATATTAAGGAGACCCACGTACCCGAGAAGTAGCTGCATTCTTCAACCCCGTCTCTTGGGCAACGGCGTCCCAGTCAACATGCTGATTCAGGTTGACCTCGACGCTGATATTTCTGAGAATCGAGCAGAGGAGACGAGTCTCAGACTCGTTGAACGTTCCGAGCTTTGGTTCTCCAGGCATCTTGACTATTCATATGTCAGAATTATTAATCATTTCCATCTCCCTGTAAAGGGAAAGATTAGCGTGAAGGGCCTGCTTGCCTTTTGTTGCTTGGACTTGTTGTATTTGTGAAGATGCGATCGTGTACGTGAAGTTGTGCTGGTTTTCCTGAGGAGGCTTTGGTTCAGTCAGTCAGGACTCAGGGATGCCGTATTAAGAAATACATATACAATTGAAGGACAACAAAGAAGGTGGTATTGATGGACGGTCAAATTGTAAATCAGTTGTTGGAATCGAGTCGCAACCTGAAGTGCACAAAGGAAGGAAGAAACAAGAACGAACGCGACCAGGCAGGTATTGATGTAGAGTAAAAGAAACCAGAAAACCCTGGACAGCCCCTTTCATCTACCATAGTATCAAACCCATGGGTAGAAGCTGCCAGAGGGTACATCTCATAGACAGAAAGGGAAGGGATATGAAGCAATGGTCATGGGAGCAGGAAGCATCCAAAACGCATTACTGGAAGGGAGGATTCCGGAAACAAAAACTAGTACATTGATTTCTCTTCCCATGGATTGCAGCTCTGACGATATGTGGTTGCGAGAGATTCAGGGGGGTGAACTAAGGACGAGAGGCAACTTGGCAAGTGCTGTTTCTCCAGAGAAGAGCAAAATAAATACAGAGAACATACCTATATCCGACTAGCTGTATCAATTGACGAGGAATATGTTGTTTGACTGCACATAGTGTGTTGAAAGAGAAGTGCCGGTGGGTGGCCTGGAGAAACTGTGCTGTCTTTGATAGACGCTCTGGAGTTTCTTTTAGCAAGTGTCAAATATCGTGTTCGAATCAATTGAATAATGTAATCACCTGAGAAGGTAGGTACCTTAGCCTGGGCAGCAGGTGAGATTAGATTGAGACGGAAACCAAAATGGAGGGTGATCCGGATCTGAGATCATACGGAGGGTAGGTACCTATCTGCCCTTATTTTGGTTGTGACACTATCTGAAGTAATAACAAGTTGGAAGAAAGAGTATCGTCGACTGGTCAGGGCAACTGCATCGTAGGTTGGAAGACATATGCATCAGAAGATGTCAAGGGGCGGAACAGGAAGAAATGGCCAAGGATGTCCAGTCCCTGTTCAGAAAACCATGGTGGTTGCAGTCGGCTTTCTCGACGTAGGTATAGTGTAGGTAATCAGTATTATCAGTTGGTTTCCTTTATGTTACCCCTTCAAAAGTTACCATTATTGATCACGCACCATCAGCATATTACTTCAATTCTCATGTAGACCACGCTTCAGGGACCCTGTTCTCGAGTTTACGAGATAGTGCCCTCCACATCAACACGGTAATGATATTCATTATTCGATAAAATGCTAAGATGGATTGCCTTCTTTGTCCAAGCATAACTCCCAAACTCCTCCTATTCCTGCATTATTTCCCCGATATATTGGACCTGATAACGTGTGCGTGGGGAGAGCTCTCAAAGGAGTACAAGACAGCCAATCTATGCCAGTGCAATTTGCAACATAAAAGCAGCCGCAGCGTAAGAAGAATCATAATATGCCTCGTACAATGATGGACCGTTTCCACCTTGGTGAAAACGCCAACCTCAACGGTGGTATTGGGAATTCCACTGCCCCGCCTTGATATCCACGTGTTCTGGGATCCCTAGGCCCATGGCTGAAGGCACATGCATACCGGAAGCTTCCGATGGCGTGCCCCCGGAATGGTGATCGCACATGCCACCCAAGCCGTACCCTTCAATGTTGAAGGCGGCATCGAATGCTGAGTATGCAGGGCTGTTTGCCCAGGAAGCGTGGTCATGGATTGGATCGTGCTCGTGGTCATGCTCGTGGCCGCAGTGACCGGTGGCCAACATATCAAAGGTCCCTAGAATTCCCGTTTGGGGACTGAACTGGAGAGTGTGAGGGGCTGGCAACATATCGTCGCTTGAAGGTGTGAGGAGCCTCATATGAGGGGTTGGGTGGCAGTCCGGACCGGCCGGGGATCCCATGGACGTCGGGGTGAATTGAGACTGATGGTAAGAAAGCTGACTGGCCTCATGTTTCACCTTGACAGATGATCGAGCATTGGCATCTGAGAAGATGGGCCGATTATTGATGCCAGATTCAGATTTGATGTATTCATCCTCCTCCTTTTTCGCAATCTTATTATACTCCTTCTTCGGCTTGGTGACCTTGTTCTTGTTGTTCGCATTCCGATTTCGTCTCTGAGGCTCGAGACCTAGCATGGCTGAGCGGAAACGGGAATATCTCATTCGAGCGGCATGGCCGTTGGTGATGGGTTGAGCCAGGACGGGGTCGCGAGCCACAGCATTCCAATCAATCTACGACAATGATTAGTATAAAGCATACAGGCACGCTTCTGGTAGGCACTCACATCCTTGAGGTTCTTCTGCTTCAATATGGCGAAGAGAAACCTCGTCATTTGGTTATCTGTGTTGGACATGGTGGTAGAGTCGGATGTTGCCGCTTGAATTCTCGATATGGTGAAGTCGAGGTAGTGATAGATAGAATTGGAGGTGACGACAAGAGGTGAAGTTGATGAGAGAAGAGGAATAAGCAGCCAATTTGAACTGCACACGATGAACGTGGTGACCTCGACTGTTATTGACCGAAAACACGAGGATGGTCAATGTGGAGGAGGGAGGATTTCAATGAGTCACAGTGAAGATCGGTGAGGCGGACGGGCAGATATATGGTACATCGGGCGAGGCGAACTGGTGGATAGAACCAAAAGACAAGGTCGGTGTGATCTTTCGAACTGCCAAAGGGTGTATGTAGATGTTAGATCAGGCTCAAAAAATGAGGGGAACAAAAGATTCAACAGGATATATCGGTACCAAAGAGAATGCTTCCAAGGACACAAAGAAAGGATGAATAGAATCCTTTTCTGTTGGCTCTCTTTGCAGTCTCGCCAAAATTCACGGAGAGAGATGCATCGTTGTGTTTGTCTAGAGAGAGAGCGGGCGGGAGCAGATCCAAGGGGCAAAAATAAAAAAAGAACAAGAGAAAACAAGCAGCCTTGTGGGATAGGATAGTGTACAGGCTTTATCACATCATGAGGATGGATTCCCATTGGCATGGTCTGTGGCAACTTGCCTAAAAGGCCAGGGCAAGTGACCGGATGCGGCATTGTTGCCTGGTTGCTTGAGCAGGGCATGTGGTTCGGTAGGCCCCTGGCCCCTCTTTCTGGTGGAGGGGTATGGAACGCGGGCAGTAGAGGCTAGGTGCCGCGAAAAGACACCTTCGTGTAAAGTGGTTTTTGGTTGTCACCTCGCAGCCATGAGGGGACCGGGGGAACCCTGTACGGAACCGATGAGACGGGATCCGGACACCGACTCGAGGTTTAGCGTGCTCAATGATATGCAAGTGGCACTGTGGCGGCACCCAGGGATCCTGAAACCAGCAGAGTAGACGGAGAAATGATTCGCCAATTTGGTATTTTACAGGACGAGTAGGTGTCCATGGGCGGTGGGTTTGAGTTCGGAGATTCATACATCGCTGCGTCCCGTTTCGTAACCAGAAGCAAAACGGGGTTTCGGCAGAGTGAAGGGAGGGGTGTGACTCATAGTCAATTGGAAGATCCGACGAAATAGGGGCTTTAGTTCGGCTGGGCATGGGAAAGTGATACGGGTGGAATTCCCTTGGCGGGGCGGTGATTGGCAGGCCTCATGATCCATGAAGGATGCGCAACACCCATGCGACTCTCATGCGGGCAAGTAAATAGCTGCACCTCGAAAAGATATAAATGGGAAAATAGACAAACAAACGTATTTCTCCAGGGCCAGAGTAATAGTCTAAAGGAAACGAATGAATGAACTGTTGGGAAGAGCAGGAGGCGGTGTCATGAAATGGAATGGCGTGGACAGTTTTCATTGCCGACTGCTAGCCGAACAATTCTTTTGCCTGGACTGGGCTATTTTTTCTTTTCTTTTCTTTTTTTAACGGTAAATGCAGGGATGTATTCAAGAGACTTGTTCGACCATGTCTGTGGATGCGGACCAACTGCTGAATTGATGACACTGGAGGGGTGGGATCGCTAGGGTGTGGGGAGGGCGTCGACCATGGATGAGGTCGTGGTTCGAAGGAGAAAGTCGACCGATTGATGGCCAAAAGCAAGTTTGGCATGGGCTAAACGCGGAATCAAGTATAGAATTAAAGATTGAGTCGATTTATAACTTGATAGAGCCGGTTGAAGGGGCGACTCAGTCCACAGAGTCATGGAAGGTAGTTGGTGGGAAGAGGTGAAGTGGATGGGGGAACGCGTTTTCGCGATGAGCCCGAGCGTCATCTGGGTCTGGTATTTCGCCAGGCTTCCACGAAACCACGTGACGTTCTGAATACGGTCAAGCGTGTCTTGGATGGACTCGCTGCGTTGACCGCTAACATGCATATCAACGCCATTGGTCAGAGTCTTTTCCGTACTCCGACGTAATAAGAGACGAGTGCCAGTCATCGATTGTGCTGACGGTACCTTAGGTTGAGGTATACGACCCTTTACCTTATATACCTACTTTCCGATTGCTACCTACCCGGGTTTGGGGGGGTATAGGACAGAGCCCGATAACTGGTCAATCTGTTAACAGTCTTAGAATATTATGTCGACAGAAATTTCTCTGTCCTGGCTCTGGTCAGAGCAAAAGTCTCTGTCCAAGCTCTGACCTAGAAACCACCCCTCCCGGGTAGGTATGCATCGCATATCCGAGAATTTGAACAAACAAATTTGGACCCTCAATCATGCGCCC